TATTGTAATCAAAATTCTATGCGGATCTATCGATATGACAAATTTATAGAGATAAAGCTGATAGAGCTGTAAATTTTCTTGAGCAGCTTCACTAATCTAGTGATGGGTGAAAAGATTATTCGATCGTATGTTCACTTGTTTATCCATTTTAAACTGCTTTAGACTGTTTCAAACTGTATAAGTAAATCAGATACCCAATGTATGTGAATATCGAAAGCAAAGGGTCAAGTTTCGAAAAGTAGCATTTTTTCAAGAAATTCCTAAAAAATTCAAACCTTTGAACGGAATGGAATATGGAGATAAAAATACCTTTATTCTGATATCCGGTGAGCTTTTTTTGAAAAAATAATCAAGTCTGTAGCTATGTTATCTTGGGAAGAGATTTAAGACCCTAAAAAACCAATTTCCGACTCCCAACCCCTACATTATTACCCCCCACGTCAAAAAAATGGCGTCAAGTGGGTTGACTCTGCACTTCTTACTCAACGCCGCCATCAATAGGATATTAAGTTAAGGGCAATTTAAATCCTCTGAGGAAATATTGAATTACGTAAATATAGAACAAAGAAATTAAACGTATTAAGTCAGTCAAACAGGTGCATACAATTAGACCAGAGAAATTCCTTCCCTTCCACATCAGCAGCGAGTTATCTTTCGGTTCGGCTCAGCATGTTTTTTGGGCTTGAGTACGAATATATATATATATATATATATATATATACGAGTATGTATTAGTTGGACTGATTCGCTAGTCGATTAGCTTTGATAGGCACAAGTATGTGGATCGAAAACATGTTTTAAACGCAAATGTACGGGTAAATCTATGATGTATGAAATATACTAAGATTAAAAAAATCATATACCTGACCCCACCCCTACAACCCCCAGCCCCTAAATTTCACCCCCGCAAAACAAAATTCTGAAAATAATCACGACCATCTACAACGTCAAAAAACGAAGTTTGAGAGATTTTTATGTTTTTTTTTTTTATTTTTCTGTCTTTTACTCCTCCAACTCTTGACCGATTTCCGAAAACTACAAAGCTTTTCATTCTTGGCATAGTAGCAATCTTGTGTGAGAATTTCATCAAAATCCGAGAAGTACTTCTCAAGTTTTAGATGGTTATAGATTCAGGGGACAGACCGACAGACAGTCAGACCGACGGAAATGAGTGAGATGGTTTTTCGTCATGTACACGTCATATAACATCCAAGAAACATAATACATATCTCAATTCAAAAATTTTTTGCGATTACAATATTAGCATCGTCCAGGGACGCCTAAAGTATGTTGGGCTAAGGGGGAATACCAAAAGGACCCGGGTTCACCCTAAAGGGCCTGTCGCACGAAAGCTATTTTGTGTCTTTCAATGCGTGTACGAGAGAGTTAGATTTGTAGGTTCCGACACTTTGGCGTATGCGACAGCTATAATATGAATTATCAGTAAAAATGTATTTTTATTATTGACAAGAAAACACAAAACTTATAAGGGAAGATCAGAAGTCCCTCACAAAATATTAATTATTTTATTGCACTATTTTGCATTAACATTAAGTCTACACGTCCTTCGCCTTTCAGCATTCCTGCCAATGCCATCGACTTAACTCCCGCCAAAATGGCCTACTTCGTGGTCCATAGAGATCCCGCATCGCGAACCAAAAGGGGCCTGGGGACCAAGACGTAAATACTGGTCCTCAGTTCCGGTGCCCCTGGCATCAACAGCTCAATACAGAAACTCTTCAGCTGTCAGACAGCCACAACGCTGAGACCAAGCCGTACCAACTTTTTTAGTGCTTTGCGTCCACAGCAGAACATGTGCGCGAGTTTTTAGTGATAGTATCATTTATATGTTTCCTAGTAGCATATACATCAAAAGTCTTAAGATAGCCGAGATACTGGGCTCAACAACATCAATCAAACCTGATCCGCTCCCGTATCTCGATCAGATCAAAAGTGAGAAGGCACGACGCATGTTAGTACTCAACCCAGGCACCGGCAGCGTGGGTAAGGAAAACATTTATTTACCACTCGTTAAAGAAACCAAAATTGCACACTCGTATGGTGTATCTGAAGTCACTTGAAATAGCATAAAAACCTTTGGTCGGCGCGTCCTTTGTAATTTCATGACGTATCATAGGCGTGCGGCATTTATTTAGAACGATAATAATAATGTTTTTATATCACAATAAATGGATTTTACTATCTTTTTATTTTTTTGATTTGGGATAAAAAATACTTATATTGGGAGTTTAATTTATGTTGACTGAAAGTTAAGAAATGGAAAAATTACAGAATTCCAACGTTTGACATAGACAAATATTTGCATAGCAGGTAGGTATATAAAAAAGGTATATAAAGACTTACATTATAGGTATTTATATATCATCCTCGCCTTCGGAGCTGTCGCTAGAGTCATCTTGTAGAGGAATTACAACGGGATTTACAGGAGGCAATACACAATATTCATTTTCTTTTTCAATAATATGCCTAGAACACTGCTTCCATAGGTCTGTGGCAGCAATATGAGATACTGCATCTCTTATTGTGGCCAATAGCGATTCACTTAATTGAGGGGTCTGATTATGTTTTCTTACTTTTTTTTTACAGCAGCCCAGACCAACTCAATCGGGTTAAAAATGCAGTAATAGGGAGGTAGACGTAATACTTCATGGCCATTTTGCTGAAGCAGATTGTCAACAACATACTCTTTTTCAAATTTTTGTCTTTTAATAAGATCCAATAATATGGCTTTGGTTGATTTTTGTGGTATTTCCATTCCCTTATCCTTCATAAAATGAATAATGTCTTGTTTTTTTGTGCCTGTATTCGGAATTTTGTTTTTCTGTCGGGAATGGTATGGCGCATTGTCCATAATAATCACTGAATTTGGGGAAATGTTTGGTATTAACTGCTGCTCTATCCACTTTTCAAATAAGTCGGAGGTCATGTCCTCATGATAGTCGGCACATGATTCTTTGATATTTTTGGCAGATAACAGCAAGGCATTAGGTATAAATGAATTTTCACTGCCAGCATGGAGAATAATGATTCGTTTTCCACGGTTGCATGGTGCATTTAAAATGCACTTGTTGCTGTCGTCAACCCACCCGTACTGCACAACATCATGGGTATCATACCACGTTTCATCCAGGTAAATCAGATTTCTTTTCTGCTCTCTATAGATTTTAACTTTGTGCAAAAATTCTTGGCGCAATTCAACGATTCGAGACGACTCCATAATCACCATTCTTTTATCTAATTTTTTGTATTGAAAACCACACATTTTTACAATACAGTGCAGTGAGTCTAAGCATTTGTAATTATAAAAATCTTCAGGATAATCTTTTAATTTATCCCGTATCATTTCCAACGTGGGCACCAAATTTTCTTCATAAAATCCGCATATTATACGACGAATATCTTCCTGAAAACCCACGTCTATTCTTTTTAATTTTTACCCTATGCGCTTTCTGTGGAAGGAATGGTTGACTACATCTCCCCTTTTTATAACCCGATAAATGGTAGACCGACTGATTTTTGTCAGGATACAAATTCTGTTTAAAATTTGATTTTGCGAGGAATCTGGATTTTCGTTTTTCAGACAATCATACATATTTAGGATTACTCTTTGGGTCTGTTCCTCTAAATCTTTATGAAAGAATTCTGCCTGCACAGGTTCATCAACCATCTCCTCGTGGCTTGGAGCATTTTCCCAAGGTCTCCAAAGAGCCATATTTAGGACACACAAGAACAATCAACACAACAATTAAATCAACAAGTAAACTGAGTATTCAAAAGTCAAAAACACACAAACGAATAAAATCTATGAAAAAACACGGACAGACTAAAGAAACCACGTTTATTCACCGCTACACGGCACTGGCTAAACTGTTTCAATTTTCAGTAGCCACCTGCACTTGTTCCGAGCTCTGAAATACACGCTTTCTCATTGGCTATGTCCACGCATAGGCGTGCTTTACTCCACGTGGACCGGTGAAACTGCCTTTGATCTCTTATATTTGCTGCGAAATTTGGCGATTTTTGCAGCAACAGAGCGTGTTAAATATAGATATATAAAACGCACCCGGTATTTCACAGTGTTTCAAGTGACTTCAGATAAAGTATACATCAATACTGAACATGTCGACATAATTTTAATTTACGGTGAGTGTCTTCAAAATGCTACCGAGGTTCGCGAGTGTATGCAGATCGCTTTCCCAGACGTTTTCATTCAGAGCTGTGTAGATTTGTTTACTTTGTGCAAAGAGCTGAAATCCTTATCAATCACTAGGGAAGTAGCTAGACAAGTGCAAGTATCCAAGACTAAAATGTGGTAAACGCTGCATCGTGTTGATTTGTACCCTTTTGTATAAGCCCTCCAGGCTGAGGATTTTCCTGCAAGAGTGCGTTTTTGTGAGTGATTGTTGCAGTTCATATTAGTCACGGACGAATTAACCTTCATGCATAACAGGGTGAATAATTTCTAAAATACTCATGTTTAGTCATTGGAAAATCCTCACGTAGTCCATCGGCGTCGATCACATTTTCAACAAACATTTTCTTTGGGTGTCTGGGCTGACATGGTAAATGGTATGGTATGCTTATTGCACCATTTATTCTGCCTAATCGGCTGGTCGGCTTACAAACATTTTACCAATGACGACAACTTATAGTGACAGAGCCGTACTTGAAATTGGCGTAGGTACTTTTTCATTTATTTTATATAAACATTTTTTAATTTTTATTCTTTTGTTGATTCAAAAGCAATGGTTTCTGAAAAATAAAGTCCTAACTTTTAGGATACCCTGAATAAAGAACATCAATAGATTACCTCTAGTGATAAGTATCAGTTTGTAAGAAGACATAGAAAAGGTTGATGAAATTGGCTGAGCGTCAAAGCTACTCTAAGAACAAACAGAAAATCCATCGGAGCGGCGGTTTTCGCGTTTTGCATAAAGCGCTACGTTCTTTTGTAGACATATATAACAGCTGTCAGTCCCTGTTGACTCACCGTGAAATTAGAGTGTCATATCGTGAACCACCGTCAAAATTCAAAGTATTCTACATTCAATCACCGGAAATGTCTAAAGTACGTTACCTCGCTTTCAGAAGACCAACAAGTAACTCACATTTATTCTAGGGCTTCATTACAAAAATAAGTAACTTGGGTACCGCCCATCACAATGGAAGCATCACAGTGAACGAATCGATCCAAGGTACCATCTGCGCAGTACATAACGTTATGAAAGGCGGAGATGGCTTCCCTATGGTCCAACACCAAATGCTTGAGGTGCGTCCGAGAAACTCTTGCAGAGTGAATTCTAGCAGTCCAACAAGGTAGCACTTGGTTTAATACAGAACAATCATTGCTTGGCTTATTTCCGTGGCCCGACCAAATGGTTGGTCAATCTTTTGGCCGAAGCCGAATGTTTAGTTAATTAAAAAATGACTTAAAGTAGATTGACTTAGTACTTCTCACGTAATTCAGGACAAATGAACTTTGTCTATGCGTCATGTATGGTATCTGAGTCAACTTTTATATGCTCTGGTATCTTTATTGTTTGGCGACTATGCAAATCATTGTTCCCTTGCATATGGCCGTAGAGTAGAATAAATAACAGTGAAAAAATGGCGTCAAGAAGATTGATTCTATAGTTCGTACGTCTGCGTAGGGATGAGCTAAGTAGTTTCAAAAGGCGGAATCGGAACATGACTCGGTTCACTTAGCTACGATGAATCTTAGACCGCTACGTATTAAGCTATACAGGGTGTTCCATAATTATTGCGACAAAATGATAGGGGTTGTAGAGGGCATAAAAATATGCAATTTTGCCTTATAAACCCCTGTTCGTAAATATGCCGTTTGAGCACTACAGTTAATTTTACCTTAAGAGCTCATAGGAGAAACAAAAAATTCACCAGCTGCAAAATGTTCGTCTAGCACATTTCATGGTCTCGCCGGTTTGTAGAAAAAGCCTGCTGTGTTTACATTTTTGTTATCGTACACCCGTACCACCTTTTAAAAGTCCAAGCCATGGGTCCAGCAGACTATCTGCCGCGTCGACGTTTTTGTCGTTGGTGGCTGCAGCAGGAGTTGAGGCAACCAAACTTTGGTCGCTACGTTTTGTTCACTGGCGAGTCCTGTTTTACAAAGGACGGTTATTTTAATAGCCGTAACAGTCTCATTTGGGATGAAGAAAACCCTCATGCCATAGCCATCCATAGAGACCAACATCAGTTTTCAATTAACATCTGGTGCGGCATTGTGGACGAGCATATCATCGGGCCATATCTGCTTCCACCACGTTTGGATGGGCATGCTTATGGTCGATCCTTACAGCATGTGCTACCGGAACTATTAGAAAATGTGCCACTGAATATAAGAGCCAACATGTGGTTTCAACACCATGGCGGTCCAGCCCACTTTTCTTTACAAGTGCGGCAGTATTTGGACGACAAATTTCCAAATAGGTGGATAGGCCGAGGTGGCCCTGTGCCTTGGCCTGCGCGGTCACTTGACCTGACTCCACTGGATTATTTTATCTGGAGCTATCTGAAAGCTTTAGTGTACGAAACTCCTGTTCCCAACCAACAAGAGCTACTGGGAAGAGTGATGGCCGCGTCCGCACATGTTCAGGACATACCGGGGGTATGCCACAGAGTTCGCCGATCATTGAACAATCGTGCACAGGTGTGTATTGAGCAAGGTGGAGGACACTTTGAGCAATTACTGTAGGTAAGCTGTTTCAAGAAACTGATCTTTTTTTTTGCTGCAGCCCAAACGGCATGTTTCCGAACAGGGGTTTATAAGGAAAAATTGTTCATTTTGATGCCCTCTACAACCCCTATCATTTTGTCGCAATAATTATGGAACACCCTGTATAAACATATATCTGTTTCCATTCCATGGCACATGTAAGGAAAACCTGTGTGACTCATTGTCTTTAACAGGTGCATAATATTACCGGGATCAGCAGCTTCTTAATAATAGAAGGTCTTTCACTGACACCCAATATGCAACTATTTACAACCATTTACCGCATACAGCTTCCAACCTATCATCCCTCCTAACCAATATCTGTAAAATCAAAAATCAAAATCAATTTGCAAAATCTACGATTACCTAAACCATGGAAGTATTAAACTCGCGATTATATTCGGACTTCGGTTCACAAGTTTTCTGTCGCTTAAAAATATCTACATCACACAAGTTCATGTTTCTCATTTATGTCGGTTTGTCAGTCCGTGTCTATCAATGCATCATAATGTACTGAGTCAATCTTCTTCACGAAATATAACCTTCATAGACGGGGTAACACAATTTGAAGGTAAGGCAAAATAGTATTATAATAAAATTCGGAAAAATATGTGTAGATATGAAAACATTTAAGTCATCAGCATCAAAAAAGCATCGCGGAATGCTAAATTAGTACGTACTCCTAGTTTTCAAATATTGCTAAAATGTATAAATATTTCTCCTGTAGAGGTGTGTCAGTGAAGACACCACCGCACACCGCAGACCAGTTGGATTTTGTACCCATTGCACAGTCGGCAGTGGCCTCCACGACAATGCATTATACATCGGACTTTTACCGGGATCAGCCGACGCTATATTTACAAACACCAACCAGAAAGTTTCTACCCCTAAAAAAAATCCTAAAATGACCACAAACTGTGTGGTGTGCATTAAAATATTTGTCGTGCGCCGATATTCTAAAAGAAGAATATGCACAAAACGGGCGAGGAAGTATTGCAATCGCGAAACACTTTAAAATTGAGATATATGTTTTTTGGATGTTATATGACTGGTTTGTTCATACAGTGGTCGGTGATTTGTCGGTGACTGTGTCTGAGATCCGGCCGTGTGAATTCCGTCTATATAACGTAGCAGACTGAAAGGAATTTGTGTGGCGGGATCTTAGGCACGATCACTGACATAATGGCGACAGCTGTACGACCAGCACGAAAAACCATGTCACTCCTCATTTCCATCGGTGTGATTTTGATGAATTTTTCACACAAGGTTACTACTACGCAATGATGAAAAAGCTTTGTAGTTTTTGCAAATCGGATCTGGAGCAAAAACATGAAAACATAAAAATCGCCTAAACCCAGTTTTTTGACGTTTCAGAATCTCCTGATCATTTTAGGAAATTTTTTGTAGGGGTTGAAACTTGGGGGTTGGAGATTGTAGGGCATTGTGAATGGACGTCTGTAGTATAAGTCAAAGACATTCTATCATCAATAAGCTTCTGATCCCGATACCAACGGGAAAATTAAATGATAAGGTCCTACGTATCATGTGCTCATAATTCAAAATAACTTGTCAATCGTTGATGCTGCGTGTACGGCGCGGTTCTGTATCGTGGTGGATACCACTGCCAACTGTGTAATGAGTAACAAATTCCAACTGGCCTCCGATGGTCTCGTCACTGACACACCACTACAGGAGAAATATTTTATATTTTAGCAATATTTGGATATAAGAAGTGCGTACCTCTTTAGCGTTCTGCAATCCTTTTGTAAATGTTTGTTGTTGTTTAAGATTCATTTAGCATGATCGCTATAATTACATTCTTCTAAAAAACTGAACAATTACATAACACATACATATATTTAAAAAAAACAAAATTTGCATCTCTAAGAATTTTCACTGTCCATAAAATATTCCTTTAATTTTCTTTTAAACATCTTCAAATACAAGTAGACTGTATATCATTATGTAGTTTATTAAATTCAAGTAATCCTTTCTGAAATATTGATTTGCTAGTTATATTACTATTGCAATTTTGTAAATAAGAATTTATATTTCCTCTTGTATAATAATTGTGGTAATGATTATTTAATTCTATGTAGTGTTCTAAATGTTGTGGCAAAATATGATTTTTATTTTAAATATAATAATAGGAACTAAATTTATATATATGAATTTTTTTATATTCAAACACTGCAATTCTTGTAACATAGATTCTTATTCAGCATTATTCTCATAGCTTTCTTGAGTAATTTTGCGAATACAGATTCATTGGCAGTGAACAAGATAGTTGAACAATATAGTAAGTGCGGTAGAATAATTGTATTATAAACTATTTTCTTGGAATATGTACCAAGACTATGAGAAGCCCTATCGAATCAATTTGTTTTTTTTGGCAATTTTTGAAATAATGTATTCAAAGTGATCCTTAAGCTTTAGTTTTTGAAAATGATGTAACTATGATTATATCTGCACATATGTTTTTCTTCTTTAATTTGTATTACTCCATCTATGATGATTCTCTGAATATTTCGTAAAGTAGATTGACTCAGTACATATTAGGCATTGATATACAACAGAGACAGACTGACGAACCGGCATAAATGAGAAACATGGACTTGTGTAATACAGATATCTTTAAACAACAGAAAAATTCGAATATTATTTATTTCTTCTATCGTTTGGATAGTCGTTGATTTTGAAAAGAGATTCAGAGGCGATGAAGCTACGGACAAAAAAATAAAATCGCTGGAACATAGTATTACAACGTCTTAGAGATTCCTGCTCATTTTCATACATTGTTTGGAAAGGATGAAAATTGTAGGATGGAACCTACATGTGGTGAATGATTGTAAATTGTTGCACATTTGGTGTCATTGAAAGACCTTCAATCATTAAGAAGCTGCTAATCTCAGTGATACTATGCACCTTTTAGATATAATAAGTCACCCATATTTTCCCTGCATCTGCAGTGGAAGCAGAAATACGATAGATTTTCTTTATATAGTTTGACAGGAAGAGGTCAAGATTCATCGTACCTAAGTGAACCTACCTAGTCACGATTTCGCCTTTTGGATTGATTTGACTCATCCCTTTTCTTTTATACCTCCAACGAAGGCATATGAAGTATAGAGTCAATCTATTTGACGTCATTTTTTAATTATAAATTATTTTAAATAAAACATAGGGGCAGCTGCCAGCTTCCTGTAACATTTCATTTTTTGACATGAAAAAATGTAGCCCAACTGACAATTACCTTCAAGAATCTAATTACATTAAAAACTATGAATTGATATTTGATTAATAATAGTATTTTATATTTTTGAGGAGGAGGAAGAGCAGTTGTTCGAGATCAAGAAGCCGAAGTAGGAAAGATTGTCAGCAGATACCAACAAAAGAGTGGACGGTAAAGGCCAGTACGGTATATCATAACTTTAGTGCAGAGAAAGGGGAGCCAGATGAACATCAAGCATTGATGAATAACGTTACTATCGCGAAATCTGATAGTTGTCCATGTCCTGTCAGTACTTCTATGGTTAGTATTTTAGTCATTACAGGGTATTGCCATTCATTAAGTAGTAGTAGTAATAGTAGGGAGGCGAAGCCTGTGACTGGTAACTGTTATTGAATCAATCGGTTCCAGCGATGCGGTTGGTCTTGCACCGATCTGGTGCAGGTCGGTGCCAAGGAGGGCTGCGGTCTCCCTGAGTATCCGGCTGATCCTTAAAATATGCATATGTTGCTTGATTTTGTGCACAATCTTGGGAATTCACTGAATTTGCCCCCTCCTCCTAAAAAAATGCCTTCGGACTCACATGTGTACATAAATATACCACCAGATGATGACCAATCCAATTGTACAACCATTTGCCGGTTACCGCTTGCAACCTGCAATATTCGACCCATCCTAACAATGTCTGAAAATAGGCCAGGTATCTCTGAAACGTTATAATACTATGTTCCAGCGATTTTTGTCTTTTTGTCCGTAGTTCTTCCGCCAATTTTGAAAATCTACAACTACCTAAACCTAAACGATGTCAGTATTGCAATATTCGAACTTCAGTTCACAAGCCTTCTGTTGCTATCTGCATCAAGCAGGTTCATGCTTCTCATTTATGTCGGTTTGTACTGAGTCAATCTACTTGACGAAATATTCAGATACCATCATATACTGAGTAACACAAATTAAAGGTTAATCGAAATAGGCGAGTACATTTTTAAGGATCATAAAATTTAGAAAGATATACGAGCCCCTTCCCCCTTCAGTTGGCCCAACTATTGAAATCTTGGTTTTTTTCTTATCAAACATATAATAAAAATGTAGCAGGGTGTTATAGGTTTAAAATATTAACAATGAATATTTTAATAATATATAGTAGAACAAACCAACTTTGTCACTCCCTAATCAAATTTGCAGCATAAAAATAACACATGTTGCAATTACAGCACATCAACCTATTTTCATTTCAATGTAAAATAAGTCTATAACGCATAGGTGACTGTGAAAAATAAAAGCCATGACAATTGTTTTTATTAATCACAGCTGTCAGAATACATTTAAAATAGTTTTGGGTAGTTAAGGTTTTCAAAATGGGTAGGGGAAAGGTTATTAGTGAGAAAATTCGGTTACTGATAATTAAATTATTAATTCTGAGAAATCAAGCTCAGAAATTGCAACTTTGTTAGACTTATCGCGGTACAGTGTGAGAAATATTGTTAGAAGATATAAGGTAACTGGTTCAGTTAATATTAAGCCACGATATGTGAAAAAAGTAATATCACAAATGCCGACCGAAGAGCATTAAGAAGAATAATCGTGAAAAACAGGCGTGCCAATTATTTACAATATTATGTGCTCTGTGGAGTGACGCTGTTGGAAGGAGAATTCCGAGGTCCACAACTCAGAGAGGCCCACAAAGTGCGATTTAGCACTTGCAAGGTAAGTTTTCTTATAAAAAAAATTGAAGTAAAAACCCTAAAGTTGCCCAACTTGTTTATAGGCCAAAGAAAAGCCACTATTAACTCCACTGCAAAAGAAAATCGGCTTAGATGGGCTAATGGACACCTCAACAATGGTGTGCAATACAATGGAGTGATGAGGCCCGATTCGAAGTTTGTGTTGGTGACAGTCGCAGTAGAGTTATTCGCAAAAAAAAATGAAGCATTCCATGTTCCATGTTCCATTTTATTGATGGAAATGTGGATACAAAAATATTTCGCAATTTTAGAAGAATCGCTTTTACCAGTGATGGAAGAATGTTTGACATCCGGCCAAGATTTTGGGTTTTCAGTAAGATGGTGCAGCGTGCCATACCTCAAAAAAGGCTATAAAATTGTTGGAAGAAAATAATGTACCACTTTTGAAATGGGTTTCTAGCAGTCCAGATCTGTCAGCTATTGAAACTTTGTGGCACGAGATGAAAAAGGTTCTACGACAACATCCTGCTCGTACAATCACCGAACTGAGACAAAAGCTTCAAGAAATATGGGATTGTTTTACACCAAATTTTTGCCAAAACTTGGTTAACACTATGCCCCAAAGAATTTCAGCCGTAATGAAAAATAAAGGTGATTTATTCGCACATTGTTTATTTGTTCAGATGTTCTATTAGTTATAGGTCTAAGTGATTTCAAATATGTATTTTTTACGACTAGAGTGTATCTAAAATATTTTTGAGAAAATAAATTGTTTTAGAAGTAAATAGTTTCGTCATGTTTAGTTTATAAAGGCATATTTTGGTACTAATCTTGAAGTGGGCCAACTGAAGTGGGAAGGGGCTCGTATAGATATAAAAACAATTAGGTAATCAATCACAAAAGCATCGCTGAACGCTAAAGTTGTAGGTATTCCTAATACCCAACAATTCCTAAAATATGTAAATACTCCACTGTATCTGTGTCGACATTAAGTTCGAGTTAGTTACCTATTTATCAGTGTTGCCAGATTAAAGAAAATCACCAGGGATTTTAGAGGTTAATTTTTTAAGCTGTATTACTGGTTGTAAACGAAAAAAATGCACTTGTAATGTTTGTATACGACTTAATAATCAAATTGTTTAATAAAACACAATTCACTATAAATTTCCTGAGTCTGTGGTGAAGGCAGTAAAATATTATTAGCACCTACCTAAGATATAATTTGAGTCTCGCAACTAGTACATCAATTTGTTTGTCAGTGGAAGGTAATAATAGAGCTGATCTCCTTTTCAACGAACATTACAAAAAAAAAACGATAAATTGATACTTTCATGTGAAATCTTCAAGAAACGGCACTTACTTGCCCAAGGTACATTATTCGCTAAACACAAGACTTTTTCTTTTCATATTAGTACGTAATGAATTTACTGTAAGTTTCTCTGACAACATTATGAAACATCCTGTATACTTGGCTCAATTTTGCGTCACATCAAGTTTAAAAAATGGCGTCAAGTAGGTTGTCTCTGTACTTCTCACGCAACGCTGTCATCAGTTCGTAAAGGATTATGTTCGGCACAAGTTAACCCTTCTGAAGAAAGCTAGTTACGAAAATGTATAAAAAAAAATTAGGTGGATTAAGCTAATCAAAGAGGCACTTAAAATTTGCACATTTACCATGATTCTGTGTACAATTTTGGTTCTTTCTGTCTCTCACTTGATAAAAATTCCTGTGGGTGCACATGATCGTTGCTATAAATAATCTAGCATGGATGGCAACATTGACTTTCACGGCACACAGCACCAGTGTTGCCACAGAGAGCCCAATAGAGCCAAATCTGGCCCTTTGGAAACGGAATGGTCCCTTGGCTCCCCTTTTCTAAATCTGGTCCTTTTTCCACATCATTTTTAATGCAACTTAATAGGTCAAATAAATTGTAACTCTAATTACTTTTTGAGCCGTAAAGTTAGCGTACATTGGACATTAGAGTTTCCAACTAGTAAGGCTAAGCTTACTGAGCAAGCGTACTCAGCTTCAACTATGCTTTTGTTTTTACGTCCACTGGACAAGGAACCTATTGTAATCATGAAAAATTTCGAAAATCAGATATTATGTTTTTTAGATGTTATATGACATGTAAGTACATTACTAAAAACCATGTCACCCCTTTCCGTCGGTTTGTCCGCTAATCCTATAACCACCTATAACTTGGGAAGTACCGCTCGGCATGACTATTATATAAAAAAACCTAAACGTAAAAAAAATAAAATGTCATCTGGCATACTAGGTAGTTTTTAGGGTGTAAATAGTTCATTCCACGTTTGCTCGGTATGATCGATGTGAGCGTCCATCTATGAACTCAACTACACGCATGGTTGGTTGCAGGAAGCAACTTTATGTTTTGTGAAACCGACTAGTCTGTAGTGTTTATCTTTGAGATGTGAAAGAAAGAAAGTTCGTTGAATGGAAAGATCGCATCAGGATGATTACGTGTATTGGTCTGCAGGTGTATAGAATCAGTGATATTTGCTGTGTGAGAAAACTATTATTGAATATGCTGCGAATGAAGTATATCTATTATTTACATGTTGCCCTTTCTGAAGACAGGTTATGCTTAAAGTTATAAATTACGATTTTTCCCTTTTTTGTGTTTTCAAAAATTAAGCCACATAACAAAAAAATTAGGAATGACACAACAAACATTTTCGCAATGCCTCACATCTAGGCGCGGATTTGTATTTTCTATTGACATTGCAAAATAAATTTCTATAAAATTTGAATGACTGGAAATAAGAAATAATGTACCTTTTCACTTTAATAAATATTTCTGTCTGTAGCATATTTTCTCACTTGTTCCTTTACCAACCAGAGATTCTCTTTTCTTATCTCTCTCATTTTTTAAATTCAGCGAATTTGTATATCTAGCTGCCAGAATAAATAAGAAAAAGTAGATGCGCAACTAATTTCTAGCTTTGAATCTTGAGCAAGTGTATTTGAGGCATACGAGGCATGTCTTTTAAGTTTTGCATATGGAAATAAAACAACATGTTAGGTAGTTTTAAATGACTTTATTGTCTTTCGAAGTATTCTACATGAAGATTAATACAGATCTGCATGCGCTCGAACCAATTTTCGAAGCAGTTATTCCACTCGTTGGCAGATCCAAAACGGCATTTTTGAATGCGTCAACTGTTTCTTCTGGTGACTGAAACCTTTGACCACGCAGTCTGTTTTTAATTTTCGGGAAAGTAAAGAAATCGTTAGGACTTAGATCGGGACTATATGGAGGATGGTTCCGTTAAATACTGCCTTGTTTTTTGGGCTGTGTGCGAGCTTGCATTGTCTTGGTGGAGGATGATTCTTCTTTCGGGGTTGATTTTTCGAAGCTTGGAGATGACTTTTGGCAAACAAATGGTGGTATACCAATCCGCAGTAACAGTTCTTTGCTCATTAAAGGGAATTGTTTCAATATGACCCGCTTTTGACACAAATGTCGCGACCATCTTTTTCGAAACACTTCGAGAACGGATGACTTTTGTTGGCTTTGAATTCAGCAGACAGTAACTCAGCAAGGCATTCTTGTTGCGATAATTGTCTCTGAAAGTTGTAATAAATTATGGCGCGAAAATGTTCTCGGTTGAGTTCCATTTTTCTAATGACTTGGTGACACTTAAACATTCACTGTAGTGAGAACACTGCACATATTGTTGTGAAACCTTGAATTTAGGTTTACTAAGTGTGAGGTTAATATTCAGTACTGACGTTCGATCCGCGCGACCTACTATGTTTCTATATGCAAAACTTAAAAGACATCCCTCGTATTATTAGTCACACTATGCATCTATCCACTGCCGTTTCCTTCTAGCTATAGTATATAACTTACAGCTTAGACTTCCAATAATGCCATCTCTGAAGCACGTTAACATACATAATGTCACAAAAACCAATATAATGTCAAAAAAACCGACACATAATGTCACTTTTCAAGATATTTAATACGATGAAATTTTTATAATATGTTATTACTGTACCAAAGACGCAAAAGCTTTGTAGTTTATGGAAATCGGATCATTGGTGGCGAAGAAAAAAGTCAAGAAGGAAAAAATAAAAATCACTCAAACTTTGTTTTAAAGGCTCCTGATCATTTTCAGAAAAAAAAATTAAGTGTTGAAATTTGGGGGTTGTGGGGGTAGAGGAGGGTATATGAATTTTTGTTATTGATCTTGGTATATTTATACGCTCCCAACCCCGGTAATTACACACACCTTTTAACAACAATATTTCACACATCATAGATTTACCCGTACATTTGCTTTTAAAACTTGATGATAGAGAAATGTTTTCAGTTCACGTTCTTCCCCCTATCTAAGCGCACCGCCTGGCGAACCAGTCTGGCCTTTATATGTATCCATAATGAAGGGCAAAAAACATACATGTTGTATATGACCGTAACTCATATTTTTTCGTTAGAGGAATTAAATTGCGCTGAACTTAATCCTTTATGAACTGATGATGGCGTTGCGTAAGAAATTAACCCACTTGACGCCATTTTTTGTATGTAAGCATTTTAAATTCAAGTGGTTTTTTGTTTCTATCAGATAAAACATGTTTTAAAAATGGGTTTTCTTTTTAGTCTGATCTTCCAAAGTGCTTAGTTGTAATAAAGTTTTTGTGATTTTTATTTATAGTGGTTATTTTTTTCCTAATCATTAAATGGATTCGGGAGACTACGGCCCGTATCGACAGTCGTCCCTACAATTGTAGGGCGCCTTTATGGCCTCCTTGATTGTCATAGTTTTCTACTTCTCCGTGTCAACGCTCTATTTTGAGGTTATGTCACAAACATCTATTTGCATCAAATTGTGCTTGCTTTTGAGTTATATCATGTTTTATCAGCTTGAAATTTCCTACAATTTAAAAAGAAAACATATCTTCACAATAGGAAAGCGCTGACGCTGACACGGGACAAGTGTAATCTAGAAATTCTAGAATTTTTTTAAGGAGAGAAAGGAGTATGACAATCAAGTAGCCATAAACGCGCCCTACAATTGTAGGGACGACTGACGATACGGGCCTACAGTGCTGTAGCGCTTTGTCCAAAATTACCATTTTGTTTCTCATTCTCATAGAAACATTGTGAAAAACGTCATTTTTGACATAACGCACTTCAGCGCTGCAGTTCCCTGAATGCACCCATTGCAAAAAGTACATTACAAGCAAGTATATAGGTAAATTGAACTAAATTTTACAAAAAATCCAAAATATATTAGTTGAACCTTGAAAAAAATCTGGTTCTTTTTGTACGTAAAACCTGACCCGGAATATTCAGAGCCTGTGGCGCCTCTGTACAATACACAGCCCCCAGCAGTACGAAAGCGACTACTGACTACAAGTTCTAACCTAACATTTTTAACCCCTTCTAAAAATCTCCAAAAGTTACCACGATCTGAGACGCCAAAAAACAAAGTTTGTATTAATTTAATTTTTTCCGTTTTTTGGCCTTTTTCCTGTCGCCACTGAACCGAGAATCAAAAATTATAAAGCTCCGTCCTTGGCATAGGTATTTTCCAATTTATAGATCGGTCAACGATTACCGGACAGACGGACCGGCAGCTAGACCGACGAAAATGAGTGACATGGTTGTTCGGGATGAATAATGATTATGTCATATAAAAACGAAAAAAGATAATAATTATTCATTTTCAAAGTTTTTTTTTCGCAATTTCAATGCTTCGCGAATCGGCGTAGGACTTTGCCATTCTCAAGTAATTTTGACATCAAATAGGTTTCTTGTGGTATGTTACGTCCAAAATATTCTCAGTGTGTTAACATACACTTTTTCATCACAAAATAGGCAAGACAATGTTCGTGCAGCGGCAAAAACCCGAAATCCCGCAGTGTATTGGAAGTCCCCTGCATCAGTCCGCATATCGCCGAACACATTTACTCGACAGACGAGGTGGTCAATGGCTTAAAGAGGGAGATAGAGAACGTGAAGAGCCAGCTAATGGTTATGAGATCTGCTCCTGAGAAGAAATCATCTACGAGCAAAGAACCGACAGCAAAACAAGTCAACCAGCTATCCAAGGAGAACAAACATTTGCGTAAAGAGTTAGAGCAGAAGAGACAGTTGTATCAGGCTACCGTGAAGGAGATGCATAAGTCTAAGGATATTTTGTCAGAGTATGAAAAGCAGGTTGGATTAAATTTCTTGCTCCGGCTAACCAAAAAAGTACCTGCTATTGCTTGCTGTCTAGCACGCAAGATTAACATTTTCCAAGCATCAATCGCAAATGGTTGCGGTCAGACCAACCATGCAATGCTCCCATGTTACAAGACATGTCACAATTTCAGACGTCATTATAATCTTGATCTGTATATACAGTGCTTTTCAAAAGGATCCCCACTTTTTTTGAACGCGTCAAGCTAGGAAGCTGAAATTCCCATTCAAAATGTCTTTCTGAAACTGCATGCGGATTTTCTTCAGCGTTAACATGTATATTATGCATGTTTATACCACGTCGGGTAAGCAAATACTTTTGTGAAATGACCTATCATCTGACCTGCATTCTGATACATTTTGTGTAAGTCTCAAACGTGAGTAAGCAATAATTCCTGGACAGGCTGAAAAAAAAAACAATTCAAAATCCGGTTGACAGTGCTTTTCTGAAATTCTAGTCCATGTTCTAATCTACGAGCGCTGATATACTAAGTGACATATAAATCCGAACACCCAGTTTAAATGGTTTTATTTTAATAAAATTTTGTATAAGTACTTAATGAAGCATAATAAGTAAATGATAAGAATTTCAAAATGATTGCACTGCTTTGAAGCCCTTTGACCTTTAATAATGTGTGGATGCACCCTGATGTGCTACGCATTCTCCAACGCGCCTAGGCATGCTTCTGATCAGGTGGTCAATGTCCTCCTGTGGTATCTCATTCCAGGCAACCACCAACTCCTCTCGAAGTGCTTCTAGAGTCTGAGGAGGACGTTGCAAATTGAGCAATCTCCTACCCATCATATCCCACACGTGCTCAATTGGGGATAAGTCGGGAGATCTTGGTTGCCATGGTAACAATGTGACATCATTATGTTGAAAGAAGTCTATTGTGACTCTTGCAACATGTGGTCGGGCATTATCTTGTTGGAAAGTTGGATCTATCAGGGTGTCAAGATAGGGTAAAAGATGGGGTTCTATAACTTCGTGGATATAACGCTGCGCGTTCATGTTACCTCTGATGAAGATTAAAGGTGACCTGGAACCATAAGCTATAGCACCCCAAACCATAACTCCAACAGTGTGATGAACATGTCTTTCAACAAAAAACTGTGGATTTCTCCTTTCACCACGTTGCCTTCTAACCCTGGCACGACCATCGTGCATGCCTAAACAAAATCGAGACTCGTCACTAAAGACAATACTGTTCCATTCCTGATCCCAGAGTGACCGTTGTCTGCACCACTCAAGGCGATTACGTCGGTGTTCTCGAGTTAAAGGGAGGACCCAGTGTGGCCGGTATGAAAACAAGTCAAAACTTCTCATTCGTCGGTAAACACTTCGCATGCCAATAGGTCTTCCGTGTTCTGCAAACCATTCATTTGCAATGGACCTGGTAGTGGAGAAACGGTCCCTTAAGGCCAATAATCTTAGGCGGCGATCTTCACGGTCTGTTGTTCTACGGCGGCGTCCAGTGCCCCTTGCTCTTTGCGTACGGCCTTCTCGAAGCCATGCCTGACAACACCTAACCACACTGTCTACACTTCTTTGCAATCTAACTGCAATTGTCCGAAAAGAAATTCCAGCTTCCCGAAGTCCCACTATACGGCCCCTATCAAACTCACTAAGTTGACGAAATCGTACAGGTCTCCGTACTCTAGGCATCGTAACCGATCGTAAAGGATGTCAAGAACCAAAATCCGCCAACGTTGATTCTTTACTGCGGCTGAAATATTCATTTTTGGAGCGTTAGTGAATTAAAAAAAAGCAGTATAAAAACCGGAATGTCCAACTGATAAGGCTTTTCACTTGTTATTTACAGTAAGATAAATACATTCACCAACTTTTATTAAAATAAAACCATTTAAACTGGGTGTTCAGATTTATATGTCACTTAGTATACCTGGATTTTCTTCGACCACCTCATGAACAGCTTCTTCCACTAGTGGTCTAATCGTCTTTGTCTGTCAGAGCGGTCCGCGGAACCTTTGCTCTTGGTTAAAGTATTGTAGGTTAGTAGCTCTGTCAGGTCTGATTGCCCAAATACCAGACAAAGTCAGGGAGAAAGAATGGAAGAAGGTAGAAAGGAAGGAAAAGGGAAGAGCAAAAATGAAGAAGTGTGTCTGTGGGACGGGTGCCTTTACATTGTTAACAAGTATTCAGAAATTTTTCATCGATCTAAAAATTATAATTTTGGTTGGGCATAGAATTGCACGATTTAATTTTGTTCACAGTGTCGGCCGCTGTTTCGTGTACTTGCGAATTTGCTGGACTGTGTATTCTACTGACTCAAGCAATAGAGGATTGCCGTGCGATTCTGCTTGACCAAAACGTAACTGCGCCTGTTGTTTGATGTAGTCCTTTAGGTAACGAATGTTGAGGTCTTTGTGAAGGGTATCGTTGGAGACATACCGTGGGGCGCTAGTGACAGTTCACAAGGTTCTGCTCTGCTTTACGAATACGCGTTTTGGCGAGGGAACACCATGCTGCATATGCATCATAAGTGCTTGCTCGTCTAATAACCATCTTGAATAGCCGAATTTTGTTGAACAAACTTAATTTTGAGGTTCTACATAGCATAGGGTAGAGTTGCCGATAGATACTTTGGAATTTGGTTTTAAACGCTTGGCAGTATGCTTCTGCTAAGTGATCCCGTCGTCAAGAGTGATACCAAGATACCCAACAGCATTTTCCCATGGCATACGTAATTCATTCAGTGAATCCACAGAAGGAGCACCGCTACGTTTTTTAGAACAATAGATATCCTGGGCTTTCGAGTAATTAATTTTGATCCTCGGTACTTTGTAACTTGTCGTGAATCAGATTCCCGGAACTCGACTGGGTTATCAGTGCAGTGTCATCAGCATATAGATAGATTTTACAGTCGCTGGGGCAATTACACTCGAGGTGTTTGGTTATGCCGCGGTTTCCCAGCGTGGGCTCTCAAGGGTTTGGAATCGACCATTTCTTCGAAGTCGGCGTTCTATGCTTGCAAAAGTCTGACGGTTTGGAATTCGTCGAATCGGATATCTCTCTTGATACTTTTTCTAAAATTACCTTCGCAGAAAAGAAAAGTACTAACAACATATCAGTCTGTTCGTCAAAAGGATATTCCATATTCACGAGAAAAACAAGCAACAAAAACAACATAACTAAAAATAGTCTCAAACAGTGATTAATTTATAAATAATTTATGAAGAATAAACAACAAATTAACAATAAACTCAAACATTACTTATTAATTTAAACTTGATGAAGCATTCCACATTTCCGCCAACTGGATGCCCACTAGATTTTAACACTCGATGTAAAAAGAAACCAGCTCCTGAAAACATTTTTTTTTCTAGAAAAACAATGCGAAATGGCCTGTTTTTATGAGACAAAAAGTGAAAAGAACCCTTTAAGTAAAAAAATTCAGAGTCTTGGGAGAGTTGAGAAAAAAATCTTCTATAAGTTATGTAGGAGTGAGGGTAGTTTTCACCCTTCTCGAACCCTTTCGGGTGTTTTGTAAACTTCAAATATTAGGACGTCTAGCAAAACAGATGCGTTCCAAATTTCCTTCAAATCGGACTATCGCCTTCAAAAATATCTGAAAAAAATCCCTCTAACGGACAAACGAAACAGTTTTGCATATTAATAATAATAATTTTTCTTTATTCAACGAATCATCAAGGGATGACACGGCATGCGTCAAAAGAAAAGGAAAAAACTAGAACCATGTACAAACATCAAAATAACACTAAGGAAAAATCATACGAATACGTGTAGATTAGTTTTTTAAATATATGAGAAACTGTTTAATACAGTAAAAGCGGCCATTCAATAAAATGTTTTTTAACTTTCTCTTAAAACTATTTTACGACTTAACCTCACGTATGTCGGCTGGGAGCATACATCCAGCATAAACTGGAAACTTTTCTATAGTGCATGTGATAAAACTTGTTGTTAATCAATAATTGTCTTTGTTACTAATATTGTGGTTATACATATCGGAATCTCTTTTAAATTTGTTTTAACTTAGGAAAAAATACACAACAGTTTGAAAGTATAAATAGATGCCACGGTAAGAATACGGTAACGTTTGAGTATTTCCCTGAAAGATGACCGATAGTGAATTTTGGACGTCTTTAGCCTGCCCCCACAAACCATACAATATAAGATAGCAGAATATCCTAATATTCATCAAGACATCTATATCAACGTATTTTTAAGAGAATTCATCACGAAATAACATTTACCAAGCTTTGTACACGCTGAATCAGCATTTTCCTCCCATGACAGATGTGCGCCTAAAATGAAACATTAGAATTTAAATGACAAATTGAAGTTACGTTAAATTTGTGATTGATATTAGTCGAAGGTTTATGCCTGGTTACAGTCTTATTACATTTAACGATTAGGCCGTTTTTATAGCACCATTCGTCAAATTCCTTTATCACAATTTTTGTTTTTTTTTTTGCTCAAGGCTTTCTGCTGAGTCAGCAATTATACAGGTGTCATCAACATATAAGAATGGTGCACCTTTACTGATTTACAAAAAAAGGTCCTTAAAAACAATAAAAAGCTGAAAGATCCTAGATGTAAATCATGTCCAATCGACTTATTTTGAGTCTAAAAATACATGGTACTTCATGTCAACAGAATATTGGAACACCCTATATGAGAAGATTGATATAACGTATAACATTTGGATGAGTTTGATCTGGAGTCTAATCTGTGGTTGACTAGTTATAAGGGATTCAATGTACAAAAACGTTCAGCTTTGACAGCGTGACAGATCTCCATTTTGAGAATGATGTTATGTTCTAGAGTTATAAAGTACTTATGAGAAGCTTCAAAATGAAGTATTACATGACCCCTCGTTCAATTAAAATAAATTGTTATAGGTACAAGAAAGCGCCCAGCCTCAGATTTGCAGACAAAAAAATTGGAGTTTATATTTGTTGATCAATATTTCATGCTCTCCTGGAATTTGGTTTTGTAGGTGGGCCTGTTACATGAACAAGCAATCAAATCTTCGAAAGTGATGAAGCAGAGCAAAGAAAAATTTTGCCAGTGCATTAAACAGAAAGACAATATGATCGATAGATTAAAACGTCAATGCGAAGAGCTCCATAGAGTTGTCGGGGACAAAGAAATGAAATACGAGTCACTCCGGAAGAGTTTCGACGATTTGCAAGTGATGTATGTGGACAATACTAAACAGTATGATCTTATGACTGAACAAAATCAAAATGTTTGTGAGTGTCTAAAATTGATGGAAGGACAGTTAGAGGCTTCGGTTAAGGAAGTTGAATATTATAAAAGCGAACTGGATAGAATGGATAAGGTAAGCAAATAAACTGAGGGACTACACTTTCACAGTATGAAAGATGTATTTCTTCATCCCAACGTGAATAAAATCGGTTCTGTGAACCCTTCCCAGTCGGCATGTCCATAAGGCCAAATTTTGCGGCATGGACGAGTTTCTGCTGTCAAAGCCAGAGGAGACCGGACAGCAGCGCTATAAGCGACCGGATGCGTGGTCAGAAAGAGATCCAGCAGACAACTATAACGCGTGACTAAAAGTGCCTGTTCAGTCTGCAGTGGCCAGTGAGAACCCCCACCAAAAGTTTGACTGATTTTCTACCCCTGTCCAGCCGCCAGCGCGCCCGACGTTTGTCGAGGCCACGGTCTTTTCTGGTCCCTATACACCCATCCATTCAGGGCGGTATTGACCTGGCTCCTGCTTGTGTCCAGCCTAGGCTCGAGACCGATGCAAGTGCATTTGGCTCCCAGCCTAGCCAGGCGATCTGATTTCTCGTTGCCCAGCACTCCACGCTGAGAAACGCAACGCACGAACTACACCATTAATAGGAATCGCAGGGCAGAAGCTGATACATGACTCCACATGACTGGAAGCGAAAACCCAGGGAAATGTTCTTTAGGCACATATAGGCAGATGCCTCTGACAAGTGAATCAATCAGAGTCTAGACAGAACGGCACCTGACCTTTGGACCAATCGGGGATAGCGTGTGTTAATGACAAAAGGAGGAAAACTTTTTCTCTACTAGAGAACTAACCAAACTGAATCGGAAGAAAAGAAAAATAATACTTGTCATACATACTAATCGATTGGTAGACAAGGCAATAGCATAACATTGGAATTTCCTTAATAATTGCTGACGGAAAAAAAACGAGGAAACTCGCAAATCAACATTGAGGATTATCGATTTCTATAGAAAAGGCAAGCAGTGGCATATCCTGGTTTGCAATCGACACGTATGGATTCGCATAGTTCGACATAAAACATCTAGAAATCTAACTTGCGCGGTGCGATATCAACGCATCATCTTTATATTCAAATCGCAGAATTTTAACATGCTACAGTACTTCAAGGATATATCTCCATTAATTTCTTTGTTGTGAAGGGAAAGATAAGAAAACCGACTGCGTAGCTTAGGTGTGGAAACATACGGACATTCTTAAGACATCCTGGAAAAAGCTAACTATTTTTCCACCTTTAGATTAGGATATCTCGGAAACTAGAGTCAATTGAGAGACCTGAACCACGGTTTCAGACTGTGTAAAAAAAGCCGATAGCAGCATCCAAAGCAACGATTTCTACTTAGAATATCTGTTAATCCTATTAGATTACAAACATTATTCTTGTATACAGGCCCATTATCATTTTGTAGCTTGTAGCGGATTTCAAGTGCGAATTTTGCGAAAAAGTAAACTCGGGAGCTAAACAACAAAGTGATAAATATGAGGAACGTATAAAGGAATTGGAAAACAAGGAAAATGTTCTGAAAGATGAAATAGCTTCATTGAATGAACAACTGAACGATACAGCAAACAAAGAGGGTGCTTTGAAAGAGTTACGAGAAAAATGTGCATGCTTAGAAGAAAAGTTGGAAGGCTATCAGAAGTATATGGCCAAGTAAGTTGAATATATTTTAACAAAAATACGAATTTTTTATGGATGGGCTTGGTAGCCAAAGGAGTTGAACCCTATTTTCGCTATGTTATAGTCCCGAGAATATCTTCCCGTCTAATGGTAAGAATATTCTGATAAGAATTTTTCCGGTTGTACAGGAAGTAGATACCAAATTGCTAATAGATTTATAAATATGCTTTATTGTCTGAAGAATAAACTCATTCTTAATCACAAAGCTAACTTAAAGCTTCACTATGGCATATCTGACGAATTGTAGAACTCACTACCTTGTTGTGTGGTATACATATTAAAAAGCTCTTATGTTTAAGGCGCAACATCTTTAAATTAATAATTCTTTAGACAGCATCAGGGAGAGACATGTAAATTTTCAGACCATTATAAATTATTGAGTTTTTCACGAATGTTGATTTAGATACTACTAGTTTAAGATCTTGTTACTGTCTGATACTGTAATTTGTATTTCATGTTTCAAATTCAGATTCATTTTTAAAAGGATTGCTGTTAGTTATAAGTATATCTAATCCTTTGTTCTTGTACAATAAGCACTCTTTGAACAATTTCGGGAACAGACGCACTAAGGGAATGCTAAGGTTGTGCTTTTCTCTATGTTGTAACTAATTGTTCTTATAATAAATGAAATGTTTGCTAGTTGAGTAAGCAATTTATCTACATGATTCGTTTCGATTTTATGATCAATGGTCAGTCCCAAAAATTTGATGGTATCTGGTTTGTGTATCAATTATTCATTATTTGAATTTATAAAAAAAAGAGGGGAGCATTTAAGTGTCATGAATATTGTATTATTGACATTGAAAGTCAAGTAATTGTTGTCACACCATTTTTTGACAGATTATATGTCACTATTAATTTTTATCTTGATTTCATCCTATGGGCTCTCCGAGAAGTTGTGCAGATGGGTTTCTGACTTCCTCTCTGGCCGCAAGATATCCGTCGTAATTGACGAGTTCTCTTTATCCCACAACGTCAACGCGGGTGTTTCCCAGGGATCGGTCTTGGCTCCGACACTGTTCGTCTTTCATATCAACGACCTTTTTTCCTGTAAGATCAACTCAATTCGTAGCTTTGCTGATGACAGCACTCTACATACAGGAATCCATAGCGACTAATCTCTGCCGGTGAGCTGACAAAAGAGGACCAGCAGCGACTGCCTCGCTGACTAGCACCTGGAGGTTATCACTGCATGGGGACGCAACAATCTTGTAAAGTTTAAGGCTTCCAAAACACAGAACTGTACCTTGTCGAACAAAAAGCGTGCTAGCGCTCATCTGGTTTCGATGGATGGCCGAGTACTGTCAAAGAGCCGTTCATTTCGGCTGGTCACCAAGAACTTGATCTGGCACGAGCTCATCGCGTCAATAGCGCCACCTGCTGAGAAAAAGCTAGGCTATTTGTTTAGGGCCTAGAAGTTCTTTTCTCCGCATGACCTCCTCACTCTATACAAGGCCCGGATAAGACATAGCCTTGAGGATTGCTCACACGTTTGGAGTGCTGCCGCCCCGACTACATCATTTATGCTCGATTCTGTCCAGAGGAGGGCTGTCCCTCTGATCGATGACTCTTCTCTAACAGACAGTCTCTGGACCCTCTCGCACCGGCGGGCCGTCGGCGATCTAGCTCTCTTCTACCGCTACACCAACGGGCTTTGCTCCTCAGAGCTCTCTTCCATCATGCCGCCACGCTATGTGCCTGCCGGACAGACCTGCCTGACTTTGGCCTCCCATCCTAATCGTGTTGAACTTCGTACATCTAGAACTGGCCGATACGACCGCTCCTTTGTCCCGAGGGAGTCGAGAGTGTGGAGAAATCTACAAGAGGAGGCGGTGCTCCTAGCATTTAGACTTCTGCCTGCGCGACTGCTTCGGGCCAAAGTATTCTGGTATCGTCAGCATAAACTACGAATATACCATTATGTTTAAGTTTATTGATATAAACTAAGAATAGGATAGGATCCTTGAGGTTCCCTGCGTTTATATTGAATTTCTTTGAAATTAATATCTTGATAATCTTGCAATTTGGGATTGATTATTTAAATGTGTTTTAAAACAATTGAGTGAGGTTCCAGTGGATCCACATTTGCTTAATTTTTTAACATGTCATGTCAAAAGCTTTGGAAAAGTCGCAAAAAAAGAGCTACTAAATTTGTTTATCATTTAAATTTGAGCATAACCGCTGGAGTAATGTGAAAATAGCATCCACAGTATTATTTTGTTTTGAAAATCCAAATTGGTTGTCACTTATAATTTGAACCATTTTTCTTATTATGTTTGCTACAAGAGTAATTAAACGTATGAGTCTATAATTTTCTAGTAATTCGCTTGGACATCATTTATTAATAGGAATAACTATTACAGTCTTAAGAAATTCTGAGTGAAGACCTGTGCTCAGAGAAATATTTATGTTTTGTGAGCGCATCAAGGGCATCAAGTGAGGGTGTGATTATTAACTATTTCGTACTTTTTAGATGTCAAGATTTGGAGGACGAATATCAACAGCAATGTAGGGAGGCAATCGAAAAAGAATCAAAATACTTAAAGGAAAGAGATGAACTAAGATCGTTAGTTGAAGAGCTGACAGCAGTTGTCCAACAAAATAAAGTTACATTGCTTCAACTATCTGAGATAAACAAAGAACAAGAGGCACTTATTTTGTCTCAAGGTGCCGTTTTATCAGAAAAAGTGAGTAGAATGCCATGTATCAAAGAACAATGATTATCGAATTTTGCATTTAGGAAGAGAAAATGAAATCTGTTGAGAGTGAAATAGACTGTTTGAAACGTCAAAGTCTGGAGTTGGAACAAGAAGTCGAAGATCTCAGACAAGCTCTATCAGGTCCATGTACCAAAGATACTTGTCTAAGCTTATCACATCAACTGGATGATCTGAAGTAAGCATCACGCGATCTTCTGATTTCAAGGCATTCCTTTATTTTTTCTGCTGTACAATTCAAGCGCAAAGAACTTTACCGCTTTCGAAGTATTATATTTCTAGAGCCATAAAGTATTTTGCGCTCAAGTAGATGTTGTTGGTTTTAAGAGTGGCCTTAGATAGTGAAAGGGACAACAAGCTTGTCAAAGAGAAGATAATTGAAGACCAGTCGCATACGATTCAGTTTCTGCAACAACAAATTAAGGACAGAATTGCTGAGCTGAACCGATTCAAAGAAGAAACCAGTATCACTGAAAAAGAGATGATGAAAGTCTCCAGAATCTTAGACAAGAAGCAGGAGGAACTTGACCATGAGTCTAAAGAAAAGGAACAGCTTGCCAAAAAGCTGAAGGTACGAGAAAAAAATCAATGATTGTTCTCCACTGTTTGGAAAGCAATGAGCTAACTTACAACAGTACACCCAGAAGTATGGTCTCCTATTTTTTACTTCGCACGCCACTAACAAGAAAGTATTGTAATCGCGAAAGCTTCCGAAGATTTCGTCGGTCTGTCTGTCTGTCGGTCCGTCTGTTCGTGGAAAACACCGGTCAGATTTTAATCAATCAATCATTCAAATCATGCTTTATTGTATTTATTGTATTAATACAATGACAAAAGTAGTGAATACATTACCATATAAGGTAGATAGTCACAGACATCATATGACATGAAATAAATTAAAAGATGAAACAACGTTAAACATAAAACAGACAATAATTCAACGTGCAAATATGGTCACAGTAGGTGATAAAAGTATTCCTGTAGGCTATGGTAGGCTTTTGCGTAGAAAGAATTCCTTCACAACTTTTTTGAAAACCCTCAAATCACCAATTATTGATAGCTGTCGGTAGATGGTTGCTAAGAACTTCAACAATTCACACATCGAATTAGATGGCGGTCTATATAAGGTGTCCCATATCGTTATGTTCAAATTTTGGGAGTGGAAAGTACCCTTCTTTTCAAGTGACAAAAACGCAAAACTTGTATATCCATTCTTATTTATTTCAAAGTTACACGCCCATGAATATTATTTGAAGATAATACTAAAAACTACTATTTTTTTTTCGGAGATCACAAATAAAAACATTTATGATAAACAAGCGATCAAGGTTAAATGCAGCTTCTTAGTGAGTGACGTTTTCTTTATCAAAATGCCCTGCCGATTTTCTTCTGAACAGTACGCAGACATGCATTTTGTGTATGGCTACTGTAACGGCAGTGCTCGTCAAGCAGTTATCGAATATCGACATCGGTTTGCAAATAGACGCATTCCTCATTCCAAACATATTTATGGAAGTACACAGACAATTCGGGAATGAGGACTGCATGATTATCTTTTCGATCGGGCAGTGAAGTTGCCAGCAGGTTTGGATCAACAAGTATTAGATGCTACTGTAAGGAATGCAACTATCTATCAGTGTACGTCGAATCGGTAGACAAGTCCCGGGAATGATTATTTGGTGAATTTTAATACGTGAAGGCTTACATCCGTATCATTATCGTAGAGGACAAGGTTGTTTGATGCAGATCACTATGCTCGTCGAGTGTATTCGACCTGGATATTAGGACAGCCCCGTCTTAATTTTCATTTCTGCAGAACAGCCCTCTGGACAGATGAAGCAACATTCGCAAGGCGTAGTATTACAAATCTGAGAAACCTACATAGGTGGAAATCAGAAAATCCCAAAGCTGTACGTCCATGTAATTTTCAACATGAATTTTCTATTAACGTATTGGCTGCCATAATCGATGACTTGTTGATTGGTCCTGTTGGGCTTCCTGCAAGGGCAGAGTTGAATGCAGACAGTTACCTTTAATTCCTTATGGACCAACTGCACGGAGTTTTTAGGATGTCCCACTGAATATTCGCCTACACATGTGGTTTCAAATGGATGGGGTTCCACCCTATTTCCGAATTGCTGTCCGACATTGGGTCACCGTCAACTATCCAAGATGGAATGGTCGAGGTGGTCCTGTAGCCTTGCCCCCTAGATCACCCGATCACAATCCCCTTGATTTTTATTTATGGGGGTACATGAAAACCTTAGTCTACGATCCAGTTTCAAATACAAGGGAATAGTTATTGGTGCGTATTCAGCAGGCTGCTGAACAGATACGACAAAACAAGTACCAAATACAGATAACTACGTCATCTGTTGGCTTACGGGCACAAGCCTGCATTCAACAAGGAGGTACACATTTTGAAAATATTATCAATTGACCTTTTTTTAATAAAATCATTTTTTATTTACTTTACCAATTTATTTTTAGTATTATCTTCAAATAACTTTCATGGGCATGTAACTTTGAAATAAATAAGAATGGATATACAAGTTTTGCGTTTTTGATACTTGAAAAGAATTGTACTTTCCGCTCCCAAAATTTGAACATAACGATACGGGACACCTTGTATATACCATATATACAATGTGTTTGGTCACGTCATACCGATATTCAAGGAGGGTATTTTACAGCTATTTTTATCAACAAATCCACCTCTCTACAATGTTCTACTTCACTCCTCTTGAAATGGCAGCCATTTTTATTTTTACGTTACGATTACGCTAGTGCATGTATGAAAATTGTAATAACTGAGTACATAAGTGTCACAGAACGATAAACTTGGTGTAATTTGAACGATAACATGTTGTTCTAGCAATTATTGAAAAACTTGTATTGATACTAATCGTCAAACAGACTAATGCGGAAAAAAATATGCAAGAAAATTGATTATTTTGTACATATCCGCACATCATTCAAAAACTAGTCTGTGAAGTTGTACTTTTTTGTGCTAATTCTGCAGCTATGTTATTTACAAAATGACACCAAATTTATTATGCTAAGTCTTCTACGTTAAGTAATAAATACAATCTAACATGGTACAAAGTATACATAAAAATGACAAATCAATGTTTCTTATAAATATTTTGGACATGTTTAATGTTACAGAAGCTGTTCAAAATGTCCTCCATTATTGGTTATGCACATTGTTGTTCTTAAAACAATGTGTCGTGTTGAGCAGCGGGCCATATCCGTGTCAGCTCTAATTTCGTTCGCAGCGGTATAGATCCTTTCCACGAGCTCTTCCCGTGTCGTCGACAAATGACAGTAAACTTTTTGCTTCATTGTACCTCAGAAAGAATAAACTAGGGGCGTTAAATCAGGTGTTCGGGGTGGGCAGCAACAGTGCCTTCACGTTCTATCCATGGAAAATGTTGCCTATCCAAATGGCAGATCATAGAGTAGATCTGCAAACTTGGTCCTCAAGAAGTCAAAAAATCCCTGGCCATCTAACCTTGGAGGTAGCTCAACTGGGCCGACTAAGACTCCGTCGATCAGTCTGGCCCACATGTTTACATTAAATTCCTGTTGGAAAGTGCTCGGTCGAACTGCATGATGGTTTTCCGAAGACCACAAGTGGTCGATTCTATGGTTTATGATCTCCTGCCTCGTAAATTTTGCTTCGTCCGTCCATAGAATGTTTTCCCAGAAGTTGCAGTCCTATCGAAAGCTGCCGTTGAAACCAGGAGCAAAATATGATTCTTGCTGCATAATCTGGCTCATCAAGATCCTGAACTCTTCGAAAATGGTAAGGAAACAAACACCATATCAGCAAAAATGGTGATTTAAAAATTCATCACGTGAACGATTTGGCATGTTAAAAACTTAGGTATGACTAATAAAATGTTCAGTCACAAATCTCTTCCAGCTCAAATACTTTCAGAAAATTGACATTGAAACTAGTCAGCAATGGTAAAAAAATGAATGTATGATCGCAACGCGTGGCGGGGGACTACAAAACACTCACTATGACATTGACAACAAATAACCGGTTGTTACCATCTCGATAACGAGACCTTCCGGTAGATGTTATCTCACTCACACTCTCCACACCTTCATCTCTATCCCAGGAATGTGGGGTCCGGTCCGTTACCCGGCTTGCGCAAGGTCATGTTTAAGCAATATTTGTACTTAAAATAACTAACATAGGGAACAAATTTGGTGTCATTTTGTAGATAAAATAGTTAGCTGTAGAATTAGAACAAAAATGTACAACTTCACAGACTAGTTTTTGAATGGTGTGCGGAAATTGCGGGCGTGCGCGTGCGCTTGCGCTTGCGCGTGTGCGTGCGAGTGCGGATGCGGGTGCGCATGCGCATGCGCGTGTGCGTGTGTGTGTGTGTGTGTGTGAGTGTGCGTGTGAAATCATCTTTTCCATAAGGAATAGATTTTATAAAAATGGCCTTAGCTCAGAAAACTCAATATTAGTCTTAGGCTTCCACGAGAAATGTTTAATTGTCTATATGTAGTTCCAACACTTTTCAGAAATTCATCCTCTTGAGAATTTTAAATCACAAGAGGTATCGAGTAATAGCTTGTCTGAAGGGTCTTTCGAAGTCCTTTATTTTGACGTTTGACTTTTCAAAATCACTCGATTCGTTTTTGAGAAGACTAGAAAAATCTTCTTCATTTATCTTAATTTGATTCTGATCATAGAAAACAAAAACACACGAAAATATCACTTTTTATTTCAATAAGTGTTATTGGCCAAACAATGATATATGCGATGTTCAAATTCTTGACGGACATTTTCAAAAACATGTTGTGGGATGGCAGCTTTCGATGTTCATCCAAGCTTTTAAGTTGGGGAGTAAACGCAATAGATTTCAATTGGCCCCATAGAAAAAATCTAATAGCTTCAAATCAGTAAATCTAGCAGGTCATTCTATAGGCCCTCTTCGCCCTATCCATTTATCTGTAAACTCGTCGTCTAGCCATTGCCAAACCGGAAGAATAGAGTGAGGAGGAGCACCGTGTGGCTAAAAATATATTTCAGTCTCATCAAGTATAAGGTTTACATCCTCTTGGATTTGATTTTCAATGGTTTCAGTGATAAGCGTGTTGATGGTATTTTCCAACATATCCAAATAAATGTCTCCATTCTCCATTAATAAACAATGGCCCAAACACTTTGTTTCCTAAGATGTCTGCCCATACATTATTTTTTTGAGGGTACTGGGTATGCCCTTCTACAAAAGCATGAGAATTTTCATTGCTTCAGTACCTGCAGTTCTGCTTATTAACAAATCCATTTAGATAAAATGTGCATTCATCATTGAAGCAGATATTCTTTACACGAATAATACAATTATTGTATTAGCGCCTATCGAAATCATCTTCGGTTGACTCTTGCAATATTTTCATTTTGAATGTATAAAATTAATGGAGTTCAGTAACTGTGCGTACAAAGCCTAATGAAATACCAGCCGCAGCAACAATTTTGCGTAATGAAGTAATAGGATTTATTCCAAAATGACCAAAAACTTCAACTTGATCGGCTTCATCCAAAACTCTCGGATGATCACGTTTTCTACTTGCAACAGATCCAGTTTGAGTAAATTTAGTAACGAGGTCCAAAACATACCTATGCGAAGTTATCTTCCCCGGATGTCTGGCGTTTACCGAGCACATTGATTTTGGTCACCATAAATTAGAATCATTTCCACTCTTTCGGCTAGTGTGTAAACTATTTTGGAACTAAAATCTGAATCAATAAAGTAATTTTCACTATCCCAAGATTTTCACTAACGTAGATGACAGCAAATTAAATTCTTTCTTTCCCTTAGCAACTAATAACTAAACAGGGATAACAATAACTACAGTTCGCCCAGGATATCTGTATTTATGAAAAAAAATTCGGGTTGCTATTTGGTAATCTTCCGAAATGCTGTTTATGTTGGTAGTTTTCCGTTATTATAAACGAATTGTAGATTTAGCAAACCCTAGCGGTCAATACTTTCAACACTCATTGAAATAAAAAGTGATATTTTCGTGTGTTTTTGTTTTCTATCTAAACAAATTAAGATAAATAAAGATTTTTCTAATTTTCTCAAAAACGAATTGACTGATTTTAAAACATCAAACGTCAAAATAAAGGACTTCGAAAGACCTTTCAAACAAGCTATTATTTGATACCCCTTGTCATTTAAAATTTTTAAGGGAATAACCCTGGGGGTAGAGGGTGAAAGGGGCTGAAGTAGTTTTTGGTTAAAATGTTGTCCTCCTTGAAAAACCTATTGACGTCTCTCGGCGTTTTTTTCTTTTAATCAGTTTTTATGAAACATCTTCATATGGTTCAACATTACCACCCAGCTCAAATTAACTTATTTCGGGGCTTAAACGTCGTTGGTGGTCAGCAGACTCCCGTTCTTTATTAATTCTTTTTTGAGCGCATATGGAATGGCTGTCCTCGTGTTGTTGAGTATGCATGTGAATATGTTCCGTGGGTGCAGTATCAGTCTCTGTGCCTTTTTCACTTAGATTTGCGTTTTAATTTATCGATTATTTCCCTCTTAGCTTTGTTATCACGTCATTCCGTTCATTTCGTGTTAATTCTGCAGCCAGCTTGTTCCTCCTAAGCAATTCTTCTGACGTAACTATTATCGTCTTCATTGCTATCTACTTGTATATTGTAGTGATATTTGCTGATATTTTCAGTTACCAATTTCTTGGATTCAGTGATATGTCTTGTTGTCATCCGTCTTTTGCTGTTTAAGCCTCCGAAAATTTGATTTACGTTGAGATATATAGTATAAAAATAGTGAGAATATGTTTTCTAATAATCTCGATGAGTTACTGAGATTCGCAGACTTTTGGAATCAGGCACCGTCGACCACTTAAGGCAGAACTGGTGTATCGAGCACCTATATTTTATAATTCCAATTTATTTTTGTATGTCAGTATATAGTATAGGTATATCGCTATATCTGTCCTCTACAAACTTGTGGAGTTCCAGATATTGTCGTATGTTCTTATTGACATGTTTTGTGGCATGGATTACTGAGATTTAACTAGTAAAAAAAAGGCATATTATAAATACTGCCACTATAAGATTGCCTGTGCTTGTTTTCATTGTTCTTATAGCTCGGCTGTCATGTCATAAGTTTAGATGGATTTGGTCATTTGAATAAAAACAGGTTCCTTCACACGAGACTTGGAAGGCACTGGGTAGAACACGTACACGAATTTTTCCGCACCAAATTACCGTCAAAATCGAATAAAATGGAGGAGCATCGTATACCTACATCCTACTGCACTCCCAGCGGCGGAGGAGGTATCCAGTGGAAATTAATTTTCCACCCAGGGTTGACTAGGAGGAAAAAAATAAAAAATAAAAACCAGTTAAAAATAGAATTTTTATGGTTAAAGAGGCCCTGATCACTCAGAAAAAAATTTTAGGGGTTCAAGATTTGTGGGTTGGGGGTAGCAGAGGGTAGAGGGTTGGAAATGTTACACCATTATTATCAAGGATCCTGCACAAAACATACGGAAAATGGGTTACAGTCGATTTGTCCAAAAATTGATTACAACATATTTCTTTTTCCCGAACAAAAGTTTTCATAGGACCAGAAAGGTTGGCCGATTTGCAAAAGTGGTCAATGTGCCGATTTCAGTTCTCAGGCCAAATACTCAGAATTGTGATACTGAATCAAGTAGTTCATTTAAAAACCTTTTACAAGGACAATTGAAGAGACTTAGTAAGAATCACTCACAAGAGCACGGAAAAGTCGTGGCTGCTTAGTTGTCAAGGTCAATTCGGGTCATGTTGGTTTTGAAGGCGGAAGAGAAAGAAATAACGCACTAATGTGATCATAGCTTTAGTGTTCTGCAGTTTATCGACTATTAATTTAAGTTCTTTTGTTTTGATGAAGGTTATACAAAAACGTATGTATAGGATTTAGACCTGTCATTAAAATATCCACAGTGGATAATTCATTTGGTTCCCAAAACGTGAGTAAGTTCCTTGTGTGGATTCCTGCTATTTCATCTAACGTTAGATCGACGTTTGACACTTGCGCCGTTGATAACAGTTGAAACGTTAATGCAGCATTAGCACCTCCTATAAATAGATAATAATTGGAGGATAGTATCTATTAATAGGAGCACCAGCTATTTAATTAACACACTTATATTAGCTTGTAACGGAATCTTTGAGCATAATTTTCACCAATTTTGATTAATTTGGAACTTGCAATAATTTGATAATAGTTTTCCATTATCCTGATTAGGATTGATAAATTCTTTTATAAATCATCTGTATGGGAGTAAGAGAGATAGAGCTAGCGCGCGATCTGCGCATGCGTACAGTGTCGGACTTACTCTTTGGTGGTTCGGGCACTCGGACAGCAGAACGGAGGCAGATACTTTTTCAAGGTAGTTCATTCTCACCTTGTTCATTGCGAATGTTGCCATTAATCCTGAGTTGGGCTTCGACCGTCCACAAGATTGTACCGTCGATCATGCAGTCATTTATCTAGGCTCGCGACTGTTTGTTGCTGGACAAGCTGATTCGGATTGAAGAACTTGATTGCTCTAAGTTAACAGGAAAAACCTCATGAAACAGTGAAGCTTTAAATGAAATGATTATACAGTGGACCCCCGATAATCCGGCCCCTGTCTAATCCGGCGCCCCCTGTAATCCGACATGTCTTTGAATATTACATACATGCGTATTTGACAATCTTCGCTAATGTAGATCACGCAGGTTTGAACAGGTTACAACTTGTACGCACCACCGCTCGACGCGTAAGCATTGTTTTACTTAGTTTGGATTTGACTACTTGTGATAGCGGTACGGCCTAGCGTGCGTTCATTGTTTACTATTTATTCATTGTGTAATAAGTATAGTACCTAGTAATGTCATCACAAACTCAGAAGCGAAAGCACAAAACATTGACAATTAAAGAAAAATGTGATATTTTAGACAGCTTTAATCGCAATGAAACTGTCAGTAGTTTAGCAAGTGAATACGGCGTAGGCCGATCTACAATTTATGACATTAAAAGAAACCACGAGAAGATCAAAAAGTTCGTGTCAAATACTGATTGCGGGCCAGGCAAAAGACAGACACTCAAGAAAGCTGAACATCCAGAACTGGAAGAAGCTTTGTACATGTGGTTTCTTCAGGAAAGAAATAGGCATGCACCAATTTCAGGACCTATGTTGGCCATGATGATTGTGGGGCCAGCAAAGGATGGCTAGAACGTTTTAAAAGTCGTCATGGCATACGTTTAATGACTATTACAGGAGAGAAACTTTCTAACGATGCCATCTGCATAGAGCCCTTTAAATTAAGATTTTTGCAAAAGGTGAACGATTTAAATCTTGATCTGTCACAGGTGTACAATGCAGACGAATCAGGGCTTTTTTGGCGTGTGATACCTAACAAAATTTTCGTTTCTTGTAACGAAAAATCCACACCTGGACGAAAAGTAAGTAAAGAGCGTGTAACCATACTACCATGTGCTAACGCTGCGGGCACACACGCGCTTAAGATGATGGTCATTGGGAAATCTAATAAACCACGGGCATTCAAAAACATTTATTTACCTGTACACTATTACGGTCAAAAAAGTGCATGGATGACAAAAGACCTTTTCAAAAAGTGGTTTGATGAATGCTTCGTACCTGAAGTTAGAAAATGGTTAAAAGATTATAATTTTCCTCAAAAAGCGTTGTTGCTTCTTGATAACGCTCCGGGTCATCCGTCTGAAGAAGAACTAACAACTGAGGATAAATGCATCACTGCGATGTTTCTTCCGCCAAATTGCACTGCACTGATTCAACCAATGGACCAGAATATCATTCAGTTTGTCAAGCAAGACTATAAGAAAAATCTACTTCTGAGAGCTGTATCAAAAGACCAACCCAATAGAAAAAACTTCGAAAGAATTTAATATGAAAGACTTGGTTTTTGATCTTTGTCAATTGTGGAATGCGTTACCGTCATCAACACTATTAAATCGTCTTAGAAAAAGTTATGGCCAGATATAGTCACCACTCCTAGCAACGTTCCACAAATCAGTGTTACTTCGGAAGTTATAGAACAAGTCGCTACTGAAACACAGATAATTCCGGAAGAGATTATAAAAGAGGTTTCTAATTATACAACAAACAATCAGGAAAATAACGACGACGCCGACGTGATTGCCACTGCTCCACAAGTCACAGCACAAGACGCAATTAACGCCTTTGAGCTAGGTTTACAAGGGGCTGAAGAGAATGGTACATCCTACAACGAACTTTTACTTTTGAGAAGACTGAGAGACAAAGCTCTGATCTCGCGTTATAACAACCTTAAAAAAAAAATTGATGAATATTTCCAAGCTTCATAATTTGATAAATTCATTAATGATTTTGATTAATAATTCTTGATTATTTTGGTACATATGTATGTGCATTTATGCTTAATTTTATAATAAATCGTAAGCTCTCTATTGTTATTTAATTTACTAAATTCGACGCTTTTGTAAAAAAATTTGGACTATAGGGGCTCTTAGGCAGTGCTCTATAATCCGACAAATTCGATAGTCCGACACTGCCCTGCATAATGTTTGTCGGATTACCGGAGGTCCACTGTATTACGAAATGATTCGTAAGGCATTTCACTACATGTCCACAAAAGACTAATTGATGAATCGAACTATAAAATGAAAAATAAATAATAGTTCAAAAAAACTAAGAGAAAACACGCTTTTATAGCTAACCGAAATAAGAAGTATGAAATAATTTTTAATTACAAAGAGTTTATATTACAGTACTGGATGGTCGAACAATCAGTCATAATTAATGACCACAAAATAAAATTATAATTAATTTTAGTTATTAACAGAATAATTCAATTCAGAGTAAAAATCGTGGGGTAAGTTTTACTACATTTTCATAACTCTCCTTTCATAGAGAGTTGTCAATAAAATGATTTAATATATAAAATAACTCAAATTTTATTATAATTTTATTTTGAGGTCATTAATTATAATTGATTGTTCGACCATCCACTACTGTAATATAAACTCTTTGTATTCAAAAATTATTTTATACTTTTTAGTTCAGTTAGCTATAAAAGCGTGTTTTTTTTAAACTATTATTTATAAAGATTTCGTAGATACGCTTCATGTTGCTTTTTTGCAAATCGGCTAACTTCACCCTTCTATTTCTCAGGTAAACTAATCATAGGATTGCCTTGGTCCCGTGAGAATTTTTGTTCAGAGATGCAAGTGATATATCATATTGAATTTTCAAACAAATCGATGAGGATACATCTTCCATATCTTTTGTGCGGGATCGTCTGTGATCCCATTAGTACTATCCACCTGTTTTTCACACATATATCGCATAATGCTTACGTATGTGGCTCGAGCAATAAAAGCTACCCAGAATGGCGCGATATACTTTACTTGCAGAGGGTCCGACCCGAATTCAGCAACAGCGTCGCTGGCTCAAGCCGCAGCATGATCAAGGCTGTCGACGACGCGCGACGATGTGAAACTTGTCCAGATATTAAGCGCCATGTATAGACAGAGGCGATTATTTCAAAGGAATTTTAAAATGAACGATTCAATTATATTCCTTCCATAACATGAGCTGTAAGGCATACAAAAAGTCCATTTGTCTAGAATTGCGTCAGTCATTCAGCTTGTCGCCAATCGTCAATGAAGTAATGTCTGCCCCTGACCTTCTTACTCTGAAATATGAAAAATCATATAGCCATCTTTCGTACTCTATTATTATTCAAAGTTTAAGGGTCAATATAAACACTTTCTTTGTGCCGATGCTTCTTAAAGCTCTATAAAACATTTCTCTTGATGGTTATCGAAAAAATTACATTAGTTATCGCAGATCCTTGAATCGATTTAGTACTTTGTGGCAACCCTTTTTAAAGCTCTTTATACGACCTGTGCTTCTCAGAAATTGGAATACCAGCGAAACACCTTGATGAATGAAATGACTGAACTTGACAAGAAACTTCGACAATGCAGCGCTAATCAAGAACTTGGGGAAGGAATGCAAGAATCGATAATGTTACTACAGAACGAGGTAACTCATATAAATGAATCTCAGACATACAGCTTTGCCATCTAATAATTCGTGTTTTGATTTTTTACTAGCCGTTTCCTTTCTTATTTCATGCTGCTTGATGTCCCATCTGGCAGCCTTCAAGTAAAGCAAGCCGGCGGGGCTATACGTAAAAAATCTATACAGGGTGTTTTAAATTCGACCTTGCCCATTGGAATTTCGAAAACTGTAAGAGATACTAAATTGCTTATTAGGCCAAAGTTGCGTATTTAGGTAATCAACAAAATGCTTCTTAGAAAGTTTCAAAACTCAAAGCCCTTCTGGAGATAGGTGGAAAAACCAGATTTTTCCCAAAATCGTTTACATTTTGTCCTGACTTTATTTGTAGTAAGATTTCAAAATAAATTGGACATTAGGTTACCACATCGTCTCTTCTACAAGAAGCCATAATTAGAATTTCAGTATGACATTTCTTCTCTTCTCCTCCAGCATCAACTTTACTTCTTACGGACGCCGTTTTTTTGCACATTTGCACTGGATCCAAAAATGTATAAAATGTCATCGATACTGCCAAACCTTAGTTATTTGAAAAAAGCAGAATTTCGTAGGTACGCCTTGAAATTATTAGATAGTCATTTGATTCGCATATCAGATTTATCCCAAGATCACTTTTATGTTTTCCTAGCTTTATTTGAGTTGGGATTTGTAAATAAATTGCATGTTGTCAATGTCATTCTCCTTCACAAGATGGCGTAGTCATATTTTCAAATCGACATTTCTTCTTTAGACTTCCACCACCAGTTTTGTTTTTCCATAAACACGGACGCTATATTGGAATTTTGTACTTTTAAATAGACTTTTCACTCCTAAATCCATGATGTATATTTCCTGAGTTGGCCATGAGTTTGCTGTTCAATGTAAATTATCTGAACACAAAATAAATTTTTTTTTGATGGTAATAACAATACTAATCATAAATAAGCAGAGGTAAATCAAAGCAGATGTTGATAATGTTATCCGTTATGCTGTAGGCAAAGCCTGACTCTTCTCCGTACATTGTACACTTCTTGTCTAACGTCCAAACTCTAGTGCTATGTTCAATTTGAGGTCTAGTCTGATATAGGAAACAAATAAAATCTGATAATTTTAAGGCCTTCCTAGGAATTTCAGTTTTTCTGGAATAACTAAGTTTTGGCAATGTCAATGTATGACATATTATGGCGTCCATAAGAAGAAATAAAGTTAATGCTGGAGGATAAGAGACAAAATGTTATACCTATATATTGGAATTCTGATTATGCCATCTTGTACAGGAGAAAAAGTGACAATGTTAATGTGAAATTTATTTTGAAATCTTACTACAAAAAGTCAGGAAAATGTAAAACTACTTCGGGAAATTTGTGCTTTTTTCGTCCCTCTCCGAAAGTGCTTCAAATTTCGAAAATTTCTAAGCGGAATTTTGTTGATCTCCTGAATACGTAACTTCGCCCTCATTTAAGTGACTTCTTATCTCTTACAGTTTCTGAGATCCCAATGGTGAGGATCGAATGTGATACACCCTGTATAATGTCAAAAAAACACAAAATGTCAACTTGCTGACTAGATAGCTCCTAGTATGCGAATAGTTTATTCCTCTATCTCTGAGAAGATGTGACAGAAATAAAATTGGTTGAGTAGCAGAGTAGCAAGATCGCATCTGGATAACTGTGGTGATGATATGAATTACGATTTTCCCAGGTTTTTTGCGTTTTCAAACACTTTGAAAAGCATTACAGGAAATCACCACCGTGCCCGCGTTGTGTCACGTCACACAAAAATTAGAAATGATGCAACACGCACAAAACATTTTCGTAGTGCCTCACATTAAGGGGTTGATTTGTATTATCAACTTGAGATTGCAAAATAAATTTCAATAAAATTTAAATGACTGCAAATACAAAATAATGCAAATGTAATAACCTTTTCACGTTTCATAATTGTCCTGTCTGTTGCCTATTTTCTCACCTATTAGTTGTAATATACTACACCAAGCAGGGATTTTATTTTTCCATCTCTATGATTTTTGAAATTCAACATATTTGCATATGACGCATGCACCTCATGTAAGAGTATTTGAGACAAAAAATGAAGGTAATTACCATCAAGATAGGTTGTTAACCCACAAATCCTGACTAAGTATATCCAGCTATAGTAGAGACTATGACAATCAAGGAGGCCATAAAGGCGTTCCACAATTGTAGGAACGACTGACGATACGGACGTTAGCAATCCTATTTGTTTTACTTGAACGCCGCCAGATGGGGAATCAAGCAGCTCGAAAGAACATGGGAACAGTGGCGTGGCTAGCATTGAATATTCCTCTAACAGTGTGTCCTGAAACTTGATTGGTAGCTGGTGCTGTAGACTAATCGGTTAGGTCGGCTCCACGGAATGGAGGAGGTTCGATTCCCTCCGACGCCCACTTTTCCTTTCTTTCAAATTGTTGTTTGCTAAACATACTCGCAGATGCGCTCATCCAAGAAACCGTATACAAAATTATTTCCATTTTGCAGCTTGAACACATTACGATAGGCGACTCCAGCAAAAGTTCATACATTACGTCCCAATCATAACGTCTAGAAGACACCGTTTCGCCCACCCAGATCTCAACTTCAAAAGTCAGTATCCCACTCTTTAGAAATTCACTGATCCAGTACGATATCTTTCCAGATCGACACCCAGCGACGTCAATGGGAAGAACAACGTTGCCAGCTAACCAATGAGAAAGCAAAGGCCATGTCAGCTGCACAGTTTGCTACCAAGAAACTGTTGGAAACAGTAGCTGACTTCCAGCTGCAGGTTAACGCTCAAAAAAGGGTCCAGTACATGCTCACGAAAATGCTTCATGAGAAAGAGGATGAACTTAGGGCTGTTAGAGAAAAGGTTTGCGAAAATTTCTGATTCTGATTCTATTCGAAAAGCTTTTGAAAAATAGACTGGTTGACACTCTTTTCAAGTAGATCTTAAATAGTTAATATTGGTTCTATTAGACAAAAGAATTAACACTATATTTTTTAAGACCTAAAAGACCGTAAAACTTTAATATAAAAATTTTTCAGGCAGCCTACAACGCCATCTTTGGCCGATATATAAATGTGATCTGATGTCATAATATGTCATAACTTTCAAACATATAAACGTGACTTCTGCTAGTTTACATGAAAAATATAAATTATCGTTATTGTATCGTCCGAGAATGTAAAAACACATCGATAAAGACCTCAGGATAGCTGTGGATTAGAGTGCCCACATTATGAAGAGCTTGGAGCATACATTTTACTTTGCAGATTTTATTGTCTCGATTAAGTTGGAATTTACCTACCGCATCATCACCGCATGATTGCAGATTTCTAAGAAGCAATGCAATATTAGTTAAAATTATTCAGAGATTATGACGCATGTGCTTAATTTTGATTGACTTCTGAAAATCAAGATTATGTAAGTGTATTACTTATTCTTTATTTTTATGTATATCATTGTATCAAGTGCACTGCACTTACATAGAGCTCAACATAACAGAAATCTGAGTTGAAGGCAAAAAGTTACCAATCATCAATGTGTTAATTTTCGCCACATGTGCTTTCTGCTTTTACGAATTCAACAACCAACCTTTTACATTGATTAGCAGTTTTTTAGAAATATTAAAGGCATGCAACGTTAGTCCGCGAATGACATAGGGATGACGTTTCTTTATTTACAATTTTTATCGGCATCATGGTCGATAGTGTGCTTAGCGTTTCATTTCATAAATCAAAATGCATTTCTTTAAATTGGACCTATACATCCATCTTGCGCTTTTAAAAATTGAAATCAATATACGTATTTCGTGTTCCTAAGCCAATCACTTTTTCTATGAAATTAGATATGATAGATATGAGTCAAGTAGCGTATTGGAAAGCTTACGGTATAAGGAGATGGTTTTGTACACCTTCTTTGAGATTTGAGCAGTGTTTAAGGAAATATCTCTACTTGGAAACAATAAAACAATAACACCTCCTCAATGAATATTCAAGGGAGTATAACATTCACATTTCGCAGTGGGCTGTAACAGATGTCATCAAAGGCAGTCACTGATGTGTGATGTCAGAAGATATTTCTTTGCTCGTCATATGTATTTTGAATTTTGATGATGAATTTGAGATGTTTTGTTTTTTGTCCTAGATATTACTAAATGTAAATAGTAATGTTTGATTACTGGATTTTATAGTTAAGTCTCGATTTCACAGTGAGCAATTTGAATTAAGTGTAGACAGCCACTATTGCATCTGCTGCTTGTATGGAGCAAGATCAAAGTTGAGAAGAACGCCTTTTTAACAGCTAACGAAGTAACGATAGTCTCTAAAGACAGTTTTTTTGAAACCGTGTTTTCCTATCGATAAGACTAATAAAAGAGATCACTGAGACGTGATTTTAAAAAGCCTAATTGTTTTTTATTATACTCCAACCACCACAAAGGAATAAGGCCTAAACACCGATGAGGTACCGTGGGGCTATAGAGGGATACAGGGGAAAGGGGAACGCCAACATGCACACATTCTGGCCCTGCCTACGAGATCGGCCGGCTGGTACCTCTGCGTTCGACAGTCAGAGACCATCTACCACCTACGAACAATCACAACATTCATAGCCAAGAGAAAATTTTCTCTTGGGGCGGGATTTGAACCCGCACAGCGCACGGCGACTGATCAGGAGACCGAAGAGTCTACTACTGCGGCCACCGCTGCTGCCTTTGTTATGTTATTCCCTGGTTGTCACAAAAGCGTTCTACTTAGCTTAGCTTGATATTGTTTCCGTACATTTTTCAGTTGCTTATTGTCCTTTTGTGTGTTTTTATTTCATTAAAGTTTTACGCAAGTCGCGAAAGCATGGTTTTTTAAATTTATCTTATTTTCAGTAATCCTCTTAAATTTATCTAATATATCATTCAAGGACATATATCCATCACTAAATTTCTTTCTACTTTCAGAGTCACATATAAGTCGTTCAAAGATAGTCGATTCAAATTTAGGGTTATAAAACATTCGAAAACGTGCTTTATACCCTACTCACGAGTATCCATCACGCTTTGACGTCTACTGAGGTGAACAGCTGATCAGCAAGTGACATTTTTGTGTTAGCCTTCAACGTAGGCCGTAATGAATCGGGTATAAATCCAGTAAAATTTGTTTGTAGCATTTGTTTTTTGTAGATGAACTTTTCTAAATAAAAGAGCTGTTAGCAAGTACAAAATAAATCTGTAGCGTACAAAAAAGCAAAACAAAATACGGCTCTGACTACCTGACGTTGACGGATCTGTCAGAATTATTTGTCCTGAGCCGATATGGGGAATTTTGGGATATCACTAGATAATCAGCTGTGATTCTACCGTGATGGATACTCGTGAAATAGGGTATACAACTATAGCATAATAGAGCAGCCGCAGTGCAGTAGGTACTGATTGGCTAACCTATACTTACTTTGATTCGCTAACTGTAAATCCGCTATTCTCTATAAATCAGATATTTCATTAAGGTTGAATTGTCTGCTGTAAATAGCGCAAACTCAGCATGTTTGCTTTTATGAAAAACTGAAAATTCAATCTATCTTTTTATGTTTATATTGATCAATATTTTAGTTTATGACCTGTGGATTTATGATGTACGTTAATTAATGGTTTTCCTATTTTTTTATTGCTGATCCTGAAAGAGCACTGCACGTTTATAACTAAAAAAATAAATATTTTCTAAAACAAAACCTCTCGTTCTTGAGTTTTACAGTTTCAGATCTTTAAAACACCGACAATATTCATTTCTAGCTTTCTTCAATAAACACCATGAGCCAGGAGACCGACAAAGATGTGTCTGCTGACGAACTGTACCGAGGCAACACAGAATCAACGTATTCAACATTTTCGAATATTTCAAAAAAATTGACGAAGCCCAGAACCTGTGACTCATCTTGCCCATGTCTTGGATCATCTAAGAGTAACGTCCAGCACATCATATCCCTATTGACAAGATCTGCTCATAAACCTTCATGTGACAGTGAGCCAGCTGTTCGGTGTATAGCTTGATTACATTTCGTGTTCTTTTTTCGATTTTTGTTATGTTTGGATAAACTGTTTGAGTGTAAGGCAAATAAATTAATTACTTATTGAATCATCTTTTACTGGATAAGATCTACTGATCTCAAGGTCACGTCCCATAATGTCAATGCGTGTGTTCCGCAGGGATCGGTCTTGACTCCGACATTGTTCCTCTTACGTATCAACGAGCACCTTTCCTGTGCTATCAATGTGATCCACAGCTTTGTTGATAACAGCACTCTTTATGCAGGAATTCTTAGTGACAAGCCGATTTCTGCCGGTGAGCTGGAAACAAAGGAGACTAGCAACGACATCCTTTCTCTGATGAGAGACCTGGGCTTCAAGTTTCTGGCGAGGAGCAGTGCATTATCGATAACTTGCGAATTCCATGTTGTTTATTGGAAGTTTTAATTGATGGACCTCCGAAAAATAAAACAAGTGTTAGAATGTACCATTTCTTCGTTTTCAAAAAGAGTTGTGAATGTAGTGCTATTTCCAAATGAGATAGTCGACAAATAATTTCACTTGAACAATGATTTTATGAATCTCATGATGACCATGATTTTGTATCTGTTGGCCAAACTACAAAAACATCCGTTTTACATAAAAGTAATGTTATGCTGAATCGTGACTCTATCTTTCTATATATTTCATTTCATGGAATATACGTCCAAAGCTCACAACGTTCAACTTAGAAAAACTCTTTTTTCTTAAGTATAATGCCCTGTATATTTGCTCATGGTCTGTTAGAGGCTTGAATCCCCCTTTAAGTGTTACTATATAGTTTTTTTTCGTTTTGCATTAGTGTAAGAGAAGATTGGTTTCGGAGAAATAAATGGAATACTCGAAGTGATGCAATAGTTACTTTACCAATGACCACTTTTTACCAATTTAATACAATCATAAATTAGTTTCAATGTTCCACTGTTTCATATCCTCAACAAAACGTAAGGAGTTTACTTGAAAATTTATCTGACCTTAAACTGATCCATAAAAGTCATGGTCGGGTTCATTAGCAAATATATTCTTGAACTTAAAATTGTCCGAAATTTGCATTTCACCAATTAAACATAGTTGTTTCCCGTTAAAAGTTCATTTGATTTTTAAATGAACGTGATGGTTATAGTCAAAGTCATGGACTTTCTTGAACATGAAGTGTGTTGCTCTTTTTATTTCCTATGTCAAAAACAGGAGTTTCTAGGCGAAGGTCACGTTAAAGGTCACTTGTATGTGAATCTTTTCAAACCTAGTAACTTTGTTACACATTTTTTTTTATGAAATGTATTTTACAAGATATTTCGTCCTTTCCCTATTTTCTGGACACGCTCAAATACTCAAGGTTGTCCTCAAATGACCTTGAAGGTCACGTCCAAGATCAATAATGGATGACTTTTCAAACCTTACAACTTTGAAAACATTTTTCTGTAGAAAATGTATTTTTTCGGTATTTTGATTTATCCATACTTTTTTAACACCCTGTAAATTTTCGCGGATAAAAGTATGTCAATGGCCTTCCTCGACTCTTAATTAGTAATTGCACAAATGTTTACGTCTCTCGTGATGCTGAGAGACTTGACAGACATTCACATTTATACAGTTTTCGCAAAGTTTGAACTTTCCTAATAGCATATACACCAAAGGCTTAACATAACCGAGATAATTAGTAGGCTCCGCAAAATCAATCAAACTTGATCCTGTATCTCAATCAAAAGTGAGAAGAAGGAAATATCAAACTTGTCGATATGATTTAATTTACGGTGAGCGTATTCAAAATGCTACCGAGTCTTCGCAACTGTATGCAGTTCGCTCTCCCAGACGTATTTAGGGCTAGCTACAGTATATTCAGATAAGAGATAGACCGGACATAAACAAGACCACGTGATCATCGAACGCTGTAACATTCGGCAGGGACGTATTAAGAGTCACGCAGTACATATTTTAGATAGTAGATGCTGCTTTGCGTAACTTTGTAGTAAATTAGCACAATTCGATGTGTATACGATTGGTGATGGATATAGGATCATGTGGGGGTGGGGTAAGAAATATATAATGATGTAAATATACATAAGGGTTTCAAAATTTTCGCTTCGATTTCCAGCTTCGGATGCCGCATGATGTTTGGTGAAATACAGTCGAATATAATCTCAAAATGGCGTTTAAATTAGCCTAAATTAAAAATAATCGTATATCTCTTAAAATTGCTTTTAGAATATTGATTAGTGTATTTTTTGATTTCTAGGTAAATATGTAACCAAATTAAAACGTTCAAAACGTAAAAAAATGTGCATGGTTGAACATTGTCAGAAAGTAGATTCTTGAATAGGTTTTGCCAAAATGGGTTCAAAAATGTCAATAATTAATTAAAAAATACAGTAGCTTTATAATTACTTATAACTTACCGAATTTGATGAATGACATCTTTTATTGGAAAGATGAGCTTGATGAGCTTTCATCATCGCTACTGCCTGAAGCACCAACGTCAATAATGAATGGCTCGACTTGTTCCTCTAAAATATTGTCCAGTTCCCACATTCTCTTTTCAACTTTGTCTTTCACGTGCTTAGTACAGTTTTCCCATATTTGCGCTGTTATTAATTCTAGTGCTTCTTTGAAAAGTCCTTTGAGGTCACAAAATTTAAAAGTTGTATTGTGCTTAGCTATATAATTTTTAACCTCTGCCCATATGAGCTCAATGGGATTGAGCTCGCAATGGTATGGAGATAAACGGAGCACAGTTTTATTTTGACTTGCTGCCATTTCGTCAATGGCGTATTTTTGATATTCCGCCTTGTGATCCTTGACAATTCTTAATAATTGTACTTTCAGCATTGCTTCTTCAAAGTTGATATTTTTCGAGCGGAGCCAATTTTGAACATCAACTTTCCTTGAAGCCGTTGTTGGGACCTTCTCCATTCTTCGAGAATGATAAGGCGCATTATCCAACACAATTACTGTGTTTTCCTCTAAGTTCGGTAAAATTTTTGAAAACCACTGTTCAAACGATTCGCCATTCATTTCCTCGTGGTAATCTCCAGTTTTCTTAGACTCAAAGCACCACAGACCGTCAACAGCAACTCCATCCTCACTGCCAATATGGCAGATAATGAGCCTTTTCCCTTTACCTGGAAATCGAAGTACTAACTGGTGTAGATTTATTTCAATAAGCGAACCTTTTTCAAATGTTTTCATCACATTCAGCGAAAAAACATTGAGACATGAGTATCAGATTGCTATAATTGGGATTATTTAGTCATATTGAAAGAAAGAATATTGAACGTCGTATGATTACTCAGCGCTTCACAATTTAATTTAAAGTTATAAACCTTTAAAAAATGAATGATCAGGAACCTGAAATACGCGCAAATATTAATATTAATAAATTATAACTTTATAAAGCTTAAAGTATGAATTAAAATGATTAGAAATATTAGGAACGGTACACAATATAAAACTTAGTAACTTTTTTTAAGTTTATAATATTCGACATATTTTATGATTATATTAAAAAATTATTGAAATATCGAAAACACATAAAAACATGGCTTAAAAAAGTTCTAACAAATGAAAATGACAATAAAACATCCACGCATTTTATCGAAAGTTATAAAAGTTTTGTTACTTGTAATATGTTTTATCTGCCCCCTGGAATTAATGTTTAGAACTTTGTTCCCAAGGTTTGAAAAACATCCGATTGTTGTCTATTACTCGTATTTACCTGCTGGATTTTTTAATCCGGTGGACATTCCATCTAGAAAGGCCCTCCTGGATGAAGTTACAGAATCATCAACCCATACTTTACTTGTAGTGTGAACTGCGTTTACCCACGTTTCATCAAGGTAATAAATCTTCCTGTTTTGATTTCTATATTTCCCAATTTTTGTTAAATATTCCCTCCTCCATAGCACAATTTCTTCTCTATCCAGTAGTAAACTATTACGACCCCGTTTTTTCCATTTGAAATTTAAATGCTTCAGTAACGCATGGAAAGTTGATCATTTGAAATTTGGCAACGTTGTATCTCCATTTACCTCCTGCAGTACTTTATCTATAGTAGGTATTTCATTCCTAAAGAAGAATTCATGCACTTTCCTCCTAATCGCATGCCTATCAGCTTCATCCAATGATTTAACAATACTTTTGCGATGTTTACTGGTCATTGGCTCAGAAAAGGTGTGATTTTTTTTTTGTATTGTCTTAACACATTAAACACTGATGCGCGACACACCCCACCTTTGTGAGAAACCTTCACAACAATTTCTTTGATGGTTGATGCCTCGTTCTCCTCGCGCTCGATCTTATATATATTCAAAATGACCTCTTTCATTTCTGCACTCAGGTGTCTTTTTTTAGAGCGTTTCCTAGGTGGACTACAGGAGTTTACAACTTCATCGGCAGTATCTGTACTACTGGGCATTTTGCGCAAGCAGTTGATAACAATAACAATCAATAACAAGGTATAACAATAACAACGACAAACTCAACAACTTAATAAGATAACAAACGAAAACGTCCAAAGAAATATCAAATTGCAATGATGCACACGACATACGTAACACGTCTGAACCTGAATGTGACTCTGCCTTGATACGACTGCTCTGCCGCTCGGCATAGGCATTTAATTGCGAATTGACCAATGAGGGCTCCTGTTTTACGTCGAGACGGCGGCGTTAGCGTGAAAATCACCCGAACCTTTTGTTTACATCCGGTCTATCTCTTATCTGAATATACTGTAGCTTCGTTTACTTCGTGCGAAGAGCTAGGAATATAGGTCGCTTAACAGAAATGTCGATCGAGGTGGCAGAGTGGAATACCTAGACACCCCCAAATGGTTCAAACACGAAGAAATCTTGAAGAAAATCATTGAACAAGTACTAAGGAAGTGGCTAGACAAGTGAAAGTCTCCAAGACAAAGTGCTATGATGATGGATTATACCCTTTGTACGAACCCTCCAAGCTGAGGAATTTCCTGCAAGAGTGCATGAGTACTTATTGCAGGATATATTGGTAACGGATGGATCAATTTTCACGCGTAATGGGTGAATACCTTCTAAACTACTCATGAGTGGTCATTGGAAAATTCTCACGTAATCCGTCGGGCGTCGTTCACATTTTCAAAAAACATGACGTTGAACATTTGGGCTGGCATGGTAAATGGTATGTAACAATTTCAAACAGTACTGATGCAACAGAGCCGTACTTGAAATTTTTCTACAAATATGCGGTGAATACTTTTGCTTTTTTTTACTTTTTCGATATTGTTTCACCACCCATTACCTTTGTTATTTCAATTATAGTTATTTCTGAAAACGAAAGTCCAAACTTTCAGGACACCCTGAATAAGTATAGATAATACTCGCTAATTGATGTGAGAAATCAAGAGTTCTTAAAAAGTAACCAAATCTAAATTAAGAAAGTTTACTTCAATTAAAACGGTATTACAAAAAAAGGCATTGAACAGATGAAAATAATGCAACTGCCGTTCTTCTCTTTTCCTTATCTAGTCATGGTTGTCATTTTGAGAAAGACACGTCTCACCTTGAATACAGACGGTTTTAAAATAGCAGCATTAAATTACATATTGAAAAAGCAGATTGCAAATAAGATAAGCGAGAGTTCAGAACAGCAGTTTGGGTTTTATCGTGAACTTGTGCGAATGTCTTCATCACTGGGACACCCTCTGAAAGAAGAAAAAAGATATAGTCGGTGAGAATATTTCAATATATCCTTAGAAAAATTAAAAGCAGGCTGAATTTGCCATGATAATAGTGAACCAATTTACTTTTCAAAATTATACCGTTGAAATGCAAAAATGCTCATCTTTTTTAGTTTGCAAAATACGGGAAATTGAGCTTGAATTTCAAGTAGCAAATAGTTTGTAATCATGGTGTACTAATTATCGTCAAAAAGCCACTCAATGTGCTCGGTCGCGTCATCGAAAACTGGAATTTCAGATTAAACACTTATTCTTAAAACATACTTTGTGGTACCTAAATAAACGATTGACGCACGGATTATCTTGGAATTCGCAGTTCTTCTAATTTTTTATTTACAAATTCCGTAGTCATCCGTACCTTAATCGCTTTATGATACCCTACAGAGAAGGATATATACAGGATGTTTATTTGAAAACTTCCCACCGCGGATTAATCGAAAACCACTGATTAAAAGGAAAAACGCCGAGGCAAGTCAAACGATTTGTCAAGGGGGACAACTTTTCAACCAAAAACTATTTCACCCCCATTCCCTTAAAAATTTTAAATGACAAATGGTATCGAGTAATAGCTTGTTTCAAAGGTCTTCCGAAGTCCTTTATTTTGACGTTTGATTTTTTGAAATCAGTCGATTCGTTTTCGACAAAATTAGAAAAATCTTTATTTATCTTAATTTTACAGATAGGAAAAAAAACACACGAGAATATCACTTTTGATTTTAATGAGTGTTCAAAGTGTTGCCCTTCAGGGTTTGCCAAATCTACAATTCGCTTATAATGCAAAACGGAAACCACCAATTCGGAAGATTAGACGTGGCGACAACCAAATAACAACCCGAATTTGTATCCGCATTTTTTTTTCATCAACACAGATATCCTGGGCGAACTGTATTGATTCAGATTTTACTTCCAAAATGGTCTACACACTAGCCGAAAAGAGTGGAAATGATTCTAATTTATGGTGACCAGAATCAATGTGCTCGGTAAACGGCCGCCACGTTTAACGCCAGACATCCGGGGAAGATAACTTCGCATAGGTATGTCTTGGACCTCGTTACTAAATTTACTCAAACTGGATCTGTTACAAGTAGAAAACGTGATTATCGGAGAGTTTTGGATGAAGCCGCTCAAGTTGAAGTTTTTGGTCATTTTGGAATAAATCCTAATACTTCATTACGCAAAATTTTTGCTGCGACTGGTATTCCATTAGGCTCTGTACGCTCAGATACTAAACTCCATTCAAAATGAAAATATTGCAAGAATTAACCGAAGATGATTTCGATAGGCGAGTTGAGTTTTGTAAACAAATAACTGCAGCGATTAATGATAATACCATTCATGTAAAAAATATCTGCTTCAGTGATGAATGCACATTTCGTCTAAATGTATTTCTTAATAAGCATAACTGAAGGTATTGGAGCAATGAAAGTCCTCATGCTCTTGTAGAAGGGCATACCCAGTACTCCCAAAGAATTATTAATGTATGGACAGGCATTTCAGGAAACAAAGTTATTGGGCCATTGTTTATTAATGGAAATTTGAATGGAGACATTTATTTGGATATGTTGGAAAATACCATCAATTCGCGTATCACCGAAACCATTGAAAACCAAATCGAAGAGGATGGAAACAATATACTTGATGAGGCTGAAATATATTTCCAGCAGGACGGCGCTCCTCCTCACTATGCTATTCCGGTTCGGCAATGGCTAGACGATGAGTTTCCAGATAAATGGCTAGGGCGAAGATGGTCTATAGAATGGCCCCCAAGATCTCCTGATTTGACGCCATTAGACGTTTTTATATGAGGCCATTTGAAATCTATTGTGCTTACTCCCCAACCTGAAAGTTTAGATGAACTTCGTCAACGCATCATGGAAAGCTGCCATGATATCCCACAACCTGTTTTTGAAAATGTCAGTCAGGAATATGAACCTCGCCTATATCGTTGTTTGGCCAATAACGGGCAACATTTTGATCACTTATTGACATAAAAAGTAATATTAATGAAGGTAAATAAAGATTTTTCTAATTTTCTTGAAAGCGAATCAACCGATTTTAAATAATCAAACGTCAAAATAAAGGACTTCCAAAGACCTTCCAAGCAAGCTATTACTCGATACCTCTTGTCATTTTAAATTTTTAAGGGGATGACCCTGGGGGAAGAGGGTGAAAGAGTGAAGTAGTTTTTGTCCCACTTGACAAATCTTTTGACGTGTCTCTGCGTTTCTTCTTTTAATCAGTGGTTTTCGATAAAACCGTGGTGGGACGTTTTCATCAAATATACTTCAATAGTTTGTTTGATTTTCCTTGCAGTAATGAAAATTCGATAAAATACGAAGAGGTATTACGTAACTTGAAAATAAGTGACATAGACTTATGTCGTATTTTTGACATTATCTAGTTTTATGATATTGGAATGAGCGAGGAATGAACGATTTGCTCACTAGCGTACTTAATCAACAAGTTGACATTCTACCGATTTTTTTGACACTATATAGGTTCCTTTAGGTAATAACCCTGCGGGTTCTCCCGAACCCGATAAGACGATTGTTTTTATATTATATTTTTTAAAGTACTTACCACTGTGGTGTTACTTTGGGAACACCCATCGCAGAACCATTTGATGTTGTTCTTGTTGCTTTCGAGAAATTGCAGTTCAGACGTATTGTACGAACTGCAAGTGTAATGCAACCCTTTGTTGCAGTTGCCGTTGCATTTCAGCATCTTCTCAGTCTGGATTACTTTCTTCTCTTCGCATTTTACACAAAAATTTCCGTTCATTTCGGCCATCTTCAAGATTTTTTTATGGTAACTTACGAAATGTTGTGATGATTTTTGACTTTTCCTGTAAACTAATTCCTTGGCGACGAAGTTTTTGTTTTTTATGTTAAATTGATGTTGGCGATGATGTAGTTTTAATACTGAGTGTTACAGGAAATATTGATCCTTCACTTCACTTTGCTTTTGAACATTTACTTATTTGACTCGAAATCTTGAATTATTTGTAATTTGAAGGATATCATGTGGGAAAAATGTTCAACGTGACCCATTATATTGAATAGTCATTAATTGTTTCTAGCCCTTCAAAGTCTAAAGTAGTAGTATGTGTGTGTGTTTGTGAAAATTTCAACCTGTAAGGTTATAAAATAAGGGCATACCCAGGGTGGCAAGGCAAACATTCACTGAAGTTCTCCACAAGCTGAATCAATATCTATTCGATAAGAAAGTCCTAGGATTAGTTAAAATTTATATTAGGTACCTATAAACTTAATTTTGCTAAAACTATAGTCTAATTATATTAGCAAATTTACCCGAAATAATTGTAAAGCCCGGTTTTATTGGCGCAAGTTGTTCAAGCGAATATTTAAAACATGGACGCATAAAGTGGGTATGCCAATTTTTGTGGAAAAACTTTTTATTTGACAACAAAGAATGAGAAAACGGGTTTTTTGGGATTCAATCGAAAGTGTTGGCAGGAACGTAAAAACTCTTCAAATAAGATTTTTAGGTATTTATGAGACCTACAAAATGAGACCACATGTGAAAAGATTCGTCTAATAGCAAAAAAGTTATGGCCGAAAACCGAGGCAAACTGCAGGTTTTGGCACTTGTTGGTAATGCGGCGATGTTTTCTCGCAGATATTTGAAATTCTTCAAATTCGTAGGATTCTAAATAACCACGACAAAATTGGTTTAGATTGGTCAAGTAGTTTTTGAGAGTTTCTAATTGTTTATCCCAAAACATCTTCTCGTCTCGCCAGGTAAGATCTTTTATTAAGTATATTTGCAATGGTGAAAATATGACAAATTTGTTTTTCAAGTCATTCTGGAACAAACTAAGTAAATATCCTTCGACATATTCTATAAAACTATTTTTGGTTATATGACGAAATTTCATGTAATTGTTGAAAACAACGAATGAATATCGACAAAGAGAGATTATTCCCGGAATTACTAAAAGATGTACGATGTTCCATTTTAAAAAAATCGTTTTTGTTGTCATGCCGGTACAAATCACCCTATAGGGAGCGGTATATTCCAGGTAGGAAGCGTATAGTGCACAATGTTTCTAAATAACATTTTTGATTACGTTTCATATTAATGGAGATATTATCCAATTAGATACTAATAACTCACCCTACCCTGTATGTCTAATTTGTTGCAGCAGTTACGTGGCAGGATAGCTTGAGCATGTTTAAGATTTTTTTCGATGTTAATCACCACAAAGGCTTCAACTTTTGGCTACTATTTCATATTTACTCTTATGCACTTTTCGAAAATGAACGATATTTTGCAATAATCAATTAACTCTTGCAACAAACTGGACATACCCATTTTGAAGGTGTCTTCATTCACTCTAAAGAATATATAAATCCTTCTGTACAATTTGTTTTGCATCAGGGTTCACATTTGGTTTGCTTGAATGTTTCAAAAAAGTAATCCTGGTAGTTTTCCATTTTCCAGACATAAAATTGTTCTAAAATAAATTAAAATTGCCAAATGACTTGTACTACTGTTATGTAAAATCTTTTTAAGCTACGCAAATTACAAAAGAACAAATCTACAGCGTTTCTTGCACGTTCATAGTTGTTACTTACATACTACATATATCGGAGAGGAAAGCAATGAATTGGTTTTCTAGCTACGTTAAGTAAAAGTATTTTGAATTGGATGGCGTCTTAGCATTAGGTACATATTACTGAGTAAATATTCACAATCTAGGGCATTATTAAACAGTTCATATAACAAAAAACAAGCAGCGTAGTTTCTGCGCTTCTCCAAGTTACAGAGGTTATATCTGCTAAGTAACACATCATGCCTGAAGCCAACTTCTGGATACGTACCATCTTCCTTGTGCCACAAATATTTCACAAACCGCCTCTAAATACGTTCAATTTTATTCGAGTAAACTTCATGAACAGGATACCATATTATAGAGCAGTATTTAATTTTGCATCGAGCAAATGAATTATATAACAAGATCATGGTATTCACATTATTGAAATCCCTACAATTCCTGATAATGAAGCTCAAACTTTTATAGGCCTTGCTTACAAAGCATCAATATGCGAAACAAATGTAAGTTTGGTATCAAATATAATACACCTAAGTCATGAAACTCTTTACACATGTTAAGTTGAGAATTATCAGTGATATGGGTTTAATCTTTTTCAAAGAGGCAACAACCTGTTTCACAGTAATCATTGGTATATTCAAGGGTAATCAGACGCAGTCAGGTGAGTCTCGGGTGTAAGGTTTGTGGAAGGCGAGTGTGGAAAGGGAAAAATATGCAAAAGCGTTGGCTATATCTTGCGGTTTGTTGAGTTTTATTAAACATCATGGTATCAGGCATATGGAAATTATTTTTTAAAGAATCAATAAAAGACCAAAATCTTTGAGGGTAAGTAGCTATGCCTTGTTCAATTTTAGTGGTATACTTTTGATATGCAATATCAATGCTAATTTTTATGTTTCTTCGAATATTTCGAAAAGCGTTGCAGTCAACAGAATTTCAAGTTCTTTTACAGTATTTCGATAATCATCGATTTTTCTTGATTTTAGAAATAACAGTATTATTGAACCACGCAGGATGAGAAGTGTTCCTTGGCAGTGTTTGGGGTACATTCCGAGTAATTGCCGAGAATAGCATTTCATAGAACTGATCACCCGCTTCGGTGATGTTACCAAGGGAATATAGAGGAGTGAAGTCTAGAGCAGCGATATCGTTTTACAATGTGCGCATGTTAGCTCTTCTATAATTGTATTCAAGACTTGCATTAACGATAAATTTGCCGAATTTATCTTCCATAGAAAAAATATATTAAGCGGAGGATGATAGCTAGCAACTGGAAGCAAAATATCTGAAGCCAAGTTCACCTTCAGTGCATTTTTACTGAATACTCAATCTAGAATCCGGTTGTTTGAGTTTTGGACGAAGTTGTATTGAGACATATTCAGAAAATTGATCAGATTATTGACTGCCGATGTATAGGTATTGATGTAACTGTTGTGCTTAATTTAATTAATGTATGACGGTATATTGAAATCCCCTAAAACAATAACATTGTCTATCAGAGATTCATATGTAGCAACTGACAAGTTAGGTGGTATATAAAGAAGGATAATGGAAACGACTGACCGACGTAAGTGGGCTTTGACCCCAACGATATCAATTGCAGAAAGTGAGCTTGTAAAGTTGAAATTAAGACGTTTCACTTTATACGTCTTCCGAGTGGCTAATAGCACACCTCCACCTCTGAAGGCAGTGGTGGTTTCAAAGTCTTGATCACATCTAAAAACATTATACTCTCGGCATCTAAGTTCAGCATCATAAATACTGTAGTCCAGCCAAGTCTCACTTAGAGCAAGTATATCACACGTACACGTATAAGTTGTATTTAGAAGTACATTTGTATTTGTCCTTAAAAGCATAATATACTGATAATAAATATGTATATTGCAAAGTCGGATTCATGATCGAAATCATCCATAACATTGTTTCCAATGACAGTGCTTGATTGCTATTCCTTACCCAGAAGCAGCTTCTTATATTCACTTAATTTCAATTTATAATGGCAGCATTTATCTGTATCTCAAACAGCATGGTCAACATTACGAGTAGTATTTTCAGCAGATACACAATTCACAGATTTTAGCTGATTAGAACTACATTCAGAAACCTTATGAACACCGGTACACTTAATACAAACTTGCTCAGATTTCCTACAGTCTTTCACATAATGTAGCTAGTCCACAACACTTATATCAGATTTTCAAATTCAATGTATCATACATAACAAAGTTAACAATATTCACTAGAACACTACCTTGATCTAACAGGCCCGAATATGCGACAGTATCCAATTCCAAAAGAGCCTGGAGAACATCCTGACGTTTTTTCGTCGGCCACACCTTAACGCTCCTTTCACATTACACGATTTCGGTCGTACGGGAAAAAGTCCCCCGATTTTTAATCGTGGCACCGTCTAGTGTGAAAGCGTGCATTTGGTCACGTAGACCACTGAGCTAGAGGGCGATACGGTAGCCGTACGGTTCTAATGGCTGCAACGCGTTTAGAAAACGTGCAATGTGAAAGGTCTCGTGCTCTTCAACAGTCGATCAAGAAAAATTGCCGGGCGATTTTTTCCCGTTCGAGCGAAATCGTGTAATGTGAATGGAGCGTAAGAACCCTAAAGTCACTTGATTTATCAAGGATATGATTTTGGGATTTCAACTAATTTGTCGTTATCGATATTATGGGCATGATCAGGATCGTCGCATTTTATTGCCAAGCCACATTTTTCACTTTTATAAAAAAATTTTATATCTTTTTCAAATGGGTTAGCATTTTGACGAACAATATTTCTCGTTTCACTATTCGATTGATTAGTATTCTTAGGCTTGATGATAACATTAAAATTCTTCTTAACAACTGATGCATGAGGAGGGATTGCTTGGCGAGTGGTTTGTTTCATGTCTTCTTGAACTTTGCTTATGAGCGTAGATCGTGACTCAGAAAATAGTTCATGGATCCCATTTATAAGTTTCTTCACTTTGGCTTGTACTATATTCTTCATGAAATTCTCATAATCTTTTTTATTTTTGCGACAATTGGGACAATACCAAAAGGCCCTTGGGGCTTGATTCTAAATGAGTTTCGACCGTTGAAATTGATTTCGATGACGCCTTGTGACGATATACTTGATCCGCTATGATAATTTTGATATCTGATTATATTCTTCTATATTCAAATTATCATGGCAGTGTCAACATTATCATAGCTAATCAATATATCGTCACAAGGCTCCATCGAAATAATTTCAACGGTCGAAACTCATTTAGAATCAAGCCCCTGGACCCTTGATGTTATCAGACATTTTCAAAAACGTTATAAAAATGATATCAAGTAGATTGGCCCTGCACTGCAATTCTGCACAAATGAACATCATCATGTATCTGAATCAACTTTTGTAGGCTCTGGTGTCTTTATTGTTTGCCGGCTGTGAAAATCATTGTACTCGTACCCTGGAGTATAAGGCCGTAGAGTAGAATAAATATCTGTGAAAAAAGCATTGTAAAATGTTCACTTTTATTAAAGAATTGAACGGGTGATTAATTATTTCTTATCACTTTCTCTCTTCAATCTTGAAAACACAATTTGCTGCAAAATGAGGTTTGGTTTCAAGAGAATCAAAGTTTTTTCAATGAGAAAAAATTATAATAAAAGTAACCACCAGCTCAATTCTACTATAAAAGGGGAATTTTACGATTGCAGAAAAAATGTACAAAAATGCATTTTTTGACAAAAAAATGAAAATATTGTTTTTTATTCATCTTAATACACACCATGAAATAATAAGATGAAAAGGATTTAGAATACTGCCAAACAGGCAGTTGAAAAAAAGGGACACGCAACCTTAAGGGCTACTACATACGAGTATGTGTGAAATATGCCTAATAACCACGTAGAATTACTGGGATTACAAGTTTATAAATATGCTGCAGCAGAGAAACTGCGATACACCATTCCCCACCGCTACAACCTCCACCCCCCATTTCTTTACCCCTAAAAAATGTTCAAAGACAATGACAATCCTCTCACATAGAATGAAGGCATATTCAACCTGTTGTTGGTAATACTAGAATATTACAATGTTTTGTGAAAAGAAATTAAAAAACGACGTTATGTGTGAAGCTGAAAATACAACATTCCAGTCTACTCCTTTCTATCCACCATCTTTTATTTAACAAGAGGCTCGTTCTCGATTTAAGAACAGTATCGTATACCACTCGTGTAAACTGCTGGCATGGCATTTTGATACTCCTATGCAGTTCTGTGCTCTGTGATAGCTTCTGTGCTGTGGCCTCTGATAATTGTGACGTGACGTAACCAGTAATCACACATTACTTTAACCTCCAAAATTTTCAAAATCCGTAAAAAGTTAACACAAAAATCTGGAATATGATATCAAATCACGGCAATCAAGAAATATCTGACCCAGTCGAACAAATGTTGAAGAAAACAGGATGCATAGAATTACACTATAAAGTACAGGTAGTTTCAAGAACTTTGTGTTTAGATTTTCATTTAAATTCCTTTGAACCTGGTTTATTTTTTTCAGGAATGTATTGCGGAAACTCGTGATTGGAGAAAGTGTCAAGATAGTGTTTCAGATTTCAAAAAATGTATGGATGAATATAATAGACGAAAATTGCCTAGCCCAACATAACCTAGGCAGTCTCAGAGAAGTTGAAATATTTTTAAAAAATACTTTATTGTAATTGTATATAAAATATCGACTATAATTGTTTATATAACATCAATTTTTTTTTATGTGTTGACTGGATAGAAATCGTTTACGTTACGAGAATTTTAATTCATTTAACAGGATTTTTCACAGATGTTAAAATCAATCGTATGGTAAATCAAAAGATATAGGTAGACGTTACTATATTGCACACAAATCATAATACACTACACTGATCACTGAAGAAGGTTTAATTTTTAATTCTAATTTCATATTGGAATGCACAAAACATATACATATACACTGAAGGAGGAAGGTTAAATTTCATGCTATTCAGTGGCAACACGGTGACTTGTGTGGTTGTCAGCGGCCATTTTTTGAGGGTGCGACACGGTTGCCAGACTGTACATTAATACCTCGCAACGTTGCCAGCTCTACAAATAAATCTGATATTGCTATATATATATAGAAATTGGGTTATTAACATTTTGCGCTATCTTGACGAATAAGTGCTTTTTTGTATATTAAAATAGCAACGTCAATAACACAAGCTGTTATAAGATCACTCATATCCACTCACTAATCTGGAAAGGTTCAGAAGAAAAACATATACTGCAAATATCTAAATATATATTTATTATATAAATCTCATACATTTTCCTACAAACAAATCTGAAAAAATCAGTATAAATCATCACTGGTTATTAAATCATATAAAAACTTACAAATGTTATGGCCTGCAAATATCCTTCAGAGCCGTGCCTTCTGGCTAGATCACAAGTAATCTCCGAACTTCTGATAATTCTCAAAACCTCAGGGGTTGACACTAGCGGCTGAACTTTTCGTAGTGCCCCACTGTTCAAAAAGTTATGTGGAGATTCCAACAGCATCTGCAGAAGCCTAGCTACTGACTGGGATCACCTTGAAAAAGAAACAGTTTTGATTTTAAGTTTGTCTTATACTTAGTATGTACAAATATATTATAGCTTTGGATACTTTTTACATTTTTATACTTCACAACTCTGAACAAAAGGCATATGTCTCAAACAACATAATAGGGACTTTATTCAATCAAAACGAAATGCTTATGTTACGCACAACGAAAATGACTTGCGGAAAAAGTGAGGTTATTTTTGCAAAGCACGCACAGTCACAAGAGGAAACCCGCCGGAAAATTAAATCTGACCAATCAGAAAACGTCAGTTGTGAATAAGCCCCCATTTTTCGAGGGTGCGACATCGTTGTCATATTGTGCACCCGCAACACCGCTTTGTTTCCCATTCGCTCATATGAGTTTCAGCTCCCTGCTACACAGCATCAGCTAAATGAATCAAGAAGCATTTCTGCACGGCAGCGTAATGGCGAGGGCGAGTCTTAATCCCTTAGGCTGGGCGCATACGTTCGATTTCCGTATTCGGAGACCCGAATGCATCAACCGCTAATAAAACAAACAGAACAATATCTAATGCCCCATGGTATGTATCAAACGATACCATCCATAGAGATGTTGACATCCCCTACATTAGGGATTACATCATAGGTATACTGTATCTGGCAGGTTTAAATTGGTATTCAGTATTCACTTAATATTTCGACAGACATTCATTCACTCATTATTTATTTATTGGTCTCTGCGCTTTTCGCACAATCAACCAGCTCAATTGAAGTGTGCTGGTAGTCTGGCTTGAAGCAATACCATAGATACTGAATTTTTACTTAACTTCAATCGATATGAAATGCTCTCGTATGCGGCGGACAATTCGCATGACCATCACCACTACATCCATGGTTGGGAATGTTATTTCAGAGGGCGGGATTCGAGCACGCGGCCCGTCTAACCGACGTATCATTATCCCGGCACTCTGACACACCTGGGTACCCCGGTCCACATTTCGACTGACGGTAATATAACAAACCATTAAGCCTTCCGTTACATATTTTTGACAGCTATAGCAAATAAGGATGGTTTGAAAAACAAGAGTTTTTATGACTATTAAAGTGGGGTGTGGTAATCAGTGATGCCGATCCTACCGATTTTTCGGTATTTCTACCGAAATGAAACCGTATTTTCCGAAATACCGAAAACGTCCTCATATTCCGCGATTTCTTAAAATACTTCAGTTATTTACCGATTTTTTACCGAAAAAGACCTGGAACGAAAAGTAAAGCTTAAACAGTGAATTCTATGTTGTTCTATGAAAATCTTGAGCGGGCAGTCTCTGCTACTAATTCAATGAAAACAAAACAAAGAAATAGTTTATGTTCAGGAACAATAAGTAGTCTGTTACAATTTCAATAATATTAATGTCAGCATGATTTCTAGTATTTCCAAATAACATTGGTATGTATCGAAGATGATCGAAATGTTTTGAAACTTCAATAAAAGAATTTGATGCAAAATCCAGTCGCGCTCCATTTTTCATGACCATTATTTTTTAGTTCTGGTCCACTTATATTTTTTGGAATTAGAAAAAACATTTCCTGAGTTAACTTTTTAGCTGGGAAGTGATTAGTTGATCGTTTTAATCGATTTTATCCTGGTGGTAAAATAAAAAATATAGGTACGGATTTTGAACCACATCTTTATATTAAAATTATTTTTTTTTGTGCCTGTTATACGTGGACAATAAATAGTCAATAGTCGCTATTCTGTTTTTGTAAAAACATATATACTAAATAAATAATGAGTATTTTAAGTTTAATTTGCTTTTATATTCATAAAAAGCCTCTGTATCCCTTTGTTCCGTATGCAATAATAATATGTCGTTTTTCTACTTTGCTTTTATGTTTAAAGGAAACCTGTGTACCTGTATTGTATGTATATGCTTTTTTCTAAAGACGTGCTGCGTGTCCCTAAGGCGAAAACACAGTGGAAGCAGGTTTCCTACTTGCGGGCAACCAGCGCCGATCGGTATCGAATTTCGGCGCTGGTCATGGACACAGTGCTGACGAGAAAAAAGAAAGTAAAACCAGCTTTCAGCGTAGTCTTCGCATCAACATGGGGTCTAACTCATGTGAAGATGAATTTATTACATTGGACAGCTATGTATAACTAAAATAATCACTAGAAAGAAAGTCGGTATTCACCCCATACATCGTGAGAGAATACATTATGGTAAATACGGCGTTGAAAGATTACCTCGACCGGTTTTTTCAGTATTTCTTTCCAATTTTTGTAAACTACATTTCTGTTACTGTATTCCTTATTTTTTTATCCCATATGGGGCATTGTTTGTTTACTACTGCGATTAACTTGTCTATATCCATTATCCACATCGACCTGCTCTGACAACCGGCGAGAAATAACTAAATAATCATTCCCAGGGATGTTCTGACATGCACAATTGTGCGTATAAATGCAGAATTTTACGGACATATGCACAATATGCACCCCAAACACAAACTATGCACAATCGCCAATAAATAGTGCATTTTTTTCTACAAAACTGGCAATACATTTTCTTAACAGCTGCACGAACTGAGTGAAATGTACTGTTAGACAATACAAAATACGAATCCAGTAATTATCTGTTACGCATCCGAGTCCTGATGATTGGTCATCATTGATGGCCTTAGTTAAATTTAATAAATAAATATTTTTTTATTTTTGTATTTTGTTAAATTCTCATTAAACAATAAAAAGGTTCCATGAAATTTCAGTTTTTGGAAATTGGCTGTTGCACCGGAAAATCAGTATACATATATGCATATTTTTAAAGAAATTGGACAATTTCTGTTTACATCTCTGCACAATTCAAAATCTATCGAGAACAACACTGATCATTCCTGCAAAACTGGTAACGCCGACAAGCCTGAGCCTGCTAACTTAAGTGCATGATATAGAAGCCTACAAGGGCCGATAGGCTCTGGTTACCGGAAACAGGAAACCGGCTTATACCGCCCTTATACCTTTGATCGGCCTCTGATCTGGCGCCTACGCCTACCCTGATTTTTCCTGCTACCGATTTTGCCTTGAATCTACCGAATGCGAATGCCACTATCTACCGATTTCGTGTTTTTCGAGTCGGTAACACTGGTGATACTTTGACAGTACTTTCTACTGACAGTCATGAGAGATATATTTTGCTTTGTGGTCTAAAATCCTGTAAATAATATTTTGTGTTTGGAACCATATAATCTGTGACGAGTCTCATTCATTAGAAATTAGAATTTTTTCCAGCATGGATGTAAAGAAAAAACTGAGCTACAAATAAAATAGTAAAACCGTCTAATGGTTTCATTAGTGTTAGCTGTCTTTCAAGAAAATAAGGGGATCAACAATAATGGAAAATCCAGGCAATAACAAAGAAAGTAAAAACTGGCTCTCTCAAATAAGATCCCTAAGAATACGAAGCCGTTCAACAAGTACCAGCAACAAAGACGAGAGGGTGATGTACCAGGGTGAAGCACCTTTTTTTAGTTCCGAAAATAACTCAAACTTTACCCGAAGTAGCAGCAGTATACGCAGAAGTATCATGAAGATGCACACAAGAGTGAAAAGCGTATTCAGGCGGAGGAACAGTTGCAGGAATGCAATTATATCTTCAAATCCTGCTGCTTCAGATGAGGACAATGTATGATAATTTGCATTTGCTTAAGCTTTCCAGTTGTAGAAGTTCTCAAACATATAGTTCTTTGCACAGTTTTTGTGGATGACAGTAAACCTATAGGAATTTGTCTCATCATCTTGGACATTTTCTTGATAACAGGCGTATTTTTTAATTCACCAGTTCAGCCACCGGTGCCACCAATTATCCAATTTTACTTCCTTTAATTTCCATCTGAGCAACTGGTTGTACACCAAACTTGTCTATGTAGTTTATAGACAATTTTGGTGTACAACCGGTCGCTCAAACGGAAATTAAACCGGTGAATTAAATTTATGCCTAACCTGTGAGTCTTTCACATTTATAGTTCTCACTGTCAGGATAACTTGATTGGCATGAATGGAGTATTTAAGGAAAGTTAATTAAAACAATATTGTCCTATCCTCCAATTCATGTGTGTGTGTACGAGAGGGAATAGCAGCTATGTTGTGGATCAGTTTCTGCAGTTTGCCCTAGGCAAGTCAAGCTCTGCTTATGGTATGGCTAGTCAATTTGTTTACTTAAATCATAAGGCATTGTGATGTAACCACCAATGATGTGAAAAGAACTACACATAGGTTAATAGGGCTCGCACATTTACATACATTCTAATCTGTCACTATTGAGTGTTATTTTGTGCATGTTTGGAGCATACACATTTAGCAGATCCTATGAAAAATGTGAGAACAATCTAGGAAGGCATTACAATCTGTATCTTTGGAGCACACAGGCCAAAACTGAACATCTAAATGAAAAATTCTGTTTAGGAGTGGCACAGATTTCTGACAGATTGAAAAGTACCAGGCTCCATTGTCTCATTGATTGGCTGTCTTTGGTTAGATGAATGAAATCTGTATTACTAGTTTGTCCAATGGCAAGTAGAGCTTATCTGTAGCACCAGAATTGCCAGCATCTAGAAGTCACAGTAGTGATCCTACTGACAATATGATCTGGGGTGTTGTTCCAACAGACAGCTTGCTGTTTTCACTCTCACAGTGGTCGATTTGGTTTGTTGTGTTATCAGAGACCATGCCTGCACTATGTTGAGGAGTTGGGTGAACAAGTCTATATTACTGGTTTTTTCTCATCATTTTGAGAATCGGAATGCAGCAAACTATAGACATGTCCATCTTAATTGATAGTGCTGGCCATGCTCATCATATTCACTCCATGCTTGTAATTCACATCAAGTATGAAGTTACATGAAGCAGAGATCAAGAACTTACACAATGTGTTGGGTTGGAATAATTGGTATTTATGCGAAAAAACTGCCAGAAAGACCACGTGTCAATGGGCTAACCATTAAATATCAGTTTTTAATAGTTTAGCTGCATTTCTAACATACACTATGCTGGAGTAGAACACATGCAAGAAATGTATTAGAGGAGTAGCATTAATTCTAAAAATGGATTATCTAATCAACATTATTAACATAGCATATAGGGCTTGAATGAATGAATGAAACACGAAATTAGAGGCATACCGACCACCATAAGGAGCCAGCGCATAGGCCACTCAGACGGGCCCTTGTGCACCTCCACATTTCTTAGACCTCAAGCCTCGCCATTCTAGCAAAGTTGAGTATGGCCTTGAGTCCAAGCTCCTTATCGACCTGAGGGTCTAAAGTGATGGACCCCAGTATAGTCTGCCTGTAGTAGTTAAGAGTCTCACAGCAACACAGAATGTGCGCCGAGGTCTCTTCTTCTACCCCACAGCACTCACACAAATTATCCTTAGCCACCCCCATCACGTGAAGGTGGCGCCTAAACGAGTTATGGCCAGACAGCAGTCCCACCAGCAACCTTAGATTGCCTCTATTGAAAGATAAGCAGAAATGTCCAACCTTAGCGCTGGGCCCTGCAATGAGTTCCCGTGCCTGACATAGATATCTGGAAATGCTTCTCCATTTCTGAGAGTGTTGTCTTGCAATCCACTTCTCCATTTTCCTCCTAACTCTTAGCGCGGGCCACCCCTAAAGCTGGCTCAGGACCAACGAGCTTGCTGGCTGATCCTGTCTTCGTCAGAGCGTCCGCCGTCTCATTGCCCTTTATCCCTGCGTGCCCCGGTATCCACACTATCGATAGCGGATGCCACGCTGCTAGACATTCCAGAGCCTCCCTGCATTGCAACACAAGGCTCAAAGTAATTTTACAGGCATTTAATGCCTTTATTGCAGCCTGGCTGTCGGAGAAGATTGTTTTTCTTCTCCTAGGCTCAGCCCCCTCCAAAATGAGGAATACACAAGCCAGAATCGCAATGATTTCCGCCTGGAAAATAGTGGTGTCTCCACCAAGAGGCAGAGATAGCCTAGTCCTAGTCCAGTCCCGGCGCCATAGTCCTCTTTGGTGACCGAGCCGTCCGTGTACCAGACTCCGGTGAGCCTCCGGCAACCGGCGTTCCACTCCTCCCTCGTTGGATACTCAACATTAAACATGCGGTTGAAGCGATACTTAGGGTCAATCACATCGTCCCTGTTCAGAAGGACAGGATCCTCTGTTTGCAGTTCGACCAGAATGGCAGTATGACGCTCCGCGGATCACTAGATCCAACGGTGGGAGATCCAGCAGAGCATATAGGCCTTAATAAATAGCTTTTAATCCCATTTCATTGGAAATCTTTATTAAATATAATAATAGCTAAATACAGCTTCTCCAAGTTCTACAGTATAAACCGAATGCACTCCACTATAAGTTCATTTTGAGTCGCAATAAGTATGCCGACACAGGTTTACTCTAAAATTATTCAAAAATTATATGTATCTTCTTGTAGCATAAAATGAATAACACACTAATGCTGGAAATATACTCATATGTAACCTCTGAAGCTTATCCAGTAGTTTTCATGTCAATAATCCCCCATGTTGTCTGGGAAATCAAAGAACATGTGTTTAAAATCATTCTTTATTGTATACGTTTCGGTCTCAACCGTGACGTTCTTCAGTACAATTTTGTTTGACAATATTGTACTGAAGGTCACAGTTGAGACCAAAATAAATACATCAAAAGGAATTTTAAACACATGTGGTTTGACTGGGCAGACAAATGGGGGATTATATACTCATTTATTGTAACACAACAAGATTGGGTAAATAAGTACAGAGTACACACTCAATGCACAGAGCTCACTGTATTCACTCTGTCCATACACCAGAATCTGTAGATGTTTGTCTTGAACATCTGTATCTGAATGCACCTGCTCTGGTAGGGCCAGCCCAGCTTGGCCAAAGGCTACCAAGTCTAGAAAATGATCTTTTATATTGAAATCTCATGATCACGTTTGACTTCTGTTAAAGTTTATAGGCGAGGAAAAATAGTATGTGAGCTACATCTTAATATTTATGCCCATGTGTTACATCAGCATGGTGCACGTTAGAGATGCAGCTTAATGCTTTGTACACTTCAGATTGTAATTATGTCATTGCCATTTTTTAGTATATTAAAAATTAGTAACTACACACTGCTGTGAAAAAAATATATTCCACATATTTTAACGACTGATGACTGGAAAGCTTAAAGTTGGTGATGAAGTTATGAGTTAACTGCTAATGTATATATATTTTTTTTTTAGGTCAACACTACATTCAATTTTAGGAGTATTGATAAGTCACTGGTAGGTTTTCATTATTCTTGATAAATAATAGCTTCACAATTTTTTATTTACCATGACTTGCTTTTAACTACGGGGGACATAGTTAAACATTTCATTTCATAAGGTATTTATAGTATACTCATGAGAAACTTTCCTACAACCCCTACGTATTTATATCCGAATGGCACTTTGTAATCCAGGTGCGTAGATTTCGAATCCACTACCTAAACTTTTGTACCACTGCACTTCAGAATTATATATAGCACATGAAAATGGAAAACGAGTCAGTCGTTTGCAACAACAGCAGTTGAAAAATGGAAATTTTGACCCTCAAAATCCTATGAATGTTCTAGTATTAAACCTCTGCATATATGAAATACGATTGAAGACAGTTTGATCACCAAAATTACATCCCTGCTGTTATCATTTATTGATCGACCTATAGGCAATGTGGCCCGCAGAGAGGTGCCATCTGGGACCGTGGACCTTAAAATTTGCATATTTAGCTTGATTTTATATACAAATCTTACAATGTTCAAGATTCTACGGCTGGCTACGAACATGTATAACAAAAAAAATTGAATGGATCTAGTCAGTTAGTCAAACAAGCGCCTATAATTAATGGGGTAAATATACATCTGCTCTTCAAAAAGTTTTAGCAGGTACACTTTCATAAAAAGTTCTCTTGCCGATGATTCCCTGCCTCCCTGACAAAAATTCCTGTGGGCGCCTAAGTAATTATGATTTGTCAATTACCACAGAAGATCAAAAATGGGGACCCCCACGTGATATTTTCACTACTTCAAATGCAGCAAAACAATTTTTGGCGGTCACTTTCCAAGTTTAAATAATTTTATTTTCATTCCAGTCCCTCCAAAACGACAGTCCTACAGTTCCTGCTCTGACACCAAGAAACCGCACAGTCCCCCAGTTGCTGGGCATTCAAAACGGTTGTGCGCCCAAGAACGAAATCGCAAATTTAACTAACTATTATTGGTACTGGGGCCCCATATCAAGGCGACAGGCTGAGGAAAGATTGAAAGATTCTCCTGATGGTGCTTTTTTGGTTCGGGATTCAAACTCTGCTAGGTAAGTCTGGAAAGCATATCTTTAGCTGTCAAAGCACAACACTATGTTTGGAAGGAATACAGCAAATCTAGTTGCGAGCTCATCTTTAAGTGTTGATTAACATACCCAAGTAGCACCATACTAGTTTACTAAGTAATTTGAGGGTGCATTCAAGCTGTGAAAGAAAACTGCAATAAAACCAATTGGTTTTTAAATAGACCTTAGGGTTGTAGCAATCTCGCCTTCGTAAAAGGGCCCACACTTAAAGCGGTCAATGAAATCAAAAATAACCTTCATACAGGATTATACTTTTGGGGAAACTGATTTTAAAACTGCTGTGCAGGTACCTTTAAAACCAGTTTGAATACATTTTATCGCACGCAGTTTTAAAGTAAACTTAAAAATGCTTATTAAACGTATACATTTGAAGATAATTTACCTTATTGTTAGTATATAATAAATAGTAGACCGACATATGTATTTATACCGGGTATTTCAAATTCGACCCTCATCATTGGGATGTCGAAAACCTTAAGAGATACGAAGTCGCTTAAATGGGAGCAAAGTTGCGTATGAATTCCGCTTAGAAATTTTCGAGATTCAAAGTACTTAGAGAGACGGAAAATTCCGAATTTCCTAAAAATCATTTTAATATTTTTCCTGACTTTATTTGTACTGAGATTTCAAAATAAGTTACACATTGTAATTTTTTCTCCTCTGGTCTTCTAGGATCAAATTAATGTTTCCTAAAGGATACCATATTGTATTTTTGCACAAGAAATTAGAGTGTTTAATTCTGATTTCAAAAATGTATAATATGTCATACATTGATATTGCCAAACCTTAGTTATTTAAAAAAAAACAGAATTTCCTAGGCAGGTAGTCATTTGTTTCATATACCAGATTTATCGCTAAATCATTATTGTTTTACCGAGTTTATTTTAGATGGGATTACATGTTATTGCAACTTTTTATCCTCTACAGCAGGAGTTTCCAACCAGGGGGGCGCGCCTCCAAGGGGGGCGGAAAGCGTTTGCATTTTAGAAAGAAAAAACAAAAAAATAAACAAACAACATTAACAAATAACATTAAATAAAATTAGAAATTTAATTTCATATTCACTTATTCTGTCAACCGCTGTTTCAAAATCCGGCGACGTCAATCGCAGTTTATACAAGTTTCGACTTAAAAAACAATTGTGTACCTACCAGACGCGGATGAGCATCTGTGACATTCATTCCCACAAACTTGAGAAAAATTTGACGTTTCGATGTACATGTTTTCTTGAGAAATCTGTTTGGGTTTGTCAAATTATTGTGTCTCACTGTTAAAAGGTAAGATTGTGTATTTACAAACTTCAGTTACCATTTTTATTTAATTTACTAAATTGTTGATTGAGTGGAGACGCGTTCATAGATCGGCCATTGGGACATTTTTACCACATCACAATCAAACCAACGTGCCGAAATAATTTTGAAACGACGAACTTTGAGTACCTAACATTGATTCCAAATGCATTACTATCATAACGTCAACGTGCCTAAAAAAATAGAAATCTCCCGGTGGCCAATACAGGGTGTCCGCAAAGTTGGGGTTTTCCTTTTCAGAAACAACTACCCTTGAAATAACAAAGGTAATATGTAGTGAAACGAGGGCCACCAAGTAAAAAAAAAATAAAGGAAAAAGTACTCACTCTCCAGTTGACGAGAAGGGCTAAGTACGCCTCTGCCCGAAATCATACCGCTCCAACAGAAAATGAAATCAGCTGTGCGCTACCGAGCAGACGCAGAAACCACATTGATTGTCTTACACCACTTAATGGCACATCTTCTAACAAGGAAGGCAAAATGTTGCGTGAAAAGTCTAGGTATTGCATCCCGTCCAATCGATTTGGGAGAATAAATGGTCCAATGAGCATACCGTTCACCATGCCAACCCAAACATTCACCGAAAATGTTTGTTGAAAATGACCAAACATGAGTGTTGCGAAAGTTATTCACCCCATTACGCGTGAACGTAGATTCGTCTGTCACCAATATGCACTTCAAAAAGTCCGGATTATTGTCATGTTGATGCAACAACCACTCACAAAACCGCACTCTTGCTGGAAAATCGTCAGGTTGAAGGGCTTGTACACGTTGGACGTGGAACGGATACAGCTCCTCTTCACGCAGCGTTTGCCACACTTTAGTTTTTGATACTTGCACTTCTCTAGCCACGTCTCTAGTGCTTGTTGTTTTTTGAAACGCAATCGATTATACGAGTTCGTTTACCTCTATACGCGTGACTGTAACCGTCGGTTGAAGGTTGCATACTAACCTGACACACTGACCCCGACCCAGTTCTGCCGTCGGGTTGAGACCTTGTATCAGTCGGGGTGTCGGGGATATCCCGGCGGGTCGCGGCTACAGGACGGTATTCAGATATTTTTGATGTTGCAGAGCCCTTTATCTCGGTTCCCTTAAGACATTGGTGTATATGGTACTAAGAAAAATTGCTTATGTTTTCAAGATCTACACGTCGTGTAAAGGAAAACCCCAACTTTTCGGACACCCTGTATACTGTTGAATACATTACGTTATTAAGATAAAATAATGGACATATAATTAGTAATTGCATGTAGGTATTTTGCTTATTTATTTATTACTTTTTTGTTTTATTGTTATTGGTGCAAAATGTTAGCGAAAAAAAGAACGTTTTCCGAAGATTACGTTAAGAGATAGAAAAAGACGAGTTACAATTGCCTCAGTGTGTGATATGTATGAAATTTTTAAGTAATGATAGCATGAGGCCCAATCACCTTGAAAGGCATTTGAAGCAACAACATCCTACTCTGGTTTTGAAGACGAAAGAGTTTTTTCTTCTAAAGCAGAATCACTCAAGCGGATGAGACTGGATAAATCGGGAAGTTATCACACAGGTGTATCGCAGCATCTCTCAAAGCTTCATTTAAAATAGGTTTTATGATAGCAACGGAAAAGAAAGCTCATACTATCGGTGAAGAATTAAAAAACCATGTGTCCTAAAAGCCACGCAGATAGTTTTAGGAAAAGATGCAGAGCAAAAAATGAAGTCTATTTCTCTTTCGAATAACACAGTCAATAGCAGAATCGATGACATTGCAGCAGACATAAAGTCACAAATAATTAACAAAGTAAAATTATCGCCATTTTTTGCCATTAGTTGCGATGAATCTACCGACATCGTTAATTGTGCACAGTTAATAGTGTTCGTTACATCGGCGTTGATATCACTCAAGAAGAGATTTTGTACTCCGAATCTTTGACAGCTGGTACTACATCTGAAGATATATTTAATTCAATATCAAATTTTGTTGAAAAAAATTATTTGTATTCTAAGAAACTCAGACTTTGCACAGATGGCGCACCTGTAATGCTAAAAAGCTCAAGGAAAACAATTCCGCAATGGTTAGTACACATTGTGTTATTCATCGGCAAGCTTTGGCTTCCAAAACATTGCCACAGAAATTACGCCAGACTTTGGACTCGGCTATAAGGATTGTAAACTACATCAAGAGCAGCGCTTTGAGCAGTCAGTTATATACTTTACTTTGCGAGGATCTCGATTCTGATCACAAAGTTCTTATGTTCCATATAGAAGTACGCAGGCTGTCCAAAGGCAACATGTTGGCTCACCTTTATGAATTGAAAGAAAGAAGAGGTAATTCTTTTTCTTGAGTTCAAAGAAAAACACGATTTCTTGACAATGTTCAAAGATGACACATTTCAATGGAGGTTGGCTTATCTGACTCTTTGAATGAGCTAAACTTGAAACTTCAGAGCAGAAACAACACTATAATAAGCAATTATGATTATATTCAGGGTTCATATCAAAGCTTTAACTTTGGAATCAAAATGTGTCTTCTGAAATTGTTATATCTTTTTCTCGGCTGTTCGAAGCAATTACTGGACGCAAATTTAAAAGCTGAAAACTCATTTGCAAGCGCTGGAAGACGAATTTCGCCGATACTATCGAGACATCAATTCAGAGTCACCAATATGGCGCATGACAAGAAATCCATTTGTTGTCGATGTGTCACAATTACCAGAAGAAGTTCAGGAAGAATTTCTAGAAATGAAGGCTGATTCGTCCATGAAAGATGTCTTCCATCTTTTAACATTGGAGAAATTTTGGATCAAAAGATTGCCTGTTAATTCGGCACTTGCCTCTCTTGCTTTACGAATACTAGTTCCTTTTTCTTCAACCTACTTATGTGAGACAGGCTTTCTGCTCTAGTTTTAATTAAAACTAAACAGTGAAATCGTCTTGATGTCGATAGCGACCTGATGATAGCTCTGGCAAAAACATAACCTAGAATCAACCAATTGGTACAGAACATGCAATCTCGAGTGTCTCATTAGTACCTACTTTTATTTTATTCAAGTTTTTCGATAAAAAACATTTATTAGTTTATTTAAACTTTTAAAGTTTGATTATTAGAGCTAAAATAAAAATCTTTGTACCTATATAATGTGTAAACAGTGAAATCGTCTTGATGTCGATAGCGACCTGATGATAGCTCTGGCAAAAACATAACCTAGAATCAACCAATTGGTACAGAACATGCAATCTCGAGTGTCTCATTAGTACCTACTTTTATTTTATTCAAGTTTTTCGATAAAAAACATTTATTAGTTTATTTAAACTTTTAAAGTTTGATTATTAGAACTAAAATAAAAGTCTTTGTACCTATATAATGTGCGTTTTTTTTTGTATTTATTGAAAAAGTAAAGGGGGGCATCAAAATATCATTTATAGTCCGGGGAGCCTCAACAAAACAAAAATGGTTGGAAAACCCTGCTTTACAGGATGGCATAGTCAAATTTTCTTTCGGCTTCCATCAACAATATATATTTGTTTTACATTTAAATGTAAATTTCAGTCCTAAATTCAGTGATGTTTCACCTTAGTTGGCCATGAATTTGTTGTTCGAATGAAAGTTATATGGAAATAACAAGCTATGGTGAATTTGTGACAGCATATGACGGTTCTGAAGACCTTAAATTGAGCATGGTAACAGAGTTTGGAAGACTGGGGAGAAGAGAAATAAATCGAGCAGTAAACATTGTACAGAGGAATGTCAGGCTTTACCTACAAAATATCTGAAAACGTTTTGATCGTACCTCTGCTTATTTATATTTATTTATTTTCATTGTTGAGTTCAGGTTTCACCATACCTTTTATTTTAATTAAGGAAATACATTGCTGAATTGGAAAATCCATTTAAATCTACAAAATTCCAATATAGTCATATAAAAAAAAGTTGGTGATGGAAGCAGAAATAAGAAATCTCAAATTGAAAATTTGACTACGCTATCTTGTACAGGAGAAAAGTAGCCAGAACAACATGCAATCTATTTTGAAATCCCACTACAAGTAAGGTCAGGAAAAAATTAAAACTATTTTGGAAAAATTCTGTTTTTTTTTGTCGTCTCTCTTCGAAAGTACTTTGAATTTCTAAACTTTCTGAGCGGCATATTATCTGTTACATAAATACGAAAGTTTGCCCCATTTAAGCGTATCTCTTTCCGTTACCGGGATCCGGATGGTGACTGTCGAATTTGAAACACCCGGTAGGTATCTGTAACTATAAAATAATAAAAAGCAGTTGGTTATTTTGGACTGTGAAGGTAGAAAATCACTTGCACGTACGACTTTTATGATTCAGAGTTTTATGATTCAAAAAAAGTAAAAGAAATTGAAAACGTGAAAAATGTCAGTTTGCAAAAAAGTTGCACCTAAAATTTTAAATTTCTAATGTTAAAATAATAACAATCTTTATTTGCAAATACAAAATGCTATACAAAAGCTTTAAAACACTCAACTAAACAAAACTAACAATAAATTCTTACACTAAAGCATATTATTCAAATCTGTCTTGAAAATGCCATTAATTTTATATGGTTCTAGATTTATTAATATTTTGTATAATGTTTTCTTTTTAATGCACTTACTTTTTCACACCTGCTGGTAAATGATTAAACAGTTATAGACAATTGTAAAGAAGTCCTTTGTCTAATAACGCTAATCTATGCTTAGGATAAATATAGCTAAACAATTCTAGTATGGTAAACAATCGCTTATTTTTTAAATAGATATATAAGGCTCTCTTGAATAAACGCTGGAAAAACTGTAAAAATACCGAACTGCTTGAACTTTCTTCTACATGATTCATTTAACGTCTAACTTACACTACTCAAAGTTTTATTTTGTATCACAAAAATTTCATCAGTCACTACTGTTTCAGGATAACTAAATTCCATACCTTAATCTAGATTCAAAATTTGAATGATATACGACTTTCAAAGTTTTTCTATCCCAAATATTTAGCAATAATTCTTATAGAATATTATACCTTTTTAAGCTTATTTCTTAAATAATTTATATGGTTGACCCACCTGAGGCAACTTACTGTCTAATTCAAGAAAAAAAAATCTAGTATTGTCAGACAATGTAATTGTTGTACCGTTAAAACGAATTGAATTTAGCAAAATTGCTGTACAGTGAGTTGTTCGAAAAAACATAGCAGAAGTCTTAGTTTTATTAAGAATTAACCAATTATTAAAAAAAGGCGTCAAATAAGTTGACTCTGCGCTTTCCACGCAACGCCGTTATCAGTTCATAAATGATATATGTTCAGCACAAACTAGACCCTCCGAGAAAGTCAGTCAAACAGGTCCATAAATTTAATAATACCAATAATCGTCTTTATTACCATTATCTAAAAAAGGCAAGATTTAGCTAAAGTTACTCTTAAACCTAACCTTATGTAGATGTAGTACACTGGAAAATTTTAAAATAATAGATCCTAAATAATAGAAATGGAATAAACAACCCTATCTTTATACTAAAAACGTATCCTACTTGTTAGACTGTTGTGCTACGCTAATGATTTACACGTGTATGTCTTACAAATATTGGTTAAGCGCTACCCTAAATTTGCGTGCTGGTAATTGTTTAAGATCTGCAGGAAGTAAGCTGAAATTAGTAATTGGTCGATACGTAAAAGTTCTATGAAAAAAATCAGTCCTTAGACATTATTTCCGTCCTCCACCGGTAGTGCATCTGGAAACGTCGTCTCTTCCCGATACTTGGCCCTGTCAAACGTGGCATCGCAGTCAGACCTAGGCGGCAGAAATACGCGGCCGATAGGTACCCGATCCGTCTGCTGAGAATAATGACCTAGGACCTAGGATCGTCAGTCGTTTCTACAATTGCAGGACGCCTTTATAGCCTTTTTGATTTTCATAGTTTTCTACTGTTCCGAGTCAGCGCTCTATTTTGAGGTTAGGTTACTATCTATTTGCATCAAATTGTTCATGTTTTTGATGTATATCATTATTATATAGCCCGAAATTTCCTACAATTCAAAAAGAAAACATAAACACACAATAGGAGAGCGCTGACGCAACAGTAGAGATCAAGAAATATTCCTACCTTTCTGAAGGAGAGAAAACACTATCAAAATCAAGGAGGCCGTAAAGGCGTCCTACAATATTGTAGGAACTACTGACGATACGGCCCTAAGTTTTAAGGGCTAACGTACGGAGAAGTCTATGATGTGTGGAATATGTCTAATAGGTGCGTAGAATTACCAAGGTTGGAAGCGTATAAATGTACTTACATCAAAAAACTCAGATAACCCCCAAGTTTTTTACCTCAATTTTTTTTAAATGATCAGAATTCTCCGAAACGTACAAAATCGAAGTTTGAACGATTTTCATTCTTTTTCGTCTTTTTTCTCTGCCGCCACTGCACGGATTTCCAAAAACTATGTCGCTTTTGCGTCCTTGGCATAGAAGTGATATTGTATAAAAATGTCATCGAAATCCGAGCTGTACTTCTCCAATTATAGGCGGTTATAAGATTAGCGAACAGACCGACGGAAATGAGTGACATGGTTTTTCGTGATGTACATGTCATCTAAAATCCAATTACAATATTTCCTCGCCCGTAGGCGTGGGGAGTAAAAAGAGGCTTGTAAAATAAATTAATTCTAATTTGCAGGTATCTCTTTTCTCTGAGCTTCCGCAGTACTGGTCGTATCATGCACACCCGCATCAACGTGACCTCGAGCGGGTACGGCCTAGCCAACCAAATTGGCTACAACAGCGTCGCTGATCTCATCGAACACGCCATCGAGGTGTCCAAGAATGGCGTCTACTGCTACACTGGCACAACGACAAGTAATCAGCTGGTGCCTAATTTCCCCGTACGACTCACTTTGCCCGTCTCCAGGTACGACAAGGTACCAACGCTCAAGTATCTCTCCAGGTTTGTCATCAGGCAGTGCGTTATCATAAACGATATCGAGAAACTGCCCTTGCCTAATTCATTGATAGATTATTTGCAGGAAGATGGACGATATTTCTAAAGTTGATGTTTTTAGTTAAAGCGCGCTTTTAACGTTTTATTGGCACTCAGCAGTTGATTCATAACGCTAATCTGGAGTATGCATTAGCAGGCTATTATTACGGGCAGAAGAATGCTGAGGACAACCCTCCGCTCGTTTGTCCAAGAGTTAGTTGGTAATAAATGAAAAGCATTTTTATTTTCACCCTTCAAAGAAAAATTGCCAATAAATTCAGTACACGTTATTACTCTGTAAACAGCTGTTGCTGTTGAGTAGTGTATAAATAAATGAATGAATAATATATTTAATTATATGTATTATATACTGACATAGAAAAAAGGACGTCTAATAATAATGAATTCATTAAAAATATTTTCAATATGCGTCCTTTCATTAATTTAACCTGGTAAGTTTGGTTAAAGCTAGTCAATGCTGTGACGTCATAACAAAAAACCGGAGAATGAAAGTGAAAAATGCGATAAGAAATCACAATTTTAGGTTATGATGAAAATACAATAATTTCATTCATTCTGATGTACAAGTACAGTGAAATCACCTTTGGGCGGACATCAACGGGACCGACTTTAAGTGTTCGTTTGTATGAAAGAAATATAACAAAAATCGCGTTTTTAATGAAACCTGAATATATTAAAGAAACTGGGACATTTAAAACATATATGTATTATGTAAATGCTTTTAAAATAAACAAAAAGCTTTAAACTTGAGAAAAAAAGGTTTGTCACCTTTAGATATATACAAAGTATGTACATATATATGTATAATATAATATTTATGTACATACATAATATTTGTAATAATACAAAACAATGGAATAAAAAGTCACTTTATATACAGGGTGACTTCGAAGTTGAGTCATTTATTTTAACAGTGAGTAGATCTGATCAAAAGAAATGTTTTTTTCCTTTACCATTTTCCTGGTAAAATTAAAGTAACAAAGTTATAGCCCTTTGGAAGTTTGAGTACCGCCCTGTCTCAATAATAATATTATGTGGTCGTGTTTGGCGACAACGGATATAATCCGCCGTATCGGTTCATCGCATCGGAAACAAAAAAGCGAAAGAATTTGGAACGATGCTTTTTACAATTATTTCATTCATTTGTATACAGTCAGTGTCAGTGAATAGTGGTATCTGTTGCGTGGCTCAAACGAAATAAAAAATGGCACATGTTTATGCGGATCGGTTGCCCAATCGAGTGCAACCAACCCCTCGTGTCTTTGTTAATGTAGTACAACGGGCTCGTGAATCAGGTGACTTAAGACCTCACAGGGGACCTCACGATCAAATACAGGTCCGCACTGAAATACTTGTCGGGAGGATACTTTATAAAACAAGGTAAAAAAAAATTTTTTTTTATTTTTACACACATATTTTGGTTTATCTTCCTTCTACAATCATTATCTGAAAATTAATGACTCAACTTCAAAGTCACCCTGTATATTGTTGTTTGTCTCCTCTTTTTTCTTTAAAATGGTGTCTTCCTTATTTATAATTCAGAAAGACGCTCCAAAGACACTGGATCTCCCTGATTTTAGATGATTCAGAATAACTTCTGTTGGTACTGGCACCTCATTGACATCAGAATCTATGGAAAGTTCTTGTATTTCAACTGGATTTCTAATTTCTTGGCCTGAATCTGGATCTTTCACCTAGGTTCAAAAAATCATAACAGTTTTCATTAACAGTCAAGTTGAATAAATTCTTATTTTTGAGGATTTCTGAAAGTACATATATACTATACTATATAGACATAATTTACAATGCCGGATCCCAGACACTGTCACTGACCACTGTACAAACAAACCATATGAGGTAAGTCATCTGGTTCAGGTGTATCAGCCTCATGTAATTGTTCTTTATTTTGCATATTCTCATGCTTAAATCCTGCTTTGCCAAGCAATTTTGCACTGTTTCTTTGGTTACTTGGTCTCAAGCAGTTCTTCACAGTTTACTAGTGGGTGTTTGAGTATTAGACTTCGGTAATAAATTTTCAAACTTGCTTATTCAAGTGGTTGACAATCTGATGTACAATTTGAGGGCAAAATAAGATGTTTATATTATTTAAGTGAATGTCTTTTGGATGAGATCCCGCATTGTTTAAAAATAAGAAAGTGTTTAGCCATTTTTTCAATCTAGCTCTTGCAACCACCCTGTCATAATTTGGAGCCATGAATGTGTCGCCCACAGTGTCTTGTTCGCATAGACGTCAGACTAATACTGAATGAAAATTTAAATCGAAAGCGTGAACCCAAAAAATAACAACGGAAAGTCGGTGAATCTAAGGTTTACTCGAGAATGTCCCAGCAAAGATGGCGCGCGGCACGATTGAGAAATGCAATAGCGATACTGTCAACTGTTTTGTTTTTGTTCGGTTATAAAAACATTTTCTCATGTCCGCGTCCGTTCAGGAGAATCCTCGCTTAAGAGCTAGTTAATGCAATGTAAATTATATGAGTCCGTTTAATGGTGTCCGCGAAGGGGAATTTCGCTGTATTTCCATGGGTACTATGTACCAACCAAAATGCAGATTCAGAAGAAATGGAATTTATCGAGTTACGAGTTGATTAACTATTTCCACATTTACGTTGAAAGTTTTAGTAATACCTAAAAATCTCTAATTTTGCTCGGTACTTTGTTCTAAATATGTTTAGACGAGTATTCTTGCAACTTGTTTATTTCTGTTTTTTTATCTTCTTGCATCTCTTCCTTTTTTTTAATGTCCGTGTTCTTGACTTTTTTGGGTCTCCTTGATTTTAAGATTGTTTTAAGGGGGCTGTTCAACCCATCTGTTTCCTTAACTGGGTGGAGCTTGTCCACCTCTTCTCTCTCCCTCTTCCTGGAGGATTCTCTTAATTCTTTCAGATGACGCCTTTGAGTGATCGGTATTTTGTTGCTCCTGTCGCTAATGCAACAAACCTCTTGATCGTCTGATGAGTTACGAAGCATTTAACGATTGTTGGCATCTTTTGTACTAAGCTCACTATCGATAAGGTCAAAAAAGTATGGTTTATCTTCTATTTTACACACTGCTCCACCTGCTTGTTTACAGCTCATCATAAATATATATTATTATATATTCTTTCTAAGTGCCTCCATTTTTGGCAGCATTTCTCACCTACCTTTTCGAGCTCAGTACATTGTCCTTGCAACAACGGTTATAATTTTCATTGATTATTATCTGCCCAATGGCCTGCCAGATGATTGTTTTACTAATTGTTTTCTGTTGAATTGTTTTTGGAATTTATTAGAACCATACAATTTAATCAGGTCCTCAGTTGCCATTGAATATCTGCTGGATGCTCTAAATAGGGTTGCTCAATTGCATCAGGAACTCAATTTATAGTACCATTTGTAGAAACGAGATCCTAATTAGGATCGTCTCAGGCACAATATAAAACGCCCCTCTTGGGTATATCCCCAAAAGCAAAGAATTGCCGCGTTTAACTTCCTCCTATGTGTTGGTCCTGGAGATACAGGGTGAGCACCTATTCAGAGCTCTTGAGAGTACCAAGAAAACTGGGATCTAAGATGCCCATTCACTCTCTTAGATAGAAGCTGTTACGTCAAGCCGTTTGAATCTACCAGTCAGAGTCGAACTATCCGTTCTCGATTCAGAGTTAGAAAATTTCTTAGTCCAGTCGAACTAGGGAATTTTGAAATAAGATTACCGTGCCATCAGGTTCATTTTCAGTGATCGTCAGTTCATTTACAATATTCTTTACGTTTTGACGTTTATTTAGGTGAATCAAGCCTGATAGGTGCCGTACAGGCTTGCCAAATGGGCCGAATAATATAAAGCATACATATTCAAATGGTATTTACGTTCTTATATTGTCTTTTTATCCTTGTATTGTCATGGCGTAGTTGAATAAAGCTATAAGATTTGAAATTGTTGCTTGGCAGTTTCACGCGGTTAAAAACGGAACAGCGAGAAGACGTGTTAAAAGCGTCGCCATATTGGGTGATATGTATTTTTAATTTCCTCGGATTCTTGAAGTATATGAGTGTTGAAAAGTTATTTTCCAAATTGCTAACGTGTTATGTTTTTCCTTCTTTAGTTCTATCAAGTGAGACAAAAACATGTCCCAAGGGATAACAATCATCACTTAGATCAACTATGAAAAACAAGTTAATGAATATAACATTAAGAAACAAAAACAGTGATGTGAGTTGAGACTATAATGATGCATCAAACCAACTCAGCAGCATTATACACTGGCATTATTTTTTGTTTCATAAACTTGTTTTTCATATTTCACCTAAAGGGTTTTTGTTATTCCTTGAGACGTGTTTTGTGTCTAATTCGATGGCCCTGAAGAAGCCGAAGAAAAAACGTCGAAACGTTGAAAATTTTAACACCTATATATCCCAATAATATCAGTCACTGTTTCTTGTATATTGGGTGACTTTCCCCAACTTTGAGCAGATCGGTACCTTTGAGGGGAATAATTTTCTGGGGGAAATGAAAACATATCTGATTTCGTGTTTAACTGTGGAAAACTAACCAACGCCAATGAACAATTTCAAGTCTTATAGCTTTATTCAATTAGGCCTCGACAAAACAGCTGCTCTCGATAACACCTAGTGTGGATCAGTGCAGGATATTAAGACAATATAGAAGCATAAATACCATTTGAATATGGTGTAATATATAATATGCTTGGACCCTATTCGACCCATCTGGCAACCCTGTACGGCACCCGTCTCCAACTCGAATAATGATGGTAGATATTTTACGAACCCTGGAAAAGAGTGACGTGATGGCGACGTTGGGAACTAAGCGCTTCCCGGTAACGGCGAATGGCATCATGGGATCACGGCGTTAACGTTTGAATGTGCGTGAAATGCGCATGCGCCGTAGCCACTAAGGTCGAAAATCGTATATCACTGTAAGACTACTATGAACTTGGCCTAGGCTTTGGTAGTTGGCTCCATGCGATTTCACGCGCTATATCTCTCAGCATATGAGTATACCCTTAATCTCATCCTTATTCGTGATCACATCACGGTTTTAAATCACTGATATTAAAAAGTATAGCAGATATCACAGATATTGAAGCAACAGCGGTGGCAAAGTGGTAGATGTTATGGGTGTACTAATAAGTCACATCTCAAGAGAATGTTTTCTCTCTTGGATGTTGTGATTGTCCGTAGGTGGTAGACGGTCTGACTGTCGAACTCGGAGGTGCCACCCGGCGGATCTCTAAGGTGGGGCCAGAATGTGTGCATGTTGCATGCATACGTGTTTCCTCGCTGGGGTCCGTGTGACGTCCTCCCCTCTCACTTGTATCCCTCTATAGTCCCACGGTATCCAATGGGTGTTTGGGCTTTAGGCCTTCGTGGTGGTACAAGTATAAAAAAATCAAAAATGATGATGATGATTATCATAGTCAAAAACTGTTTATTGTTTTATTCTTACCTAACTGGAAATATATTGATGATCATAAATAGTATATTGCTTGTATCGTTTAAGTTTCGTAGGTAGGAACTTTTTTAAACAAAAACCTATTTAGAAAGTGTTAATGCTCAGCGTACAAAAGTTCTCAAGGAAATACGACTCAGACCATGGATTTGTCAAAATTGTGTCAGTTGTCATGGGGTATTTTGAGTGTTAACTTGATAATCATTTGCTGTCATGTTTGATGCAATGAAGTATTGCGACAAATACTGTAGATGGCATTAACCAGCTGATCGAAATCATGCTCTAGAAAGTGTTGAGCTTGAGCTTCTGAGTGCTTGTGAATGCAAACAACGTTTCATTTCTTGAAAAATCCCCTCAACGACGCTTTTTAATAAATTGACTCGCGACACAACTTCCTGAACATGTTTATGTTTAAAATTCTATGACCTGATGTTACATGTTCCTTTTATATGTATGAAATGTTGGATAAATTGCGTGTCGAGTTACTTTCTAAATCAAAATGATTGTTCTCAGACCAAATTCATCCTAGAGCCTTCCCCTGTGATATCGTTGATGCTTGTTAGAGAAAAAATGATCAACAAATGCATTTATAACGGCTTCTTTTAATTCAATCAAAAAACAAAGACCGTGGTACCAGATTATAACTGTTTAAAACATCAGCTTACATAAAAGTAGACTTTATTTTAAGGCCGTATCATGTCACTTAATATTTAAAAACGATAAATCTTTATCTTAAAGAAGTCAATCTATCTGATTATTGGACCATGGATGTATTCATAATAAATACATGTGTATTTATTATGTAGGTACTTGAGTGTTTTTATTTTATATATTAGATATAACATTTTTTTATATTATATTCTAAATATATTGCAATAAACTTGCTTTGGTCATTTATGTTTTTCTAACTCAACTTTTGAATATGTCCAATCTACTGAGATGGTCATAGCACAATTTTTATCATTAATCATGGATCGATTGTTTTCTCAATTTTTTTGTATCCTAAGCTAGGGTTGAGCTAGTTATGTGTATATCAAAAGTAACGGAACAGCTCTGTATTTTTCCAGGAATTTTTTAAAAAGATCAAGGTCAGCTCTAAACTAGATTTGAACAAGGAGTAAAATTGTGACCTTGTATTTGACTTCGGTCATCGCCTTCAAGGTTATTTAGAGGACAACTTTTGTCGATTTTTTTTGACAAAGATTTTTAACGTAATAACCTTGCCATTACTTTTGGTATATTTTAGCTTCAGAAGTCTAATACTGTCGATATAAACGCAGAACTTGTTCAATGTTAAGAACTTGTTACATGAACTTGTGAATAAACTTTTATAAAATATTGTTTTCATTGCTGCAATAAGCATATTATGTACAGAATCAGATTCATGTTCTCAAGCGTAGCAATGAAGACAATATTTCACTGTTCAGTACATGATTTCGACTGAGAGTTTCCTTTTCCATTTTTGTGTAGTCTAGTCTTGTGGCCATGAATTTTTTTTTCATACGATCAAGATAGCTGTTTTACGTACATGACTTTGTAAATACATGTTTTTAAATTGTTTTTATCCTGTTTTTATATTTAGTTGTGTCTATACTATGTTAAGAATAAAATATTTATTGCACAAGAGAATGTTATTAGCAAAGTAATAACGTCCTATTAAGTCATGAAAAATGAAACGATATTCACAGATATTGTATGAAATTTTTAGAATCGAAAGTAAAACTTTATTTACATTGCGAATTTGTGATATAAATAAAATACGATAATGTTAAACAAGCCTTGTTTTATTTTCAATGTTTTGGGTAATATTTACAAAGTATTGAAATTTCACTAGTAATACTATCTATTCCAGTTCAAGCCTACTATATTTCGTGCCTGCAAAAAAATAGTGAATTGAAGTTGATATAATGAATCTGAAAGTAAAATAAAATATACACCAAAATCGGTTCATGTCTCTATTATTTTATTCCAAGTTGTTATTACAGAAAGAAAAATGAGGATCAAGTAGGTTGACTCTAAACTTCCCACGCCACGCCGTCATCAGTTAAAAGATTAAGTTCAGCACAACTTAGACTTCTGAGAAAAAACGAACTACGTACGTGTGTGTAAAATTAAATGAATCTCCTCCTTCCGCTGAAAATTCTGCGGCCACGCATGACTAATCCCGCTTGGATGATATTGGTTTTTATTGCCAATTACCCAAAAAAATTACACAGAAGTTAACAAATTCTGGCTGCTTTCCTATCAAACGGCAGAATTCGGATCTTACTACCGTATAGAAAGATTCGCTGTTCAAATCAACCGAAAGAAAATACAATATATCTTCACCTAGACCTTATCGTGATACCTTAAAAAAACTTACTCCAAAAAAGAGTTGAGGAATATCAGAAATGAAAAACTGTTGTATACACAAAAAATGGAGTTGAATTTAGTATGTTTCATATTATACAATCAGCCAATAGAAAATACTTCTTCGCTTTTTTTAAACAACAAATTCATAGACGAACTCGTGTATGAAATCGGTACAGAACCTAGGAGTAGATGTCTATTCTGTAACGAATTTTGTTATACAGTTAAGTAGGAGTTTGTGCATTATGAAACAAATTGAATGCATGATCCCCCTATATTGCATTCTTAACAGTTGTAGGCTGGAGTAGTGTTGAGAAACATGATCTCGCCTGCTAGCACCCGTGATAAAACTCACGCGTGAATTTTGAGGTTTTTGTAATGTCTTCATCGCGATTGCTTAAAAATGGCATGAACAGTGCATCTGCATAAGTAACAAGTGACGACACTTAAGCCTCCACCAGAATTTTCTTCGATTGTTGTGTGAGGTCCACTATATTATATGAGATTTTAAGAATAATGTGTCCTCTTTTCAACACAGATGTGACATGCTCCGAGAACCTGAGTGAATAATCTAGGTGCACACCCACATTTATTGTTACATCTTTTAGAATGATTCTTTCATTTTGTTAATATTTATTTTACTAAGGCATTTGTTTCGAGCCTTACACAACACCACTGATTGACGATATTGACTTTTCAAGCATACAGCCCACAGCTGCACGGAAGAGACTGCGACACACGACCATCAGCCGGACAACGTTTCGCATATCGACACGCGACTGTTGGAGACACTTCTAAGTTTTAAGGGTAAATGTAAGGGGACATCTATGATATATCTAATAGGTGCGTAAAACTACTGGGGTTGGAGGCGTATAAATATACCAACGTTAAAAAAAAGATACCCACCTCTTCCACAGAGTTCGTTTCTTGGCATTTTTCTGCCAATTTTCAAAAACTACAAAACCTTTTCGTCCTTGGCATAGCTGTGGCCTTGTGTAAAGATTTCATCCACATCCGAGGGGTATCTTCTAAGTTATAGACGGGCCAAGGATTATCGGACAGTCAGACCGACAAAAATGAGTGATGAACATGTCGTATAACATCCGCGATCACAATACTTCCTCGTCAGTAGGCGTGGGAAGTAAAACAGTACCTTATTTTCGAAATTTTTCGCAATTACAATATTTCCTCGCCAGTGGCGTGGAAAGTTAAATACGCTATTATCATATTTTGTTGTATATGTAAAAGTGAAGACATATAAATGAATTTACTTACTGTGATAAATACTGACTGTATGGTGTCTTTAGCCGCCTGACTTGTACCTTCCGATTTACTTATGATATCATGTAATTGTACAGCTTCTACCAATCTTCTATTCAGGAAATTCCGAGTGTCTTTGAATTCGTTAGATTTATCCTGAATCATGTATAATTCTGATGCCTTATACACTCCTGCTATTCCTATCCTTCTCAGGTACCAATTAAACTAAAACAAGATATATTTTAATAAAAGACCTCGAGTTAACCTCATTGATAATAGCTTTCGGCTAATTTCTTTAAAATGTATTAAGATCTCAACCCACAGAACAATAGCGTCCAAGGGTCCAAAGTTTTTTCCACAAATAGTTTTCGACATTAGCGTTATGCTGGGTTTACCATAGATATTAATTTACATTCGTATCATAATCATCCCTCGTCAGTTAACCGTAAGCAGTAGTTGAAAAAAATTGTCTCGGAGCAATACGCCATCCATGCCAGTTTTTGCCACCCTATACATGTGATAGAGTTATGATGTTGGTGAACCATCACGTATGGATGATGAAAACAACATTGACATATCAAATAACTATTATAAAGATAGCCAACCAAATGTTATGTTCTCGCACCTAAAAAAATATCTGAGATGAAATATACCGTCTATGAGAATTTGTTACAACCTTTTTGCTATTTACTATATATAATTTGAAAAGCTTAGTGTCTCATAAATGGCGCTGCATATACAGAGTGTTTGAAAAGTCCGAAACCCCACGATAATTTGTGAACTAAAAATGGTACGAAAAAACGATACCCCGCGTTTGATATGAGTTTGCCCCCAGCTATCCTATGGTGTCCTTGAATTTGATATTGACCTGACGTTCAAGGTCATTTGAAGGTCAGTCCGATTTTTTCAAATGAAACCCCGCAAATATTGTCTTGTCCATTCTTACATTCCGAGGTTAGGAGGTCATGTTAAAGATCACACCCAGGTACAGTAATATATCTTGAAAGCCAGGAGTAGTATAGAGAAACTACCGAGAAATTATTTCCATGATTTTTACCGGATATACAATGGTGACTTTGGCTATGATTGTCTGTCAAGGTCATTTGAAGGGCATCTCTTTTAATGGGACCCTTTGACCGCGAATATGGAAAAGAGAGAAATCCTTATGTTCGAATATGTCCTTAACTATTTCTGGTACTTGACCTTGAACTTAAGCATCAAGGTCAAATACAAGTTTACCTTAATTTCTTGATAATTCAGAAATCTGTATAATCCCAGATAAACTGACTGCATGGTCCCTTCAGGGTTGTTCCCTGGCTCCAAAAATCGACTTGACCTTCACATGATCTCAACATATTAAAGGTCAGAACCAGGGTCACCATTGGATATCCGAGCGAAAATCATGAAAACAATGTCTCAGTGGTTTCTCTATACGACTAGTGGTTTTCAAGTTTCATCACCGTACCTGGGCTTGACCTTGACCATGACCTCCTAAGGTCAAAATTCAAGAATGGTCATGACCATCTTTGAACGTAAAATTTTCCTCACTTTTCATTTACGGGGTCAAAAATGGGCAAGTTCCATTTAAAAAAAATCGACTTGATCTTCAAATGAGTTGAAGGCCATGGTCAAAGCCAAACCAAAGGACGCCATTGAATAGCTGTGGAAAACTCCTATCAATCTCGGGGCTTAGTTTTTTCATGCCATTATTAGTTCACAAATTATCGCGGGGTTCCGGAACTTTTCAGACTTTCTTTATAAGCATATAAGTCTAAATAGAGGAACAAGTGTGTCAAATTCTCATAGATGGCGGTACACTTTGAATTTAAAAAAATATCTCCTAAAACTATTCCCTATAAGGTTTCTGTGTCTTTCAATTCATTTCAATGAATGATTTAATTCGTCTTCTATTCTATTCGTCGACTCTAAGACCTTTGCCTTGGTAACAAAGTACGTCAGTCGGTTATTCTATCAGCTCGGTCACTCAGACAATAGTCATGTTTAAAGAGAAGCAAAAGAAATAGAATGACAACAGGATGAGCAAATAGTAACAAATACAACTGTTAGAACTTCTGAGTGTTGTTGAAAGCTACTGGAATAATTGTGAATGAAGTAAAGTAATTTGTAGTTTTGTTGGTATATTGCTATAGATTATCCGAAAATACAGTATTTTGTTGATTATTATTATAGATTATCCGAAAATACACGAATCAATCAATTTTGTTCACAGTGCGCACAGCAATTTCAGTAAATTGAGCACCAATATAACCCGAGCTGTCGACACGAGCGCTTCAGTAAGAAGCAGCCACAGGTCGGACTGTGTTTAAGCGCGGTTAGCTGCGTTGTATCTGTACAGTGTCCAGCATCCGATACATTATATATCAAACAGGTTTTATATGTGGATGACTTGAGTCATAACTTCACCGAAAAAGCTCGATGTCAAATTCCTAATGTGTGGCGAGTACTGAGGCAACCTACTTGGTTACCTGAGTGTAGTTTCTGAGAACCTATTATCTGTCAGCACTTCAAAGACTTCTTGTCGAGTTATAGGCTTCAGTCATTAAGGAGAGTATACTTGGTAATGTCAAAGAATACAAAGTTACCAAAAGAAGGCGCACAATGTATTCTTTGATACTGTCTTCGCCAGGTCTGTTATTGTAACAATATGATCAAAATGGAATAGCAAATTATACTTACATCTACAGATCTATCCCCTGCATAGTAACATATATCATCTACCATAGTCAACAGGGTTGCGAGAGCATTGGGAACGTTTGGAGGTAGAGACATAATCGCTATAGCCTGTGGCCATTTTCCTATATAAGGTATCATCATCTTCAACCGAGCTTGAATGGCCTTTTCTGCAAAATCTCCAGGCGGAAGCGGGTTATCTTTGTGTTTATTTTGTAGCTGAAAGTTGGTCCAATCATCGTTTTTTAATACAGAACTAGATCAAATCAATTTTCAGCAATTTGACAAGAGTTCTTTTTCGAAACCGTTGAGCATAGATCTGCTATAAACATATCGGAAATAGGACCTGGGCTAGTTCTGTTCTACAGATTTTAAAATGATATGGTATCCCATGTCCACGAGTTTACCTCAACATTAGGTGGGAGAAAAATTTTCAAACCTTTGAAAGTACAATTTTTTTTAAGATGGGATATGTGTCATGATTTATTATTATCGAAATTAGTCAACAAAACATCAAATGGTAACGGTAACTCCAGCAACACTATACAAATTTGACCCTCACCATTGGGATCCGGAAAACTGTAAGAGATACGAAGTCGCTTAAATGGGGCGAAGTTGCGTATTTAGGTAATTAATAAAATGCAGCTTAGAAAGTTTCCAAATTCAAAGTACTTCCGGAAGAGACGGAAAAACCCGAATTTTACCAAAATCGTTTCAATTTTTTCCTGGCTTTATTTGTAGTGGGATATAAAAATAAATTGCCTACATTAACATTGTCACTTTTTCTCCTCTACAACTAGAAGTTCAATGTGATGTTTCGTCTCTTATCCTCCAGCATCAACTTTGTTTTTATTATAGACGTCATTATGGATGTTTGCACAGATGAATAGAGTATTTAATTCTGATTCCAAAAATGTATAATTCGTTATACAATGTATAATGATATTGACAAACCTTAGTTATTTAAAAAAAGCAGAATTTACTCAGTAGGCATTGATATTACATATCTTGTTTTGCCGACCAGATTTATGCCAAAAGCATTTTTATTTTCACCTGACTTTTTTTAAGACGAAATAAATTGCATGTTACTTATTCTCCTCTACAAGTTGGCGTGGTCAAATTTTCAATTCGAGGTTTCTTCTTCCGACTTCCATCCCAACTTTGTTTTTTCATATGGACGATATATTGTAATTTTGAACATTTAAATGGACTCCTCAGTCCCAAATTTAGTGATACATTTCCTTAGTTGGGCATGAATTTGTTGTTGGATAAAAATAAGGAAATAAAAAGGTATAGTAAAAGCTGAACACAAAATGAATCTTTTATTGATGGTAATAATAATAATCATCAATAAGTAAACGCAAATCACAGTACATTAAAATATTGTCTATTATTTCGTAGGCAAACCCTGACTCTTCTCTGTAGATTGTTCACTGCTCGATTTATTTCTCAGTCTTCCAAACTTTGTTACTATGTTCAATTTGAGGTCTAGTTTGGTATATGAAACAAATGACTATCTGATAATTTCAATGCTTACCTAGGAATTTCTGTTTTTCTGGAATAACTAAGGTTTGGCAATGTCAATACATGTCATATTATACATTTTTGGAATCAGAATTGAAAACTCTAATTTTCTGTGTAAAACTACAATATGGTAAAACGTCATATTGAAATTCTAATTATGCCATCTTGTAGAGGAGAGAAAATGACAATGTCAATGTGCAACTATATTAATATATATGATACATTTTTGAAATTAGAATTAAAAACTCTATTTATCTGCGCAAAAATCCAATATGGCGTCCATAAGAAAAAATAACGTTGATGCTGGAGGACAAGAGACGAAACGTCATATTGAAATTCTAATTATGCCATCTTGTAGAAGAGAAAAAGTGACAACGTTAATGTGCAATTTATTTCAAAATTCTTCTACAAATCCAGGAAAAAATTCAAACGATTTCGGGAAAATACTTTGAATTTCGAAACTTTCTAAACAACATTTTGTTAGTTACCTAAATACGCAACTTTGCCTCTATTCAAGCACCCCCTATATAGAGCCCATTGGTGTGGTTTATGGGAGGCTCACGTAGATATACTTTTTCATAAACATCAAAGAACTGTCGAGTTGTCTTTATTATCGAACCAAAAAATTATCTGACATATCTTTTTTGAAGATCATTTTGAAAATCCAATTTTCGATGACGTTTTCACGCGTTTAGACATGTATTCATGTAGACATAGCCCCAAAAGAGAAAGTCTAAATGTATGAAATTAGACAATCTATGAAATAAGATGCTCGCTGGATTATTATTCCTAGTCTAGTACCGAAACGGCAGACAGTAGCAAAACACATCATACGCCACTGTTAACATGGCGTGTCTTTGAATATAGCGCGATCTGAGCCCACTGACTTTGCCTAATCAAAGGGGTGTCGCGCTAACAGTAGTGTTTTGTCGATTTTGTTACCCGAGCATAGTGCAGTCAAAGACTAGTTATACCAAGGTGAATAAATTAGAGAGAGATAAGAGATGTAACCAAAAACATGGCATCCACAAAAAAGCTGTTGATGTCTAAATATTATTGTTCTTATTTGGTCAGAGATAACTGCGGTGTTCTCAAATAGACAATCATTCTTGGATGGATTCATTGTCCAACACTCGTGGCGGAAGCATTTTTTGTTTAAAATTCCTTTTGCCTGAAAATTTATACCTGGTACGTATGTTTCTCATCCGTTTGCAGCCTACAAAATATATTTTTCGTTCAATAGTTATTAACAACATTTTTGGTGAGTGCTCTCCGCGTCATAGAAACAGAAGTATATAATTCTCAAAACCTGTAAGTTGTCACATAGCTATTTAACATTTAGGGCCCGGCGCGGAATATTACACGATTTAGTTTAGTAACAAAATAGGAATGTTAGCAAACTTTTTATAATCTCAATTGCTTATTCGATCAATCATCGGTCTATTTGACTTAGTTGCCAGTAATCTCCCTCGCCTTGAGACGATAGCTTTATTTATTTCGTATGTCTTTGTGGCCTAACCACTAAGAACCGTGAAAAAAAAATTAACTCCGTTCAGCTCAGTATAAATGTAGCATTTTCTAAACATTTTGAATTCAAATTATTTATTTTCCTGTTAACACATAACTGTGTATAGGAGTCGCCAAAGAAAGACATACATAAAATGTAAATAAAAACATAAACACATATACATGAAATGAATAAATAGATAAAAACCTTCAAATTTGCTTTGAAAGACTTCGGCGATCTACTGCTAATATCAAGTTTAAAATATAGAACATGGATCTCTTTTCTTTTTGCTGGGTATTAATGGTATGCACATATCTTTTAAGCCGAAATCGCTGTCTATTTAAAAATGTATACACAGACAGTTTAATAATAAAAAGTGATGACAATGTTAACATTTGATATTCTCTAAAATATTCTTACAGCTAGTACGAAGGATTATTTCGGCTATGCACCATATTATTCTTTTCTGGCTCAAAAATACCTTCTTGCGTCTGTAGAATATCCCCAGAAACACGCTTGCTACCTCAGCCGCTACACTACGTAGGCGTAATATAATATAAGCAACTGAGATCGATTAAGAACAGTCTTTATATTTTATAAATAAATAGGACTGACTATTTAGATTCGTTGATAAATAATCACAATGTTTTCTGTATATTTTCAATATAGCATACAAAGTCAATTTAGCACCTGGAAAACATGTTTCAATATCTTTCACATATATTCTAAACAGGTGCCAAAACAGATTCAGCATGTGCCACACACCCTTGATGTTTATAAGTGAAACACACATACTGAGACCTACCAGATAAAAACGACTCTACCCAACAATAGACAGCACTGCTCGTAAAGCTGTTACCAACCTGTCAGTGATCGTATCTAAGGTCCCGCCACACACATTCCATTCACTCTGCCACATTATATAGACGGAGTTCACGCGGCAGGATCCCAGACACAGTTACCGACAAGTCACCGACAACTGTTCGAACAGACCTTGTATCTTATGGTCAAAACAGTCGAATGCGCTGTTCAGATCACAAAATATCCCAAAAGGGCACTCTCCAGCCTCAGTTCATTGAATGAGCATGCTGTAAAGGTTGTGGATTGCAGTACCAGTTGATTTCACTTCTCATAAGCTATGCTAGCTTTCTGACAAGATGATTTTACTGTTTAAGTGCAGTTTCAACTTGTCTAAATAACAATGCTCAAAATTTTTTGAGAAGCACAAGTACTGTTACTGGTCTGTAATTATCTATAAATAATCACTGGTCTCGTCTTTCTTATGAGTAGGAATAACATTACTTACCTTGAAATTCTTATGTACAAAATAATAAATTGATTAGGTACACCAATGGTTTGACTGAATATCTCAATATTATGTCAGCTTGGTGACATCGCCTCCGTAATTCGAAGCGAAACACGCGGATCCTTGGCAGAATGTCGAGCCATCTACGATCGAATCGTCAAACCACGAACGGTCCTCATACTCGTAGATCACTGTTTTTTTTTGTAAACCAGTAATAGCACAACAGCTGACCGCAAAGTTTTGGTTACATCGCGTACTGATAAGATATGTTAAGAACAGGCACATTTAGTTCATTAATAAAGTTAACTTATAAATCAAATTCAAGCGGATAACCAAATGAAAATGGTATTTACCATTTTGGGTTGGTATTTACCGATCCGTTCAAGCGAGTGTGGTTATCAGGTTGGTTATAAGATCCATGACGTCATGAATCAGCTGTTATATGTCATAGTTATCACCGCAAAATTGTGGTATTTACCCAACTCAGGAGTAGTTTTCTGGTTATTATTTGAAATGTGACAAGTTAGAATTTTGCCGGGTATTGGATATTGTTATTGTACTTCAGCTTCATTTTTGGGAAACTTGATACGGGCTGACTTCAGTTTTACCATAAAGTGGAGCACTTTATTAGTTATACTCATTACTGTTGTTGGGAACACATCAAATATAGTTCCTATGCTTAACAAAGTATCCTATGTAGCCATATACCACAAGAATACTAAAATATGGCCATATAAACTCACTAGATGATGTCCACCTGAATACGGTTTTGCTAATATCTTTTTTCATCGCTTTTTAATCATTTCTGCTGAATCAATAAATGTTTTCTTTGACATGCGGAAAACTTTAGAGAATTCAAAGTTATCATAGCTACAAAGCCATGGTTCCATTATTAAAAAAAAATTCTGAAAAGAAAAACATTTCTCCCATGAATTATATGAAAGGTTTCTTATTTAAACTTTCCATACACAGTTGTAGACGAAAAAGCACCTATTATTAAGTGATAATAAAAATGATCAGAGATTATATACGCACTTTTCCAAAATAAACAAATTTCAACAAAACCGCGGTTAAAATCAACGCGTTCAAGCGATCCGTGTAACTGACGTCATCAACCCGTGTGTCATCTTGAACCATATTATAACCGCGGCACATAACACAGAAATTTTGGTTATTCGCTTGGATTTGATTATAGTTTATACGTACAGTGGTCGGTGTTTTGTTGGTAACTGTGTCTAAAGAGCGTAGGAGAATGAACGAAATTTGTGTGACGGGATCTTGGACACGATCACTGACAGGTTGGCGACAGGTCTCCAACAAAGTTGCTTGTTTTAAAATGATTTATATTTAAAAAAGTGTTTTAAATGTATCAGCCGATATTTTGATACCGTATGATACTGAATATACAACTTTTTTTTATAAAATCGTTTTCACTAATTAAGACTATCCTAACAATAAATTACTTACTTCTTTAAGTATCTCGACCAGTTGACTATTCGAACTAGTTTGAAAATAGTGTACCAGGTCTCCTCCTCCCCTGGAGAACATGCCATGTACTACCCCCGGGTAACCAACGTCTTCGGCGCCTTTGGTGATGGCATCTTTTGACCAACCCAGCTGGGGGACATACGGCAATGAGGCGGACAGAATTTTGTTCCGAATGTCTTCCTCGTAGTTACCCTGAGTACTTCTTTTATCTTCATGTTGTGGGTTTTCATCTTTTAATGTTGGACCACCTGAAGGTGGTTCTGTTGAACTGAGGCGACACGCCACAGTTGTCCATAGTGTGTATGAACCTGTTGGAATTGTGAGTTTGAGCATTGATTAAGATATTTGGCCAGAAGATACCCAACATCTGATGATGTTTACAACTACGAGGGCTGATAAAAAAATGGCGTCAAGTAGATTGACTCTATACTTCCTAGGCCTTCGTTGGAGGTTTCAATGAAAAAAGATGAGTCAAATCGTTTCAAGAGGCAAAATCGAATCGTGACTAGGTAGGTTCACTTAGGTACGATGAATCTTCCGCCTCTGCGTATACTATGCAAAGCAAATCTATCATATTTCTGTTACCGTGGCGGATGTAGGGAAAATATGCGTGACATTATATCCCACCTACAATTTTCATCTTCTCCAAACAATGTCTAACACTGAGCAGGAATCTAAGAAACGTTGTAACGCTAAGTTCCAGCGATGTTATGTCTGCCGCCTCTGAATCAATCTTCAAAATCTACGACTACCTAAACAATCACGACATACTTAATAACCGCCTCCGAGATTGACAGTCGTACACCCCGTTCTTCATCGTGCACTAAACTCCCTGTACAACTTTTGGACATGTTGAACGGACATATTATACAGTTGCCTCCATACACCTCTTTCCACGAGGATGGTGAGACCCATGATAACCTATGGATCAGTGGCATTTTGGACAAATATCTTTGGCTAGCTAGTTTGATAAATCAAAAAATATCATTTTTAGACATATTTATACATTATAGTATACGTGTAGTCTCTGTTTTTTTTTTATTTTTTTATGGTAAAATATATTTAAAACAGCTTAATTATAAAAAATATTAATGAAATAAATCAATTTTATATACAGGGTGTTTCTTAATGATATGCGATTATTTAAGGGTGTGAATCTACATGAAAAATTAATGTTAGTTTGCTTTATAAACTATGGTCCAGAAATGTTTCCTTACAAAAACTCGGGGTGTTGAAGTTTTGAGAAAAAAATGGAAATTACTTAATATTTTCAGAACCGCTTCAGATATTTCAATGATATTTAGTACGTAGTGGAAGTTAATAAAGTTGCATATTTTTCAATGCAAAAATAATTTTTAGCTTTAACAGTGGCGTGCGTACGGGTATTGACTTCGATATTTTCTAAGAAAAAAATGGTACGCCAAAAAATTATTTTTGAATTCCCCGTTCAATTTAAAACAAATGACATTGTTTTCCTTCGATGCGCCATTTTTGAGTAAAAAAAATAAAAACCATTCTAGTGTCCGAGAATTATTAAAAAAGTTTATAAAAAACTGAATCCAAACTTGCACAAATATACAGGGTGATGCATTTGAAATTTTTGAGAAAAAGTACAATTCGCGTTTTCGACCACCCTGTATGAGCAAACATGAAAATTCGAAAAAGTAACAAATAAGATAAAAGCTGAGGTGTGTAAGTTTTTTTTATACAAAATTCAGCACTACAAATTAGTATATTATATCAATCTTCTTCTTTTGAATTGGCTTATCCAAATATGCAATAAAATCTCAGGCATTCCATTTAAAAAATCACAACTTTGATATGTAGGTCAAAATTGGAACACCCTGTATAATTCCCAATATTTTAGAAATGTGCCCTCAAATGTCATGTATAACATGCCATAGATTTTCCAAAAATGTATTTGTGTATGAGTAATATTCCGTCCACACATGGATGAGCCACCCTGTATATGTGAGAAAGAGTATGTGGTCTAGGAGGCCTTGTGGCACTCCTACCCATATCTTCCTCTTTGCAGACCTCAAACCATGAATCTCTACTGTTTGATATCTCTCTTGCAGATAGGACTCTACCAATGGACTGCTATTGGGGAAGTTATACATAAGAGATGCGAAATTAGCCAAATTGGAGCAACATTTTGCATAAACATATACAAGTATATTGGAAAGCGGCACATAAAAAACTACAACTCAAAATGTTACAAAATGTAACCACTGTTCTCTGCTACCAAAACGGTTTTGTTGGGTGAAGGTAACTACATTCGTTTCATTCAGCTACTGCCACCTACAACTAGGTTAAGTATAGGTGGCTATGACTCGCCCGTGTAAAACACTTTATTCAAGATGCATATTATGCAATCTTGCGCCACAGGTAAGGATACTTCCCGGTAAGGACTGATTTCGGGGTTGCGTGCAACTGTGCCTCTTCTTGCCGCGTTGTCAATTGTCTTACGCGCTTTCCTGAAAAATTTAAAAGTATAAAAATATAAAAAACAAAGCGTAATGGCGTAAACACAAAACATTTTCGGAACTAAACCGAAAATTCCTGAAATGATCGCTCATATCTAATCCATGTACGCGGTGCTGGTAATGGAAAAATAAATAAAAAATGGCGTCATGTAGGTCGACTCTGCATTTCCCACGCAAAGGATTATGTTCAGCACAAGTTATGTCTTCTGAACATGTATACTGGTTAAATTAAACGGATCAAGTCATTCAAACAGGCCCATACAGTTAGCCCATAACATTCTCTTCTTACCCTACCACTACTACCACCCATTTGGCCCTGTCGTTTCACCTCCATACCATATGACTCATCAGACACGGCAGGACACTCATTGACACAAGGATGCTCGCTGGTGAAGCCAGACAGCAGAAGCAGAGATGTGCTAATAAGAGTAATAAGGGCAAATACAAGAACTCATTGATAACTAGTACTGCTTTATTTATAAGTACGAAATTCCAATAACAAAATGTGAGAAAGTAACAATAACAAAAATAATTTCAATATTCCTAACAGTTTGTAATTTTATCCCTCCTTTTATTTTCGATAATCTCTTCTACTCTACTAAGTAAGCTATCCATAACATCAAAAACAGTCATTGACATATTAAGCACGTCCAATTTTTCAGTTTTTGGCATCAATCCCAAATTCTTACCGCCAACCACAATATTGATATCAGAAGATGGTTTACTCTTATCACTAGTAACCATATCCTCCTGAATCTCCTTTACTTTCAACTGATAATGTGCTCTTGACAAATCTATACCCTTCCTGAGAGGGTCTAAAAACATCAATTTTATGTCATCTATGTAACACATATATAGAGAAGTATTTTCTTTATCTGCAAGCAATAGATAACGTAATAAATTCAAAGCTGCTATAATTTGGTCAGATATTTCAACCAAGTCACTCTCTTCCTTCTTATGTAGATAGCACACTTTGCTCAATATACTGAATAAATATTTATTTTGAAAATAACAAGACATGTTATTGTTAAGTCTCAATTGTACAGCTAGTTCTTCTTTATAAAGTGTTATTGTAAAACCCTTTAATCCAGAATGGTTTAAATGATCCACTAAGTTATATATTACGAGATATTTTCCTTTAGGATCAAAAGATGTAATGAATTTTTTATAAATATCTAGAGCAGCAATTCTCAGTATATCAAGTTTATTGTAAACAATAATATTAGACAAAGCCAATAAGAATCTTTTGGGATATTGAGAATCTAAGAGTGTATAAGGTGTCTCTCTATGTTCTATATGTTGTAATAATGATATGGAGAACTTAATTCCTTTTTCTACAACAATTTGATGATCAAATTCAAGTAAGGCTACACTTAGATGTAAGGTATTGTAAAAGAAGAAATCTGGATCATAGACCTTAGGAACCTGCTGTAAATATACTTCTTCACTGAATATTAGGTAGAATAATGACGCAACTGCTTCAACATTGGCATCAACTGGATCATCAATCGTATCCACACATTTTCTAACAGTTAAAGTCATAGGATCATAAATAATATTGAATATCTTTCCCACTATATTTTCAGCAATCAGTCTTGCTTTGCTTTTGACATTATTAAATATTTCCACATCTAAGTACACAAGAGGCATGCCAAGAAGATCTACAAGAAACTTCTTAGTGATATAGTCATGTTCATTAGATTCTTCAGTAGTTGAGGGGGTAATTCTTTCAAAAAACTCATCATAAATTTGTAGAATCTCAGAATATAAGAACAAAATTCGCTGCACTTTTTCATTACTATCAAGCAACAGTTTTTCTCTGCCTACTAATCCACAACATTCAGGCACTTCACACTGCTGTAAGTAGCTGTGAATAGAGTTGTAACACCATCCTACTGAATTGGTTCTCTTCTGGGATATCCTGCACAGAACTTTGGGGATGCTTTTCAGTAAAGTTAAAAACTGTATGTCATCTGTAGATTCTTCAAGTTCTTCTATGAACTGCAGCACTGTCTCTTCAGGGTTTGCTGTATCTGCCACAACCTGCAGCAATTCTTCACAGCCCTTGAACAGTTTTTCACTGTTTTTTCCATAATCAGAAGTTAAATACTGAGTCAGAATGGGTAGAAGTTCCCACGAAACATCCACTATTTCAGTCTTATTTTTTTCATCACTAAACACTGTTAACACTCGATCAATATCTCCATGATTTAAAAGTTGCCTCACCAACGTTACAAAATCACTCGGTTCTGCCGCCATCGTGTATATTGCTCGATTTCAATGATTTTTTTTATGTTGTAGTCTATAAAGATAGTATAAATAGGTATAGAAACGTGTGTGTTCTGCAAAACAATTGCTGCAGATACCTCACAACCTAGAAATACAATATGTCTTGATGATTATCCACTAGTACTCACTTTTTGGACGTGTTCTGGATATAAAGAAGGCTATTAATGACATACCGTTGCAAAAAATCTAAAAAGACATTATTTCTACAAAACAAATGGAGGTTAATAAACCTTGACAGTTTGACAGCTGGATGATGACATAATTCATGGGACACAAAAAACAAATCATAGGGTCAATTCACCCACACGATATTTCGCCGTTGCCAATGTAATGAATAAATACTCAAGTATTATACTTTTAAATTTATTCCATCTAGCATTGGATTTTGGAATTGAATCGGTTCAAGTGTCAGTGGCGTATTTAGGGGAGGGAGCGCGGAAGGCGCGCGCTCCCCCAGACTTCTGACACTTGCCTTTGTAATCTTACACCATTGTGTTACTTTCTGACACAACGTGGCGACAAAGGTATACTAACTATGTTATAGCTATAGGAACAGAGCATTACGATTTTTCGTATCCTTTGGTATTCCAAATGATGTAACTCTTTGACATCACTTACGTTTACAGCACAATTCTTACGATATACGTATATACGAGTATTGTGACAAATCTAAGTCTGAGTAATATATTATCTATACAGATTGCACTTAAAAAGTGATTTATGTTCTGTTTGTTGCTCAATAGTAACTTAAAAAGTGTGTAAAGCTTGACTGATTTTGTTCAGGGCTGGTGTTGCAGCCAAGCAATGCTACGGTTTGGCCACGGTGACAGGCGGCGCGAACGACGAGCGGCGGGCGGGCGACCATACGCACGGCACAGTTTGCCGGCCACGTGCAGTCACGTTCGCCGCCGCGACCAGTATAGGCCGAGCGAAATGTCTTTATAATAGTTCTTTTGTTCAAGACATAATATTTGGAAGAAGTACAGAATGTATCCAGAAAAAATTTTCGAGTATACATACCAGAATGAGTGTCGAAGCCTCGCGATTAAATTCTAATCAGTATTCAACCGGAATTGGGGAAACAAGTCAATTCAGATAGAATTTTAGGTGCTGCTAAAAAATTGTTTTTGACATTAAATATAAAGGATGACATTTAATTAGCTGAGCATATTTTGGGGAATGATAGTACCCATCAATATGAACAGCTTATATATGGTTAGCTAATTAAATGTCACCCTGTATATTATTATTTCATGAAATTAAAATACTTTACAGTAATTATGATATTTATCTGCGTGCTGTGCTTGCGCCATACGGATTCATGCCTTTGTTTCACTCACCGACCGCGCCGGAATTTTTCGGTCACATGTTCGTTTTGGGTGGAATGGACTGGGGTATGTCTCGGGGTCCCTGAGGATGTTTTTTTTTTCGGTCAACAGAGCAATGAAGTTCTTTATGTTTTAATCTTTAATATTATTACACTAGTTAATTATAAATGCCACGTACTATTTTGTTCTCATATAATAAAATATTGCCTTTCTGAGGATTTCTGAGCATTTTCCATGTTTTTTTTCAAGCTGGTATTGACCAAATAGAACACAATGGATTTAAGGAGCAATCATAGGATACATTATAGAAGCTCCACTGAGGTTGAAAAATTACCAGCCCCAAATATCGTTTGAGCCCTGCCCCCTCCCCCCCCTTTGTCTAAACGATAAATCCGCCCATGTCAAGTGTAATTATCATATTATAGCATGCACTGTAGCTACTAACAAAATTAAAAAAACTTTCAATATAATTTCGAAATTTCTGAGCAGTAATAGACGTCTGAAGTGAACAGGAATTCCAGTAACGCTGAAATGAAACAAAGTAAAACAAAAGCACTTTCCAGTATTGTGTCTGCTCCAAATAAATTTACTACACCTAAAATCGTTAGAAAGTTGTACGGCATGGGGTGTTGGTAAACTGTAATCTTTAGTTTATTTTGCCCATAGGTGTCCGCAAGAATTTTTCTCTAGTGGGCGATCATCGGCGAGAGGTTAGATTCTGGGAAAGTGTAAAGTGTACCTGCCTCAACAACAAACAAAATAAGAACGGGGGTAGCAAATTTTCTCAGGAGGAATAAAGGAAGACTCGTGTTTAATCGAATTTTTAATACTGTGAGAAAAAATTTAAAAAAGTTGCTGAAATAGTTTGGTATATAAAAAGCGATTAGTCAAATCCTAAGAACCATGTTAATATCAACGTTAATCTGGATTATCAGGGAGAAGAGCACGCTCCTCTGCCTCCCTTGCGAGCGGCCATGTTTCTGCCGCTGTATCGTCACTACACCGATTCTCAAAAATGAGCAGTCCCTGGAAGTCGGTTTAAAGACGGCAACTAGGTGGCCCCAGTTAGAATATTCGTTACAGAATCTTGGTGCTCTACGCCAAATGTCATACGTCATTTTTAGTTTATTAATTGTCACTGTCAGTCCGATATGACAAATGTGGATGACAAAATTCTCTTAGCTATTTGTGTTTGTTCAAAAGACAGTTATGCAGCCCAAAGTAAAATTAATAATGTAAATAATTAATCGGAAATCAAGCGCAGCATCGAAACCGACGGTTTATGTGACTCCTGATTACAAATCTCTGTCCAACATGGCAGGCAGGAATCGTCCTGTCCAACACAAAAACTTCACAACGATATTTTCGAAGCTGCAAGGTGCTTTTTCGGACGTCGTTACGCATCCAAAATACGCTACTGATAAAAGGACTTTAGACAAAACATGGAAACTAATGGACAAAGTGGTCAAACTGTGCCAGCATCCAAAGATGAATTTGAAAAATTCGCCCCCTTTTATTTTAGATATTCTACCAGACACCTATCAAAGGCTTAAGCTTATCTACTCAAAATATGAGGACAATTTACAAGCCTTACACTCTATCGAACACTTTAACATATTTATAATCAATTTAATGCGTAAGTGTAAACAAGCAATTAAGCTTTTCAAAGAGGGCAAAGAGAAAATGTTTGACGAAAATTCGCATTATAGAAGGAATTTGACCAAACTGAGTTTAGTGTTTAGTCATATGTTAAGTGAACTTAAGGCATTATTTCCAAATGGTGTGTTTGCTGGGGATTTGTTCCGCATCACCAAATCTGATGCTGCAGACTTTTGGAGAACAAACTTTGGAAATAGGTAAGTTGTACCTGCTTCAGCATAACAATCAATAGCTTCACTCAGGTTCCTACATGTTCAATGTAAGCATGTTAGGTTGTACTTACTAATTTTTATTTTTATCAATTTTTGTCAATACATGTATAAGCTGGTTTATGGATACTTTGGCTGTATGTGTAAAGGCATTTAAGTGAACAGTTGGTTATTTGATATAATAGGTTTGAATACTGATGTGTGAATCTTTATTGTTTATATCTTTCATAATGGTTCTGAGATCCCATATATATATTTTTTTCAGATCAATTCAAATAATTTTTGACTATAACTGATAAAATATACAACTTTTCTATTATATGATTATTTTGAGCAAATAGATATTTTACTTAGATAGTTGCTACTATACCAATGTTTGTCTAGTGTGGTACTTGTCTCAAAAACTTTGATACAATATACAGTATTTCGGTTTTCAGTGTCAACTAAGAAAAATAGCCTATCCCGTTTTCATATTCATTATGTCACAAGGCTAAATGATATGTGATACATATTTGGCAAGTTCAGATAATATTTTGATTTTGACAGCTTAAATAGGAAAGTGGAAAATGTGTGTCCAGGGGTTAGTGTCATTTAAACTATGAAAAAGATACTTTGTGATTTAAATACCATTAGCTAAACAAATTCAATAGTCCTTTTTTAAAAATAACGCGTCTTAAGTTCCATTGGTCATACAACAAGAGAGTCGTCTAGATTGAGAGTTAACAAAGCTTGAGCATAATGGGTGTTTGTGATAGCAGGTTGCTGCGTTTGCTTTTGTTGTTTATATTATTCTTTTATTGTAAAGAAATGTCAAAAAGTGGAATGTAGAACAAGAAGATTAGAAAAAACAATTGACATGAAAACTACCAGAGAAGTGTTGCCAGGGTAGTGACAAAAATGTACTTGACCTCAAACAAAATTAAGATTAATTATTATATGTGATTAATGACTTTTGTATTCAAGAATCACAGTTTTTTACATAGTTGTAGTAATGTATCAATAAATTTCACAAAGATATACAACCATTAACAATGCCATTATACAAATTTTTAGTGTCTCTTTTCATGAAAATATGTTATAATGTGTATTTAGCCATATAGAGTATTTGTATATTCTTTTTTTTTTTTTCTACTTTATTAGCGATCTGAGTGTATGTACATTCTATAAGCTAATTTGCTGGATGGTACAATTTTGAAGTAGTTGTACCTCATGACGGGATGAAGCAGACATCCAACGATGTCACCTCAGTCTTGCAAGTCTAGTGGCAATTTCCTTTTCAGTCTCCTGGTCTCAGTGGGATCTAATAGCGATGGCAGCAGTGGGTTTGGATGGTCGCTAAGCCTAGCATGGTGTTTGCAACTTCTTTCCATGATGACTTCCCTGATGAATGGGATTTTCAGATCCCTATGGAGCGTTTCATTTGAGACATACCAAGGCGCATCTGCAATGCTTCTAAGGATTTTTGATTGAGCTCGTTGAATGATTGAAAGGTTTGACTTGCTAGCGCAGCCCCAAAGTTCGATCCCGTAAGTCCAAATGGGCTTGATGATGGCTTTGTATATCAGTAACTTGTTTTCTATGCTTAGTTTTGATTTGCGTCCTATCAGCCAATTTAACTCTTTACTTTTCAAGTCCATCTGTTTTCTTTTCTTGGATAAATGTTGCTTCCAGTTTATTTGGTCGTCCATGTGCAATCCCAGGTATTTAACACTTGCATGTTGAGGTATGGTGACTTGATTCAAGGAAACAGCTGTATATTCTTATAACAGTTACTTCTATAGAGATTCAGGAATGGAACATGTCAGGGGAATATACAATTTTCAACCATACCTAAATCTTAATGGTTACATTAATTTTATCTTGGATCAAAGTGGAGCAGGTTTGCAAGCACATAACCTTGGCCCGCACTGTGAACAAAATTGAATCATGTAATTTTAGGTCAAAATAAAATTGAAATGTTCCACAACCAATCTCTATATTAACTATATTCATTTTTGATCAATTTAAAATTCTCAACCACAAATTAAAGGTTTTTCATATGATTATTTTCAAAAACCCCTCTGAATATCTGTGATCCGAATAAAGTTGAATT